GGGTTCCTGTGGTAATTTAGAAATGTGGAGGCTGGATAGTGTGAAAGGAAAATATCAAATATTCAAATCAGCGATCGAAAATTTCTCGGACTTGTTCATGAAATATTTCAACTCACTCATGTTTTATCAGGAAAAGTAAAAGCAAAAATTCAGGAACACTGGCTAACCAGCAAGGTTGTTTAATCAACTTCCCTTTCTCAAATGTTTAGAAATTAGATGATCGATGTACATTTTACTTGAAGTAGAAATCGTTGTTGCTTACTTTTTAAGGAGCGTCGATAGCATTTTGGATCTACATTAGCATATTCTGATAGAGTATCTTTAATTATGTTTTGAAAAGAATGGCTAGTACAGCACATGACTAACCGCAAACCGGAAAATTCTAGGCCTATTTCAAAACTTGGGTCGTAAGAGATACTCATGCAGCTCCTGACGTGGTGATTGTAAACTCCTATTTAAAGATACACGCGCGTGTGGATTTGAAGGTTTGACGTGGGTGGACGTGAAGAGAATAAGACTGTGGAGGAAAGAGAGAGGTTTCATATGTACTTGAAAGTGTACTTAGAGGGGCTATGTCGTGCTGTGAGTTTGCGCACAGGAGGGAGAGTAGGTAGCAAATCGCTATTGTTCCTAAAATAAGCGGAAAGGATTTTCTTTTCCCAGACAACTACGTCTAATCTTGTGATAAACAACACCAATTTAATCAGAACGTCGAGGACAGTCTCGAAGATCACAGCTTCGCAAGGATTAGGAAAGTTTCAATAATTACGAATTAAATCAACAAAAAAATGACGACCGAGTCTTGAACATGAATGTATAACCATATACCCTATGTCATTTATTGTTATCGCACAGATATTTTAGAGTTTCTCATTCCGTAAGCAGAGGAATTCCGCAGTTTTTCTCGTTTCTGCCAATAAAGATAACGTCCTACCAGAAAATGAGATTGAAAGGTTAAGCTTAGATGATGATAAATGACGATTCTTTTGCATTTCACCGACATATTGGCGATGATCTGTAGTCACTCCACGAACGGTTAAAGGCCTATTGTTCTTTTACTTGCATAACGAGCAGTATACCATGCACACTGAGACTTCCAACCCACCCCTGACTAGCTCATAGTTTTCATTTCAATCTGTAGAGTTCATAACAGACTATTCATTGATGGTACAGTTTGCTTCCATCCGCACCCGCACGTCCATAGCATGGGGGCGTGGGGAAAGGAGAGTCATCTGTTTTTCTGAGCCACGCTTGATTGTAAACGAAATTTAATAAGGTCGAAGTCTTTCTTTGCTAGTGTTACACTCTTCAAGAGACGTGTTTAAAGAAAAGGTCTTGATGAGTAGTTGTTTTAGTGGCTGATCAGTATAGGTTTCAGGGCCATATTTCGGTTCAAACTTCACAATTTGCACAGCTTTGCTTACCTTCTCACAGGATATTTCAAGAAATCCGAGCCTTATGCGATAAAATCCTAGTTAAGTACGACTTCCTCAGTTTAAAAAAACCGCAAAGAAGACTTGGCATATTTCCCGTGTTAGGAGTTATTTGTCGCCTTTTATCTAAGCGTTCGAGATTAAGAAGACTATACAAGATCACATCGTCCTCGGGGGTTGTAATTTTTAGCCAGAAAAAGTTAATCTATTGAATCCTTTTGGTATTTATGTTGCGTGTCCTAACCTACATTAGTTCCGGGAAATCGATCAGTGAACTTAATAAGCAATCATTGGTAGATATTCAGAAAAATGTTTACTTAACAGGAAACGAACTTTTGCCCCTCGTGTGAAATACAACGTTATTACATCGCATGTAGCGATCTTGCTATTTTACCCTCATATAAATCTGTTTTGTCTTATTATCACAACACGAGATGAAGATATTACGTAATTTCCAGAAATGTTGAAGAGAAAGGGACCTTGGGTCGAAGTTGAGCCCAGGCTTCCCCCTTCTCAACTCCCGATAGTATGATGAGCTTCTTTAATCTAACTTTGAAGATGGAGATAAAATTGTTAAAATTGAAGAGAACCCTTCTTAACCAAGCGAGAACTTTTTGAATCAACGGACTTCGTCCACGTAAGGTTTTTTTTTTTTTTTTTTTTTTTTTTTTTTCATTTAGGGTCTCAAGTACTTTTGCAGCTGGCTGTATTTGCATGCTGTTACATACTGAAGTTTAACCCTGTTTCTGCAGGGTTAAAAGGGGCTCTGAACGGGGCATGACGGCTTATTTCTGATAATTGGAAGACCTTTGGATATTCATCAGGACTTAACCCAGATTCCGCTTGCCCCCCCCCCCCCTTCCCCACTTCGTCTTAAAAAATTAATCAAACATTCTGAATTGTCACGCTCGTATAATACAAATGTAACTTATTACTTTAATAAGAGTCATTTATATTTACAAAGAATGCTTAAGATCAGGATGGTTCGCAGAACGTTCACCTTGTCCAGCTGAGCGCTCGAGGCCTTGATGTACCTACAGTGTTTAGAGGGCTGTGCATTATGCTACGAGTTTGCTACTCCACTTATGTCCAGAAATGCAAATGTTAATCGACTTAATCACGTAAGAATATTTGCGGAGAGGCGGTTTCCTTTTTTCCATTGTTTTGAATTTTCTTTTGTGTTTGTGTACATACTTGTTATCTGATGAAGTACAGTGTACTATAAATTCACTTAGCCCACCTCATTGGCTAGTGCTTACATCGTTATACTTAAAATTCAACTTGACCGGTCGGGGATTTCGGGTTGAAATGTCATAATGACACTTTCAAGCCTCGTAGCTTTCACTTAAAGATTGATTTTATTCGTTTAGTTCTCCGTCTAATTTTTATATCATAGATTTGCAACCTAAGGTGAACCGATTTTTAACGAAATCAAAGATACCAATCAGATATTAGCAGCCTGTCATCCAATGTTTTGTCCGTAGAAGGAGCATTCTCAGAATACTCTGATCACTTTTAAGGTAGAAAAAATTTACTGGAATTCGAACTCGTGACACAGGCTGAAGTACTGTTGATGAAAGACGATGTAATTCTTTGTTTTGATATTTGCTTAGTTTTGGAATTTTCATGCAAGAGTAGAAGAAAATGCTCTTGTCTGCACGGAGAAAATCCAAAAATTAATAGGAGGGGAATATTTTGGCTTGATTTCTCGCCTCGGTTCTCAAAAAGAGCCTGTTATTAAGTCAATGGGCCTCTTGAAAACAGTCCCTGTTGTTGTTTCCGAGGACTTCTTAACGATAAGGGCGTTCTAGAAATGATCTGTCTCGAATGTGACTCACCCAACCGAACCCCTGAAAATTCGGCCGACTGTTCTCGGAAGACACCTCAGATTCCGTTGGAAACGATGTGATTTTTCTTTATTTAGCTGTTTCCGTGTGATTTTAAGAGATTTCGTTGTCATCGTAGATTACTCCTAAAGCACTGTTGAGAGTTAATTAATATTCCGGAAAAGTTTGATTTGTATACAATTCCTCCGCAGTCGACTGATATCAGTTCAGCAGACACAGGAAATATTTACACCCATTTCACGCCAAGGACCTAATCGATTAGGACAATCATGTTCGCAGAGGGTGCTATCAGTATCAAAAAACTATCCTTTGGCCTTAAGAAATGCGTTTGAAATATCATTGATCAAAATTTGGGTTCTAGATCAGTGCATAATAGCCCGCGGGGGCTGTTTCTTGTTTTGGAAGGTTGAAATCATTCATCTCTCAAGGGTCAAGATTGCGGCTTTGTCCCCCGCTATCTTTAATCACGAAAATTTAAACGACTCAAAACCTTCTCGTGACAGCGCTCTTGTGTGAGATAAATTGATTTCAATCCTACAAGGCGGAGAATTGTACGGTGGGCGACGGTAGGCAATCACATAAAGAAGAATGTTTGATTAAATCTCATATCTTTCGCGATAGGGATACAATTGAAAACAATAAGTTATTCACTCCAAACGGAATCGCTTTGTGAAAGACCAGAGAGGGCTGGAGACCGCCTGCAAAGAAGAATTCTATTCAAATACGACAATCATGACAGACCAAAACGCTTGGAATTGGTAAATTATTTTCCAAATTGATTTACGTACCAGCTTCGACAGCTCCTAAAGTGTAAACAATTTCCCAACTTCGCTCTATATGCGGTTTGGTTTAATTTCGTCGCCAAGGGCAGAATTTGCTAAAAGATATATTGAAAAACGCGTCAAGGAATGGCTTGCTAATCATGCATAATTGTCGAGTGTTCACAACCGCAAAAAATATAAGAAATTCATCGGCCAGGAAGGATTATAACAAAGCGAATTGTCGATCAAGGGTTTGTGATCATCGCCGAATTTGACTCTTGAGAAAATTAGCTAAGGTTTTAATTCCATTAACACAATTTTTCGAAAGTTTCCAAGGCTCCCTGTTCGGTGAAACAGATCTCTTCCCGAGCGCAAATTGCATCTGCTAAATGTTACAAGGTAAACAACGTTTTCCAAATGAAAAAACAAAAGGTATCTGTTTGTCTCACTGAATTTTAATGAAATGTAACTCCAACCCTCAATTAACTAGCAAAGTTAGTTTTACTGAAGAGATAATTGCTTCGCATTTTTGCATTTAAGTTACCCTGAAACAACCGACGAACTCTACAGACAAAAGATTACGATCAATTTTAATTTGCGCGACCTTACAACAAATCTTCGGCAATTAATCACTGGTAATCCTTTCGTAGAAAATACTTTCCGATTCAAAAATTAATTTTTTGTAAACAACATCTAGTGTAGAGGAATGGACAAATACGTTATTCACTTGAAACATTACTAAATTCTAGACCACACTATTGTGTTTAGAGCAACTTTAAAAATCCCAAGGCGAACGAGAAAACAATATTGTACATTTCATGTTGAAATAATCATTCAACTGCAATATTTAGCTGTCGAAAAATGCCCTTAACTGAAGGTTTGTTTCTCTTGGAGAGCACACTTGAGAAACACAACAGCATTAATGCTATTTACAAAATATTAAACACAAGGAGTTTAGTTTAGACCGAAGTCTCAGAGTTGAGCCTAAGTACAAACTTGTTGCTTTCAAAGTCAAACTCGTCTTCCGAAATATCAAGGTATGGCAGTCTTCGTACGGTCACTATCAAAGAGAGTTCGTCTCCTTTTAGTTGAAACACCGTTGAAGAAGACAGTGATTTCGTAACTTGTTCTTCGCAGACTATACTCCAACTTTGCGTTCGCTTTTTAGTGGTAAATTCCACACAGGGTTGTTCGCTTACATATCGTTCCAGAAACGCTTTCGGGGTCATATCAAAAGTCAAGCAATGCGCGAGATGCTTAATAATTCCGTCCATCGAGTATCGATGGTGAAGTCTAACAGTTCTCAAGTATTTTTGGAGCGGTCTGGCGAATGATGGAAACAGGGATTGCGCCGTTTCTTCAGGATCCATCGGAACACAAGGGCCGCGCTCAAGTTGAACGCGTTTAATATGCCCAAAGGCCTCTTCGCACGCGTTATACAATCGCGCTTTTCGTCGCTTCACTTTCTTATCAAACTCTGCTTCTTCGTAGAAGCGGTCGTTTCTCGCTGGGTCCCGTCTACGGGTCGAAGCTGCCGTTAAGATTGCTCTGGCCCGCGGGTTAACTTTGTCATTCTGCTTTCCATCGATGTCGTAAAATTTGAGACTCGAGAACTGCTTGTGCGCCGTCCGCGCTGGCGTCTGCATGAGAAATGGATTATACTCAGGGAAATCCTTGTAATACTGCTCCAACACAAACACTGCAGCCCGCTGGATCGACAAAGGCCCGACGTTATAATGTCGACTTATTCCGTCTGTGCTACGAATCACTTTGAGCGTAAACAAAGGGTCTGTTTGGCGAATCCAAAGAACCACAACAGAAGTGTAGTGCAGAAAAAGCAAGGAATCTAGCATGTTTATCGCAAATAAGAGAATTTCAGAAAAATTGTCTGCCTTCTTATCAATGATCCTCCAGCCATAGAAAAGCCAGAAACAAACGAGAACCAAAAACACAAGCACCATGAAGCCAACTCGGAGAACAAACAATCGAGGAAGGGTGACCCGTGACATGCGAAAATACAAAGCCCAAATCCCGATCATTAACAACAGCTCTTTGACGGCAAAACTAATAAAAAGTCCATCACAAGTTGAGCCACAAGGCGTAGGTTTCCATGTAACCAGTGGGAACACCACGAAAAGAATCGGCGAAACTACAGAAAACACGCACAAAACCGCTTGCGGTATAAGTTTAACATGGCGTCCAAAGCTACCGCATGAAATACGACGTCTTTCTTTGACGATGTCGCTTAGATCCGTTTCACTTAGTGTTACGAGCGATGTTGCCGTCTCTGTGATAGAGGTGGCTGTTTCTCCCCAATTGTCGTCTTGGGGAATGACCTGTACCTGTATGATTCCTTCATCTAGTATTTCTTGACTGCCAGTTTCATCGGCTCGCTCTCTCCTGTCTCTATAATCGTGGTCTCTATCGCGATCAGACCTGTGGTGCTCACCGCGCGGCATGTTTAGATTAATCGAATAAACCACCGACCTAAATGAGCTGTTCTTCTGTATAAAATGTACTTGATTCTAGAGAGACTTCTTAACAGGCATCTGCTGTTCTCCTTCCCAGTATTTCTTTTTGGCGCTAGTTTCAAAGAAACTGGTTTCATAAGCACGTTCTGATGGAACGCCTGATCATGTCAGTCTCAAGATCTATCATCCGAAAGAGACTCCCATGGGGGAACACGATTGGTTCGTTACAATTCATTAACATTCTTCGGAATAATCATAAGCTTCTGTCGATGATCCTATTGGGAATTTTAACTTGTGCACGTGATTTCTATTTGCTCGCTTCCGAATGCTGAAAAATCCATCCGCTGGGGGGAAACAGTTAATTTCACAGAAAATAAGCGAGCTGGAGGTCAATTAAGTTTAATCTGGGACTTTTTGAGGGTTCCAGTTCAATGCTACGTGCGTTTTGTGCCTTGAATTCTAGCGTGACCTAGTAATCGAAATTCGATCACTTGATGAAAAGATTATTTGCAAACAAACTATCATATGAATTAGCAGACGAAGCTGTTTATGATGGCGAATTAAGAGATTCTACCGGTACTTCAGCCACAGTTCTGATAACCAAAACATTGAGAGGTAAAGAGCAAAAGCAAACAAACATTTAGCCGGAAATAGTCTCTATAAAAAGGACTTTGGTTTGGAATTTTTAGGAGGGAAGAAGAAAATATCTCAAGAATGGATGTCTGTTTAGATAAGTGGGATACTCTTCACAAGCGTGACGGAAAACGGCGGCAAACAAAAAGGTATATACATTTCAAGTTTACAGCAATCGAATCTTAAAATTCGCACGATGCTACGAAAATCGCTTGATGTTTATCGCTCTCTCGACTTGAACTTCTCGCAATTTTTTTTGAAAGCGTTGTGAACTTTACAAAGAATATTGTGACCAGCACGAGTCATTATTTCATACATTTAATGCAAGGTTGACAGGAAGGTGCTATGGAGAAATAATAGGATGAAATCATTCCACATCCTGCTTGTGAAATTGTGGACTACTACAGTTTCATGCGCCAAGACAGATCAGTAACAGAAAAGAAAGGAAGTACAAATTAAATCATTTAACACTGTACGTGAAAAACAAGTGTTTCAACCAGTCTTCTTTAGACGATTTTCTAAGCTTACGTGCGTGACCCTTTTTTTCAGGGAGGGGGGGGGGTCATCTGTACTACAAAGGAAGGTAGAGGATAAGCACCCCGCGCTGCGCTTGAAATGAGTGAATCGAAAAGAGAGACTTGAACATGGCGTTTGTTACCCTACAGAGGCCAATACTAAAGAACAATTGCTTTCAGACATCTGTGCGAAATATCTGAGTTGCCTTTGTTAGGTTTGGCTTTATAGTTGTTTTCATTCTTCATGCAGTGTTTGTTTACGATATCAATATATGCAAACAAAATAAAAATCTCGTTCACAACCCTCGAGAACTTCTAGGCGATTTGTCTGAATGTGCGTTTTTGCTTGAAGTATAAAAAATTACAACAAATAATTGAATAAAGCTTGGAGGGAAACTGGGTTACGAGATGAAAGAGTGCCCATCCCCGTACCCAAGACTCGCTTCTTGTCCAAGGCTACACTGTGTGCTAAAGAGGGCAAGTTTGCGAGTAATTAGTTTCGGAAGGAACAAAGAACTGTCTAACAAGAAGTCAAGGCGTCAAGTACTTTGAAAGATAGCGATGATAATTAGTCTGTAATGACTATAATCCCCTTTCGTAACCAAGCTAACCTTTCCATCAACCGACTTCTTGTCTTATTTAATGCTTCACTGTTGTCATTTGTTCTTAAGCGGTAAAGTTGCGACAAGCGGTGACGTTTGCCCATTGAAACCCAACGCCTGTCAGCAAACAAACTGTTTCCAACTTTATTGTTTTCAATCGAAATTAAAAATGTTTCCTAAAAAAGTAATTAACATGTTGTTCGTATTCATGGTAAGCACAAATAGTTCTTGCCAATGTTTCGAAGTTAATTAGGAAATAAGGCTGGAAATCTTGTGTTAATAGAGAAACCTTATTGTCCGTCAATGAGGAAACGTTTAGTATGCTAATCCGAATCTCGGCAAAAAGAGCCCAAACAGTAGAAGTAGCTACGGTTTTTAATTAAAATTATTTCTAATTAAGACTCACTTCATCTGTAACTTAGCTTAACAACGCAGATATAGTTGTCTCTGATCTGCCTCAAGGTGATGACATTCCGGAAAGGTAAAAATATAAGTAGACGGGCTCCAACGATAAACTCGTGTAGGTTTCTCCATGAAATGAGTGTGTAAATTCCACTCAAGTATAACAAGCCATCAAAGAAAACTCTCTTAAAAGCGTTAGCTTGCCGTTCTCCTCGTAGATCAAGTGAGACAGACAGAAGATAACTCCTCATCCGCCTCCGCAGTTTCCAGAGTGCCCCTCAAATACATCGACATTACACATTGCCATTTATCTATTAAACAAACACGTGACGTACACGTGAACACGAAGTACTAATGTCCGAGAAGAGCGTGAACACCACACGCTGAACGGGTGCCCGCCTTCCCCATACTTTCAAGAAGTGTTCACCTGAGACGAGGGAATTCATCTGGAAGAAGGGCATGAACACGACAAGTTGGACACGTGCTCTGTTCCCCCAACAACCACTTTCGGATACACTGGAACATGAAAACACATTAAATTAGTTTAAGGCTACTGACTGAGTTTAGACTTTCACTCCGGAATGCATAAGAACCGTGATACAGAAAAAAAAAATCATCATTCATAGTTATATATCCACAACTAAAATAGTACGGAAAATAATACCTGCAAAGAGAAAACGAGCTTACCGGTGAATGATATCTGTGACCACACTCTAACGTTACTATATCAATGGACGCGTTCATGTCTTCGTGACAGATGACACACGGGTCTTCCTCGTAGCTCCCTGTGGCGATCGCCATCTTGGCCGCCTCTGTTAAGGCTAGCTTAGAGATCTGGATTTGTTGGGTCTTTTGTGCTTGAGGTTGCTTAGCATGAGCCACAGGGGTCGTGCGTAACAAACCAGCCTGAGGAGGGAGGGCACAAGAAGAAGTTGCGGGTTGCGAGACTTAAAGTTTCCCCAAAAAATAAAGGGACAGTTTTACCAAGGTATTTTTTCCCCATACAAATACATCTTTCACCAGTTTTCATGGGAAAAAAATCTAATGACGATCTAAACCGAAAATATGAAATGTAAATTCTACGCTTTGGAACGATTTCCATAACATGTGAAAACTCTTAAAAAAGTTACTGTGGTTTATTCCTTAAGAAAAAAACAACGTTGAAATGGAAAAGAAATCTCAAAATCTTCAAGATGCCATTGTTATATTTCAAATTAAAAAGTAAACGTGAAGTATAGTAGAATGGAGCCATTTCCCATCGCTCAGTTTTAACAAGTCTCCGACTTGCCACAGCGTCTTTCGATCACGTGTCGCAAAACCAAAACCCTAAGTAAGCTGTAACCACAACAACCAATCAGAACGAGGATTAACAATACAAGCAGCCAATGAGTATTCAACGTAAACAAAGGTAACCAAACCCAAAAGCGGAAGGATCTCTCTAGCACCAAGCGCAAGTGACCGAGTTTGGGTCGAGTTTTGCACCTGATTGGTTGAGTGTTTTTAGTGATACTTCTTACAGAATCGCTGAACACAGTCAACTTCAAGCAAAACCAGTACAATGGTGGGAAATTTTCGACAGTCAATCGCAAACTGAATGACTCCACTAAAACGAAAAAACTTTCAAAGTTTGTTTTAAAATACCTTCTTTTTCTGTTCAACCAGCTCCGAGACACTAGCGACGATGTCCTCTAGTGACAATCCAGTAAGTGAGCCATGTTTGTTAGACCGTACCTCTTTGATAAAGCCGGTCAATTCCAACCTGTGAGGAACACATTAAAACAATCCTTAATCAGAAAAAAAAAAACTGATATAAAATTTCTTAACTGAAATGTATCAATGAAGAAACTTCAACGTCGGTGCCTAGTTATGAGAAAAACTGCGACTGACTGCGAAAGAACGTGAAACGCATGTTGAAAACGACATCGAAATCACAAAAGAAAGCTAAATTCTGACAACACCCGGCACCAGTTGTGGAAAAATCTGTTGGGGCAATAAAGCTAAAAGTACTCTTACTGGGTCCGCAAGGTGGAACGGACACATTGGCAATTAACAACATTGGAACTGGGAGGGGGGCAAATGAACATCAAAAACGTTTACTATTCTGGAAAAGTCTCTGAGCTAGACATGTCTGAAAGTATAGCTCCGTTTACCGAGCTCATACAAGAGGCCATCATTTTCGATGGTAAATCGACGATGGTAAATTGTTTCACCAGGATGATTTTACCCACCTGGTAAAGTTTGGATACATGGTCGACAGACGCAGCATAATCTTTTCAAAGCTGTTTGATGGTCGCGCCTTGTCCTGTACGACTGCCATTGCACCACCCACTGCAAGATTACCAGCAACCAGAGGCTGTTCTGCACCAACTGGAACAGCAGCAACAACTGGAAGTGGAGCCGCAGCTAAAGGACCCCCCGTATTAGCACTAGCAGAGCTGGTCGGAACGGGGGGTTCAGGTGTTAAAATGTTACTTTCCGGAGAGGGCTGGTATTGAGGTTGAAGTTGCGGTTGAAGGTGTTGTTGCAGTGGGGGCTGGGGCTGCAGTTGGGGTTGAACCTGGGGCTGCAGTTGGGGTTGAGCCTGGGGCTGGGCCTGTACCTGGGGCTGGGCCTGGGGCTGAGCCTGCGGCTGGGCCTGCGGTTGGGCCTGCGTTTGGTTTTGTTGTTGTCCGGGTACCTTAAAGAGAAGATAGGATCAGTTTGTTAACTTTCCTTATTGACTGTCATACATTTCCTCACTGCAACGCAGCCCCGAAAATTTGGTTTCACACCGCGGAATTATTTGAGTTGATAAATTTCATGTCTACTTGACATAGTATTGAGGTTAAAAGGACAAACTGCCTGTCGATTACTTGTGAAAGTCAAAAGATTAAAAGAGTCTTATGACAAGGCCAGGAGCCGTGGGCAGATGGAATTTTGCTTACCAGAGACTGTAGAACTGGAATGCCTGGATATGGCGGCGGTCCGGGGATGTTCAGCTGAGGTAAACTGGACAAAGTTCTGCCATTTTTTAGCAGATCAATTTGCTCATTGAATGTCGTCTGCAAGAGATCACCCTTTAGTGAGAATAAGAGTAGTGAAAAACAAACTATCTTAAGTCTGATAGCATGTTGATGGCATATTGATAACCTGTTTAACGGCAGTTTCGGCTGGACGCGAAATCTTACTTGACTAGCGAGGTAGCTCCTTCCTCTCGCCAAGTTAACTTTCGCGTTAATCGCAATTCGCTGTTTCACCCTTCTTTCGCCCGGCTGTTTGCCTGTGTGTGTCCGAGGACGCCTAAAATGTTCACAACAAGTACCTTGCATTGCACGACTCTCTGATGGCATTCAGAAGCGTAATTCTTCCACGCAGTGACGACTTCCTCTACTTTAGGGCCAGTAATTCTGACAAAACAAACAGATTTATATCAATGCTATAAAGGAAAAATACTTAGGATAAGACATTCAAATAAAGCCTCATAGTTTTTATCAATGTACTCATCGAAATCAGACAAATCTAACCTTGCGTTCACAGCTTGTATCAAATTATTGATGGTTATATGCGATTCTTGGAACGCTCTCTCCAGAAACCTCAAACCAACGTCACGGCGAAGTTCAAGCAGTTTTATCTGCAAAGAGAAATATATCAGTTGACAATATAGCCCATCAGAGCTCTTTTCGATTGAGTGTCGTAAAACCAGAACCAAACTACTCACAACAGTCAATTAGAACTTGGAAAATATCACAAGGAGCCAATGAGAAATCGAAGTAAAAACTAGCAAACTGCATGAAGCGCGGGAAAACGCGAGTGACCGAGTCGCGATTGCTTTTAGTTTTGAAATTGATTGGTTGAGAAAGTGGCGCGAGTTTTCTAGACCAATCATATAAAGAACTAAATGAAAACCAGAGCTGTCCTGGATTATTTTCGACACTCAATTGAAATTGTTCCAACACATAGAGAATGGCTTCACGGACCAACCTTCTAAACCCTCTAACCCCTAAGAGAGACTGACTTGTAGTTTCTCCTCACAGTCTCAACCTTGAATCAAGTGTAAAGGTCATGGGAATAGAGGAAATGATCACCAATTTTGAGGAAGCGCCTGATTGTCAAACAAATTCTCCTTGTCAGTACCAGAGGAATGATAAGTAAACAGTGTGGAGAATATGAATACCAATGTAAGGGTGTAAAGGGTCAGCATAACTCCCTAAGCCGGGGTTTCCATAAATTTTTTGCTGTGTTCGGAAAGTGAATGTAAGGCGAAAAACAAACAGGAGTGCCTGCTCGCAGGCTCAACAGACAGCGGTAAGAGGTCTTCTAGGCGGCGGTAGAGTACTGGTAACCAGCTTTTCCTCAACATTTTGGTGCCTTGCAGAACACGAAAAAAGATTACCTCTGCATCCTGAGCCCTAGCCTGTTGTTGTAGATTTTGAGCTTTAGTATTTTTTAACAACTCGTCCTTCTCAGAGCGTTCTTTGTTCCAGGAATCCCTGACGGAGGGGAAAAAAGGAAGAGTATCAAAATTTGCGTGTGATTTCCTATTAAGACAGCCAACCTTATCGCCTCTTCAAATAATTCAATGATCAATCCCTAATTTACTTTGTGCTTCTGAGAAAACAATTTAAAAATTTCGTCTTTTTTCTTTTTCCATACAGTCACCGTGTCACTCAGAATCATGAGCAGAAATTTCCTTCAGGGAGAAGGTTCTTCTGATTCAAACTCAGAACAAAACGCCCCGAGCTGACGGACACGTGCCGATACTAACCTCGGTGATTTCAGTGGCTATCAATTCATAACGAAATTCTCTCCAACGCAAAACAAAATAGGAGGCTTGCGTCCCTTTATATACTGGCGCTATTATTGAGGCAGACTTACTTCTCTGATGTGTACTGCCCTTTAACAGTTGACAGCTCTTTTTTAACACTGGTAATCACGTTGGTTCTGACGAAAAAAAAAAACAATCAAATCACATTTTCAGAACCGTTTGGCGCTAATACATAAGAGGCCCCCGTGCAGCGTCAGTCGGTGGGAAAGGTAAGCTTCGTGAATACTTCCTTAAAGTTCATCGAGATAGATGAAGCGCGGGACGAGATTTGAAAAGCTACCAGTTTCGAGCGCTAGAACTTCCTTAGAGCGTTGCTTGTTCCTTCTCAAAAAGGACACATCCCCGAATGACAATACGGACAAATGGACAACCTCTAGCCTATGAGAGCGTTTCTTCGCTCGCGGGAAATGATGAGGCCTTAAGCAATGCGAAACGGCGAGAGCATTGAAAATTATTAGTGCCAGACTCCCAGCAAATCTCTCCCCGACTCGTCTCAAATTTTTCCTCGGGCGGAGGCAAGGATGCGTCATATAACGCTAAAAATGAAGGCCGGCTCGCACCCTAAACAACCACTAACTTAAAATAGCGATATTCAACTCCCCAACGGCAGCCGCAAAACGATGACCTTGCGCACTACGGTATGATGCTTTGACTCCCAAACGACCGAGAAACTAGTGGTAAGCAACGCCAAAACCTACGTTCGCAGACTGCAAGGTGAGAGGTTCCCTTTTGAGTATTATTCTGCAAAATGCAGTTTGGAAATTGCGCCTACTTAGCCAAGGAAAAATGCTAGTAAAACAGAGAGCGAATAAAAGACTCCAAATAAAAGCGATGGAGCAATTTCTCATTGACAACAAAACAGAAGCCTTGAAATCCTTAGAAAAAGTTTCATATGAATCAAACGGTTCAAATGAACTCACTTGTCCTGTGCTTCTTGTACCAGTTTATGGTTCAAGGTTTTGATCTTATCGTCTTTGTCTTCGCACTGTTGGCGTAGTTTACGTATTTCCTCCTGGTTCTCTTTCTTTACTTCTTGAACATCTTTTGAGTATTTCTACAACAAGACACGCAAATATTTATCGAATAAAACCTTTTTCAAAAAGGGTACCAAAAAAGTAAAATCCAATAAAGATCAGACTAGACAAGAATTTCATACCAGCCCTCCAACATAACGATCTCTCAATTAGTAATTTTACAACGTTTCGTAAATCCAGTTCTTGTTTCAGCCCGGAAAATGTTAATTTAGAATCAAAATTTAAAAAGGGACTATTTTAGTTGGGGATAAATGCTCACCCAAAACTCATAAAAACGCCTGTTCACATCTACAATTTTCACGCAGTCATTTCTTCCGACAGGCTCGACTACCAACCCCTGTTCGAGAAATGAGCCTGTGTTCCTACCCTCCTTCTACTAGACGACTGGATCCGAGAAAACGGCGAAATATCGAGTCGAGCCAAGAGTTCGATCGATGCTAAATTTTCGACCATAACTATCCCTTTCCACCAATTCTAAAGTTCGGTCACTAATAACTGGGAACCAGGACCTATCGAATGCTCCACCACTAGGCTACAAGCTGCTCGTGGTAAGTACAATACATAAAGTTCATATGTGACACAGTGCTAGAATCAGCGATCTCAACAGCGTCCTACCTACCAAAAGGTTTTGAAAAGAGCAGCAGTTTGATAATTTTTATAAAACGATATGTCCTCAGGTTTTCCTACCACTCCAAAAGACCTACAATCAATTAGAGGTCCTTTCATGATGTGAGCCCTGTCTGAGCTTTTAGTTTGGTATGCGCGTTCGCGAAAGTAGGCCCTCGCACGGCCGAACATGCCCTGTAGCATCCTCCCCCCCACCCCCTGCAATTCGTCACTTTACCCTTAACCTTTTGACCCCTAAGGATGTCTAGTATCTTATTTGTCCTTACTATATCACCCCTAAATTGAACATCAGAGGTTCCGAGAATAAAGGATGATGAGATGAGCAACTAAAGAAACTCTGGGTTGTTAAACAAGTTCTGCATGTCAGTACCTTCAAAAGCGTATATAGAAAAGTTTGGAGAGTGTGCATAATTATGTTAGGGTGTAAAGAGTTTGAGCTCGCTAGTACTCATTAAAACTACATGGCGGAGAGGCACCGTGAGAGCGAAATTTATGCGAGTCATGACGAGCTTGAGCAGAGCCCTTTTTTTAAAGCACGAACGGCAACCAGAAGGTAAGAGTTATTTCCTCTTAAGATGGGTAAAGATTTTGTACGTAGCTTTTGGTTCTTAATTCCGAAACCATCGCACTACAGCCGATTCACTTGATTGCAAACAGGTCCTCATTTTTCCCGCCTGCGGGAAAGTAGGAGGCCTTGAGCCACGCATTTGCAAGGGGCCTGACACTGATTAGTACCAGACCCCCGGGAAACCTCTCCTTGACTCATCACAAATCTTCAAGCGGGTGAAGAAACGCGCGTCCTGCAGCGCTATAATAAAGACTTGATTGCAGGCTGCTGATTCGCTCTAGTCAGAGTGCACAAAAAGCAGCTCCTTCTCACTCCGCTCGCCTTCCACCTCACAGAAACGGCTGTGAATAGGTTCCACAATACATCAAACGCAAAAGTGGAAAGGAAAAGCGAGTAGTTGTGGGCAGTGTGAGTTCCGCGGATTACCTTCAAAATACCCTTGGGAACACATTGATTTATAATCACCTCTTTCTCTTGCAGAGCATCAGCGAGCTTCTTCTTTACTTTCTCCACTTCCGCAGAGTTCTTATTGAGTAAGGCGTTATGCCTGTCGACGTTTTCTTGTAGCCTCGCTTGTAAAGCGTCTTTTTCTGCCGCGACCCTTTGATATTCTGCCTTAAAAGGTTCAGGGATTGGATCTGTGCCTACACCTTTACTTTTCACATTCGGTTGCGTTTGCACAGCTTTGGTTTTGCTAACTATCGCCGGTTCAGTGGTGGAAACACCGGCGTTAAGTTTTTGATTACTTTGTGAAGGGTTGTTGTCCTCGCTCGCTACAAGTGAAGATACCTCCTTTTCAACTGTTTCAACAGAGGTATTAACTCGACTATCATCGTAGCTTGAGTCCGCAACATTATTATCATTTAAAGACAAATGCTCGGCTTTCAAAGAAGTCGTATCACTAGCAAAATCTTGGTAGTTTTCGCCTTGCGTTTCATTGGTGGATTTGGTGACAGTGAGATCACCTTCTGAAACGCTATCAACTAGAGTTTCACCATTCGAATTATTTTGTTCAGGATTTTCAACAAGAGTGTCGTTTCTGTCGATCGTTTGTTCATCATCGTCACCTTTTAACGTAGAATCACTGCCAATAGATGTTTTCGACGAGCTAGCTGATAACAAATCCGTTTGTGACGAAGAAACATATTCTGTACCATTCGGATTAAGCACTGGAGATGACGACATCGAGGAAGACGAATTTACGCCTCCGTCGTGCGGTTTACCAGCCGTAGTAAAAAGAACATCAACAGAATTTGATTTATTGTTGTCCTGAGTACCTTTTTCCTGTTTAATATTGGTTTTGAATCCACTATTCGTTCTGTCCAAGAATGGATTGTTACTACTCGCAGGTTTAAGAGTTTTTACCAAGTCTTCAAATTCCTTGTCCTCAGGTAGCATAACCCTGTTACCGTCAAATAAAAATTTTCCAGAGTGTTCTAAGATAGCTTTTAGTCCTCCAGCACTGGAAATGATATCTTGGTAATCATCCGGTAGCATGCTCAAAGGCTGCATGATGCTCGGGTCAGCGAGCTCCAGACCTCCTTGGACTCGTAAAATCTCATGTAACATTCTGCAAGGAGAAAGAAAAACAGATGCTAAGTTTCTTCAAAAGTATGTTTGAAGCCAGCCGAAACAAAGGCTCCTTCTGGTTGAACTAATGGAAACTAAGCGGCATCAAAGATAAAAAATTTGACGAGGAAGAACTTACGAGCTAACATATTCCGTGACTGCTTCCAAACTAATGGATGGCGGAGGTGGTAAAGACGTTGAGATGATGTCTGATGCCACTTCCATCTTGTAACTTGCCTCAAGCTCAGCTGCGCTATCTTGTAAATGAGGTGGAATAGCAAACGGTGCTTCCACCTCCTGCTGACTCCAGCCTGGTGGTTGAGTAACCACGTCAAATTTACTATGAAGGGAGAATAAAAAATTACAATTTACCTTTCACTCCATGGCCGGGTCGTTCAAAGCTGGGTTAAGATAACCTTGGATTAGGGTGAAATTTGATTTCAGATCTGAAAGCTTGAAGAACAAGTTCAGTTTATTTCTTTTTTAGTACAATTTGATAATTGAATGCTCTAAAAATAATGGGTAAAATTATTCCAAAACGGCTTTCGAACAGAGAAATATAGAAATCTGGATTAAAATTTAACCCTGGATTAGCGCTAGTCGGCCTTTGAACAACTGTTTCCATCACACGTGCTTTTACCTCTCATACTCTCACACAGACGGACCGATTAACGGACAGACAGATAGACAATCAGGAGTTACAGATGTCACATCGGCGACGCCTTGGAAAACATCGCTAAAGGAACGAACTTTCATTTCTTCAAATAATTTTACAGGTAGTTCGATTTATTTATTATCCTCAACGGCGCCAGATGTTCCCTTCAGCATAACATGAGAATGCAGGGTAAAGTTCGAAGAAATGCAACTTATGTGTCGTCTGGTTTCCCTTTCTCCGACTCGGCAAAGTTAGCGATTTCACGTTGTAGTATTGCATAGCAAGACCAGGAAAAGTACAAAGTTTAAAAACGTACGTGTTAAGTTATTGTCCATTCATCAAATATTTTGCTTCGCTACCCGGTTGCCGTCACCGTCGCGGTTTTCTTTAAGTACTTACTAAGTTGTTAAACAGTCCTTTGATTGGTGTTTCAGTCGATAAGTTTTCAGGAAACTCGTCAGTATGTAAGTAGGTAGGACGGTCCGTCAGTAAGTCAGTACTAATCAGTTAGTGAGTTATTCAAACTACACACAATCCGCAACTCCTCTACTTAGAAACTATTCATGGTGGCCAAATTATATCAACTCACTTGACAAAACCAAATTCTCCTCTAAAACCCCCCACCGGCGCAGCGCCACAGTTTCTTCAGTTAGAAACTTACTCTCTTTACTCATTGGGTCAGTCAGAGAGTCGGACAGTGTTTAATTATGAAATCAGCCGTAAGTAAGTCAGTCATATTGATTAGCTAAGTTTGTCATTGCTGTAATGACACCTTGCACTCTGGAGGCAACAATGTTTCACTTTTTACGTTGAGTAGCCACGGTTACCATTTAGGATGCGGGGTTTCACTCAGATCTTCGTAATCTTCACCATAAGGTGGTCTGAGTGTTTGCACTCCACCGTGATCTTTGAGAAATTCATCCAGCGTCTGTGTATTCTACACGAGGAAAAGAAACCATTACCCCATGTTTTGCCTCTAACGTCAGGTTTGGTGTTTCGAAATTGCATTCCTGTGAGGCGAGTCTCTAGGGTAATGTAACCGCAGTCTCAAGGCGGTTTTGTTTTTAATCGGTACGATTTTGGATTGTTTCATTAATACCTTTTTCACCCCAAACATTTCACATCAAATTACTTAATAAATTACCTCGCGAAATATAAGATTTGAGTCATCACTTTTAGTTGAAGGATACTTTTATGATGATAATAGTAAGGCAAAAGTTAGCAGACCGCATTTCGAACGACAGTTGAAGAACCACAACAAAATTAATCAAATCAAAGAAAAATATCAGAAGGAACTAATTCTAACTCAGAGCTAAAACAAGAGAACTGCCTGAAGCGGGGTAGAACACGAGTGAACAAGTCACGGTTGGATTTCATTTTGTTCTCAATTCGTTGAGAGGTTGGCAAGAGCTTTCCATTCCAATCCGAATTCCAAAAGGAAGGAAAGAAAATACTACGCCATACAAGATTACTTTCAACAAACTAATAGAATCTGAATTAGGATGGCCAGTTATGGGAAGAATTAACACGAAGTGAGGACGATGAGAGAAACCTATATGCTATCGGCACCCATGAGCAGGAATCAAAGCAGAGTCTTTTGTATCCAGGGCTTATTTTAGTAACAATAAGTACAACAGAGTCTACTTACCTTAAGTTTTTTCTTTTTGCTTTTAACCTTGTTTACTCCTTTTACACCAACTCCCTTTGAACAGAAAACAACCGACAATTAACATGAACAATTGCCCATTTCCAAAACGAGTTCTGGCGCTCTTCCTGTCATGTAATTATAAGTTTTCAGTCATGTGCAAATTAAACTTATTGTCAAACGAACAGGTGAGCACCAGGCCTCGTTTAGAAAAAGAGGCCAAAGGTAATTCGGGAATGGCCTATTTGCTCGGCGCTAAGAAGAGACGATATTGTAAACAGAGGTAACAGCACCTTACTACTTTCCTTACCTTGACTGAGTCTTCATCTTCCTCTTTCTTTAAGATAAACACTCCATCGCCTGCAAGATATATTTTATTCCGTATCAGCCTTCTAATCTGCTCTTACTACGTAAAAGATGTGATGGGATAAAATTGTACACAAAAACTCCTATCACCAACCTGTTGGAATGCTGGCATCAGAAGAGTCCTGACCACTCTAGTGAACAGATCATAGAGTAACCATTGTAATAATTTTGGATTTTTAGACAGCTTGAAGTAATACAAATTTAAGCAAGATTTATTAACAACAATACTATTATTATTAAGATCAAAATCACTTCTTTAGGTCTGTTTTAAACTCACATTTATTATTACAACTGATTTATTTCAAACTATTTTATTTTTGTCACATTTGATTCAAATTTGTATTTACCCATAATCCCTTATAGGTGTGTTTTTTTTCACAAATAATCAATTTCGAGTTCACTGACACAGTAAAAAGTAGAAATAATAACATTTTGTATTACATGGAGGCTAGTATCTCCCTAGTGAGATCAACTGGCACTCTAAAAACTGACTTTCTGCCTCTTTTTACAACTTGAAGATCACATCACCATTTTTCTCTTGGAAATTCAGCTCTCTTTTTGCGATTCTTTTCATTATATTTTAGATTCCTTAGCCTATTCTTTTCCTGCTTTTTCCTCCTCCACTCTTTGATCCTCGCAAGCTTTTCTTCCTTTTCGTTAACCATATCTCTTTTCAAGCGCACTTGTCGTGACCGGAAGCGAGTTGTGTTACCCTTTTATGTTACGTGCATGAACTGATTGCGAAACGCGTGATTGTAACAATAGGCTATTCATCTTAAGGATAAAATATAGAATTACAGACAGATGAGATCGATTTTGGAGAGAGAATACCACGACGTGTACCCACAAAGTGAGAGCTGTAAATCGTGAGAAATATTAAATCTGGTGAAAATCTTCATACGCGAGAGTTTCCTTTGTCGGCGAGCACCATTTCCCGACACACTTGAAGCGATATTTACAGATGGCTAAATCTCAGAAAAATTATTGAGCTTGAAGACCCCCGACCCTTGATAACGTCGCAGAAACCAAAATAGGAAAGGTTACCAAGATATTTTCGACACGGAGATGAAAAGATGAAGGCGAAAATGGCGGAGCAAACAGCAGATTTCATAGCGCTTTTGGTGGCATTTGTGGCGAGTCTCCGTTCTCAATATGGCGTCAACATGGTAAAAAGCGTAGCGACTTGGTCAAAAGTGAATATTTTGGCCGTTTCTAAAGATATGGACCCGAAAACTTGGAAATGACAAGAGAAACTTATGAGCATTGAAGTGTAATCGATTTCGAAACCCGACTTTGCCGTGTTTGAAGTATATTAGCGAAGGAGAAGGTAAGTTGATGAAAAATATTATTGCGTAATCAGGTTTTACAAAACCGTAGCGACTGTTTTACACTGGTATTTCTCCGTTTATAGTCAATCCTTTAGACTGATTTTTCGCTATTTTAGAACACCAAGTATGAGCATTTGGTTAATGTGTTTTTGTTCCCACAGGATTCCAGTTCAGTCATTCTGCGGACAACAACTTAGTGTACTTCCAAATTCTGAAACCCAGCGTTACACAAAGGATACTTAAGAATGATGAATCTTTTCTATGCGTTTTAATAAACTTGAAATGTCAAAGTTTTGCTCAAATGTAGTGTTTATTGTGTGTTATCATTAGGTGTAATTTGTTTGCTCAAACGAGCTTTCTTTTCAGTGAAAAATGTATTTAAAAAATTTTACCACTGAGATTGTGTTACGCGTTACAACCAAAATTGGCTCGATTTTTCATCTTTCACGGGTATTTTCTTAAAGACAGTAATGTGGTTTTCTGATTTTTTGCTTTTACTATAATCAATAAGAACAATTTTACCTGTAAGCAAAGATTTGGCTTCAATGAAAATGTAAAACAGAGGAAATCATTGAAAGTTTGCAGTCAACCCCCTATGGGCATGGTGATTGTGCTACTCATCTTAACGTTTATTATATATTAACGTTAAATAATCCAAACCTTAGGTCGGGTTATTGTTATGTTCGTGTTGAGTTAACAATCATCTCATAGCTCATAACCAGATAATTAATCTTTTCCTTCTGTCAATGCATAACAGACCTCAATATATAGCTGGAAGCGCCCGTGGGCAATATGAAGCAGATCCTGTGTTCTGATAGGCTACCCAAGCACGCAAGATAGACCCATTTTGCCCGCTCAGGATTGCCCGCTTTGATCCCACGCAAGCGCATGGAGCGGACTTACAGAGTTCGTAACTTTTGGACAATGTCGGCGATGAGGTCGCAAAAAGCGACAGAAGACAGTCAAAACAAAGAAAACATAAACGACCTTCGTGGGTTCAATGAGCTGCAAATACTGCTGGATTTCTTTCCCGGCTCTCAAAATAAACAAGTCATTCCTGATTCTTATTAGAGCGTAATCTTTTCGCTATCTAATAAATCCTTCACTGATCAAGCTTGTTCGGTTAATATGGCTGGATATACGCCTTTTTTAGCGTTTTAATAGACCTCGACTTCGTCTCGATCCATAAAACGCAAAAAAGGAACTCAGCCAATACCAAGCAATTTCTTATGTTGGGGTGGAAAGGGTTGCGGAAAATGCATCGATTGTGACACACCACTTGGCATAGAAAGACAAACATTCCCCTTATATGTCAAGCCAGCAATTACAAAGTACGCTCCATATGAGTCTAAGTTGTTACAAACAACACTGTGCCTAGCTTCCCTGGGTAATTTCTTTTTCTTCTGTTTCAGCCTGCATGGGTGACAATTTCTTTGGTGATGAGTATTGAGGACGTGGCGCGAACAAAAAAACGGAGCTTTGCCGCTCAATGCTTTTAAGCAAGCACAACCCCCAGCTACGCAGGAAATTTGATTATCTGTCTAAAATAGCAAGAAATGTCTCTTGCCTTTTCCAGCTGATTGTGGTCTCCCTTCATCGGTTTCCCTTCTTTTTGTCCTACAACAAAATTAGCACAAGGAAGTATGAGCTCGTCATTAAACCGTTACTACAAGGAATTGACATAAAACTGCCAGAAATGAATAAAATGTAACGCCTCACATATTTCATCTCATGTACGACTAACGAGTCTCACATAAAGACACCTTATTGAGACACGACAGGATCAAGTTTGTTCGCCATCTTTGGAGGAATAAGGTTTAACTCGAGTGAGACATACATAATTGTCCATTATTCTCAATTTCAAAGAAACAGCTGTAGAGAACAACGGTGTAAACTGACCTGGTAAGGGAGGAGGGGGTGGGGGGTTATGGACCACCTTTTCTTCACCAATGTCACTAGGCGATGTTTCAGGTGTCGCAAAGTCCTCTATCTTGATGTCATCTTTATCCTTTTTTTTCTTTTGTTTAGCACCAGCAACACTAATTAACGAACAAATGATTATTACATGAACCTGCAAGTTCCAAGAATGATCAGCATCAATTGATGGAAGATTAAATTACAATTCAATTTACAAATTTCTAAAAAATGGTGAGAAGCATCATCAATGAACCAAAACTAACAACTTACTTTGCTTTAAGTTTATTTTGCTTTGATTGTTTTGGTTTGCTCTCCTGTTTTGTGGCTGGCTTCTCATGCTTAAACTAAACAAACGAAACATTCATAAATCATAATAATATCTCCAAGCATTCCTGCATGTGTCGTGCTGGGCCAACGAAAAATATAAATTTCAATGCAAAATGTCAGTCTTCCCTTCAACATCTACTAAACCCACGCACTTGAACATTGAGTTTAATGCAAAAAATGCCTTCTTATCCGCCAAAGCCCAGAAGACTACTTAAGATCTTACATGAAAGTAAACATGTGAAAATCATAAATGTGAACTGCGGTTTAAGAAATTAATTTGGAAGCGATCTTCGCCGTAATGGACACTACTTAGGCTGTGGTGAAAAAGGAAAGTCTGAAAAAAATTCAGGCCAGTACGGGATTTGAACCCATGACCTCTGCGATACCGGTGGTACAGTGCTCTACCAACTGATCTTACGAACCAACTGGGAGCTGGTCAATATGTTGCTTCGTAATAAACCCGTGAACTTATGAATAAATAAGATCTTACACTCACTTAAATATGCATTGCATAAACACATCTCTAATAAATGTATTACCCAGTAAAAACAGAACAGAAGAAACCGTTTGTAGAGAGAGGTTCAACTGTATCTGTCTCATCAACTAATAGTGCCAATTTAGGTTAAGTTCATTATCACACTTATGACAGCCCACCTCAGTTTTAAGACCTTCCATATCATAGATCTGGACATTAATTACAGAGCCTTCACAGTCAGGAGTCATGCAGATGTCATCAAGAAAGTCCTGGATAAACAGAAAAAGAAACGTAGTTAACATGGCAGCAAGGGTGGTACACTTACAATGGCACTCAGCTCCTATTTCTGTACCTTGCATTGAGGCTGTTGATAGTTCTCGTCATTACTCTATGCGTTTCTCTTAGCTAGTGTTCTTTCTTTTTTTTTTTCTTTCTCCAAAAACAAACCACACCGAAATTCTGATTCAACCTTACATAGAAGAAGACAAAGAGCCCCCACATCTGATTTGTTCTATTTCTTATCCATTCTTAACAAAAACAAAGACTTTAAGTCTCGTCATCATCCTTTGTTGCTTCAAAAGTTACCAATAACTGTTTTGCCCAACCTTGTAAAAAATATCTGACTTCCCTTCTCCCTGGCCAAAGCAATTTACTTAATTTAACTTCATGAGCAAGCTCTTGACCAGCAATATAACACTTGTTGCAGCTTAGCGAAAAAAAAGACAGACTTCTTCATTATTCTGTCCGGAACCACTCTTTAATTAATTTTTTCTTTGTACTCTCTTTCAGTGTTCAACTGATTTATGTGAAATTCTACCTTTCTTCAGGAGCTCAACTACAGTAATAATTCTGCATGGCATTACTTTCGACATTTTTATTCTTGCCTTGTCGCCGGTTTTTCCATCTTCGGAGCTCTTTTGCTTTTTCCAACATCCTGGATGGAAATCTACTTTACAGTTTTCATGACAGATTAGTCGTATGTATCCTTTGTAGTCTGAAGTTGAGAAACAATAGACAGATTATGACAGGAAACCAGGTACTCTTAAATCAAACAAAAACAATTAATCTTCTGGAAAGGACATGTACAGAAGAAGTATAAACTTTATTCTGAACCTTCCAGAAGAGACTAACATCTGTTCATATCTTTTTAGCCCATTCTATGCACTCAGGTTATAAAAGTAGTGCCATAGTGGCACCAGAGTGAGCCTCCTTCCTTTTTTTTTCCCCTGCTCACAAACTTTCACTCCACTTTCACTCAGGGGCTCACGAATCGAGCCCCTGAAACAGGATGGTCACTTCTTGTATCCAGTACAAAACACATTATGAGAACAAACAACCTTACTTTTTTTGATATAACTACAAATTCTCTAAACTAATTCGTAAGAAATGTCTTGGTATTTAAAAGAGAGAATTGCTCATCAGATCAAAAGCACACCTACCAGGATCAGTAAGGTAAATCTGTGTTTTATTTGGACAATCAGGATATCTGCAAATAACATCAGGTCGCGGTGGATGACGACAAATTCTAATTAACGTCTGAATAGCACTCTGAAACGAGAGAGAAAGATTGAGACACATACAACCACAGTATTATTCTGAGATTTTGTTACTGTTCAAAAGACAGCTGCCAGTAATTGAAGGGCTGAAGTCAAGGAAGTTTTCCCTAATGTAAAATTGGAGTTACCACATATCAGCCGAGTCTATGTCCCTTTGGTTAAGAGATTCACAATCCATTCGATCAAGGAAAAACTCCTGAACTATTGAAAGGGGATTTTTTTTGGCAAATGAGTATGGAAAATTTGCATACAGCAAATATTCTACTGCATTTTACAGCATCAAAAGAAAAAAAACAACAACAACAATATAATGCTGTAAGTAAAACTCCAAACCAAGTTTTCTAAAACAGGAATGAATATGCCTTGAATGGGAACAAAAAAAATTACACTAAAATGAGAAAATATTATTACCAATAACTTTCCAGGTTTAGTGTCGTCAATAATGACTTGAGACCCAGGCCATCTATAAGAAGCTAACTTCTCATCACCCAATTTGTTTACTAAACCAAGGCCTTCTTCTAAATGATCTAAGGCTTCTGTGAACCTAAGAAAAATACATATAAGCAGGTTTTGATTTTTTGCACTGAATGAGGACAACTCAAGACAAGTCAGAGAGGCATTAAATTTAGGCTATTTGTATGATGCATTAAAATTGAAGAGTTCTGTTTGGGTAACAAGAGGTCAGTGTCATAATTTCGCAGATATTTTCTGAAGTGGGAGACAAACATTGTGCGGTTTCTGAAGCTCATCTCTCCTTTAAGATGTTGAGGGTATTTTCAGACAAGACCAAGCTCAATTATAAGCTGCCACACATAAATTGTATTAAAATAGTATCAAGAATACTCAAATGATTTTGAAATACCATTTCATACCTGTTCTGTTTATAAAACACCCTTCCTGTTCCTAAATATGCTAAAGGAAAGACTACAGTTTTATGTTCTACTACAATAATCTCAAAATGTTTCTTGGCTGCCAGTAGTTCCTGAAAAAAGAAAAGCCAAATCAAAATAAATTTACATTAAGATACAAATTTTACATGATGGTTGTATTCTAAAATAAATGACATTAAAGCATGCCACAAAAATTAATGAACCTAGAAACACATTAGAAATTACTGCTTTTCAATAGACTATTATGGCCTGAAGCTATCTACATTTAAACAAAAATTGTAAGATGTGATTTTACAAAATTAGAAACAATTGTCTACCTCCTGGCCACCAACTTCCAAGAGAGCTGCTCCAAAACTATACAGTAATATAACAAAATCTATCTCCTTCATTTCATAGATCTGATGGGGGAAAAAAGGTTCCAGTAAGTAAGCATGAGAACTCTCACATCATCATCAGCAGCTTTTTATAGCTGCTTGTCTTTATGCAAACTTCTGTTTTTCAGCCATGACAGGAGCAAAATAACTTTTCATTTTAATAATTTCAGGCAACTGGTGAGTGCAAAGGAATAATTTAAGATTTTAAGTATTACTGTAAGTCTGTTTTTACTACTCAATATAAACAATCCATACTTGTTCATTATTTTCCAACCATAAATAAGTAGATGTCTCTCAATACTTTAAATGTTTAATTCCAAAATAATTCATGGCTAGCTTAGTCTATACCCATTGGCAACATACCCCCAAAAGGTTAAACAAGTAGATTTAAGTATTTAATGACCATAGTGGATAATTTCTCTGCTTACAGACTCCTATCCAGTGCTACATTTACATTTTCTAATCACTAGATGCTCAGCCTGTCAGAGTCTCCACTTCAGGGAGCTTGGCAGGCTACCCTGATTATAATTATAATATTTACCAAGCAAAATGTAAAATAGTCCAACACACAGTGTGGTCAGAGACAGGTCACTATGAGCAAAGAGGTTCATTTGTACAATAAACTTCAATGGTTATTGTCATTATCATTACCAAAAGTACTTACCTGGTATTGATTACCATTCTCTTTTAAAAGTGCAACAGCCTCTCCATAATTACAAACAGCAATGTCATTTTTCTTTTCTGTCATAGCTTTACTTCCCTATAAAGAACAAATTAAATTAAGAAATTTATAAACAACTCTGTGGCCAGTGTTTGCTAAATTTTATCACTTGAAAAAAGAAGTTACTTGCTCTAATCATGGGTGCAGAAAAAAACATCCAAGTCCCTCTTAAAGAATTGAACCCCAACACTTTAGCTTTCACACTAAGATGGACTATTACAAAGCTACAGATAACTCCACCATGAGCAGAACTTTCCCTATAATTCATAGCAAAATAAACAAACAAACCCTTATTCAAACACAAATACTGTACCCTCTGATTTTGCTTTTTAATGCCATGTTTCAGTGATTTTCTTTTTTGATATCACTTTTAATTCACTGTCAAGAGTTTTGGGTCACACAAAATGAGCAACATTATCCCATCTTAAAATTAAAAGAGTGATTGACAGATCTATTCAAAGGATTTCACTTTGCACACTTACTTGTTTGAGGTGGGAGGTAAATTCTCTTAACTTTGGATTATTCCCACCCTGATCTCCTTGTGACCCCTGCAAGAGATAAATATGATTAACTTTCCTTGCCTGAAGACAAGTAATTTTAAGCTAACATCAATACTGTTTCGACACAATGACTAAAACAAAGTGAAATAAGAAAAAATGACAAATATCAAGTTAAAAACTACTGGTACAAATGTACAAATTTATGGAATAGAATTTATACCATGACCTTTTTATTCTGCTTTACTGGCTTTGTAGCTTCTTTTTTGACTGCAGGCTCTACAGGCTTCTTCTGTCTTTCTTCTTTCTTAGGTTTTTCCTCTGTTTTAGGTTTTTCCTCAGTCTTAGCTTTTTCTTGAAGCGCTCCTCTGATAATTTGTTTGATCTTCTCACTTGGGTGACGTTTCTTGGACTTAAGAGAAAAACATTTGATAAAATAAGTATCAACCAAAAAACAACAGAATTAAAGGAAGGATTGTAAAGATACATGCATGCATTTTCTTGAAGTTTTTTTTACCTTTGTTGATAAAGCACTCTTTTTCCTGCAAATCAACATTTGAAAATAAGTTGGAAAAAAGAGCTCAGTTAATTCATTTATTGTAAAATCACCAGTCAACCATAAGCATCAATCCTCACTGAATCAGTCAGACCATTGGCCACACAGTTAGTTGGCCAGTCTCTCTCAAAATAAAAATACAAAAAAAGCAAAAAAGTTAACAAACAACATTTGATGATATATTTACTCACTTGGTTGCAGATTCATTTGATTCATATCCTAGATAATGAAGAAACAAACAAAAAATCTCTTTACCAAGTGTTCTGAGAAGGAATCAAATAATATTGATCACATATCAAATAACATCACTGCAATGTGTCTCAATGTAGCTTGATCTCAAAATTTAAACTGATCCTTCAAATCCCACTCTCAAGCAATGAGAATAAAGAAAAATATCAATAAGTGGGTTATTAGTTAATCCAATTCCAAATTCCCTGAACTAACATCATAAGAAATGTAAAGCAGACAGTAAGGAGAATTACTAATGAGATCTTGGGAGTGAAAAGGTTAAATAAATATGGTCATGGAAGGTAATGGTAGGCTTACCATCAGAGGTTTCTGTGTGAGGATCCTAAAACCGAAAAGGAAGCAAACATCTCATGAAGTAAGAAAGGACAATATTAAGTGATAGTCAAAATTTAACTATTATACCTGTACTGAAAAGAATATCATATATAAAATACAGACCAACAAACAGCACGATGTAGTTATAAAATCTTAAATTTGCAACCTCCCTTACTCTACAGTACTTAACTATGTTTCCAACTCTATCACTATAAAAGAAAGATGTTGTAGCCAAGAATGGAATATAAGCATAAATAATAACACCTTCAAGTAAGTTTTTACCTCTGTTTTATCATTATTATCAGAAACATCACTATCTTCTGAACTTTCCAGATCCACCAAGTCAGGTACCCCCTCATCATCAGAGTTATCTCTGCTTGTGTCACTGGACTCTGGATCTACCAAAGCTGGAAGGTCCTCTGGCTCACTGACAAGTAAACAAATTCCAAATTTAGACAGTTTCCTTGAACCCTTACTGAACCAAGGTATTCAGAAGAGAGTGAGTAAATTTTTTTTTTTTTTGTTTCACATGCACATATAAACTTTAGAGCCTGAACTCAACAAAATTAGAGCAGTCTACCAACAAAGAATGCCCCAGTTATCAAGAATTTCAAATTTGCACATCAACAAAGATTTTCTCTCTACTAACTCACCTATCCCTAGAATCCTTCTGTTTAGCAACAGAAGTTTTTGATGGCTTCTTATTTTCTGTTGCTTTTCCTTTACCATCTTTAGCAACTAAATTAAGAGGACATGGGAAAACAACATAGTCTCTTTCTTTCATAGTTTTCTAGTTTCTTTTGTTTAGATTAAAAATCTCCGGTAGTCCCCCTTTCCTCCACAAATTTTTGTCAAGGGGGTCAATTTTCTGGATACTTGCTTAAATGGTACACCAAAGCACGGTGTTTCTTGCTAGGCCCTAAATACAGGTATATAATTATTTGAGGTATTGACTGATGAATTATATGTTTGATACATTACTCTACTTAAGAACTTTTGTTCAAATGGGCTCTTGCAATGATCAAAACTGTATTTGTCTTGAAGAAAAATGTAAAAAAGACATACCTCTGTCAAACATTCTGTACTGGGCTTCCAGATCTTTCTTGTCAGAGCAAATTTTGCATGCAGCTCTATTTGCCTCCTTTGCTCTGGTAATATTTCCAGTCTCAAAAAATGCCTGTGCATATCTGTATTGAGCCTAAAGAACACAAATGTGCCATCACGAACTGTCTTAGTATTTACATGTGACTTGCAAGTCACTTTGTTATTACCAAGGCAATCATACTCAGTCTAAAAACCATATTTATCATTAAAATTATAATAAAATTCTCTACCTTATGCCAGTCTGCCTTAAGTACTACTGCTCTCCTGCCATCTGCAAGGGCACTCCTGTTAGAACAAACAACCCTAAATTACTTCCATTATATGTGTAGAGAGAGTCTAACATACCTTGAGGTATGTGATCTTTTCTCATGCAATGACAAAAATATGCATGCAAGATGAGGAAAACCATCATCACACAAACCATTAGAGGCAAATTAAGAGATTGAAAGTTAGCAGGAGTAGTTTGATCATACACTGTGAAATTTTGGCCTGACCATCAATTCATGAAGATTATAGAGATAGTGCTGTTCATATTCTTAACTAATTTAGCAGGTCAGTAAATGGCAATTCCCCTCTAGGTCAACTACAACAAATATCAAAGAACAGAGGACACAGCTATTCTGCTTTATTATAATGAAAAACAAACTTAAAATGCCATTCAATAGATTTGTGCATCAACTGATGTAACTTAAATGTTCATAGGCAAAGATCCATGTAGTTATGACCTTACCCTAACTGTTTAGTTTTAAGGAAACTCTGCGATCGGTTACAATAAAGAACATGATTATATGCACTGTAAAAAGAAAAGAAACATCACATTTAATTGTGTAAACTTTAAAATCAATGGAAGTATGATTGTTGAAAATGTAACTACAGTCATGACTCCATTATCCACAAGGGGAACTACCTATCATGTTCTTAATCCTTTAACTCCCTGATCAATTTGTAATTCCCCTCACTGTCAACCATTCAATTCTTATTATGTTAGTTCTGAGAATTTAGTATTGGATCAACCAATTATCCCCAACTTGATATTCTTCTCTATTCTCATCACTTATCCGGTTGATATAGTATTAATATTGTAAGGAGAAATTCTGTCTTGGTCGCTCATTGGAGTTAAGGGTTAACAGGAAGGCTCCACCCACACAAAGAAACTGTATTTTCAGATGAAGTACAAAGCAAGTAAAGAAATGATCCTCAAGGGTGAGTTGCAAGTAACCCTTTCACTCCAAGCAGTGACCAATATGTACTTTCTCACTTTAAAATCAATGCAATATCAAGTAGACAAGTGATGAGAATAAAAAAAACATCAATTACAGGATTATCATTTGATCCAACACTAAATTCTTAGAACTGAAATTATAAGAATTCTTCATGCATATGGCAGACAGTAAGGAGAATTACTAATAGAAGATCTTGGGAGTGAAAGGGTTAGAGCATTGCAAAAAGAAAAATATATAAGTCTTAAAAAAATTCGAGTTTAGACTAGAATTGAATGTGTGCCTCCCAGATAGAGATTTAGAAAAGTTGCAATTTATAATATAAAATGAAATACTACTTTCAGAAAACTAACCCTTACCTCATATGTAGAGCCATAGAATAAACTGAAATTGCACGTGTATATTTTCCACTGGTAAATGCATCATTTCCCTCTTTCTTTTTGTCAACAGTTTTCTGTAATGCAGAAAGGTACAATCACATGATTCTTTAGATTGCATTAAATAATGAAAACAAAGTTCAATTTTTAAACTCTAACAGCCAATTCTAAAGCCTGGTTTTAAACAGGCAAACAAGTATGAACAAAAAGCAAATGTATGTACGATCTCTGCCAACTTTGTAGAACAAAGAAATCTTAATGTGCAGAGTACAATGTCTCACTTAGTTATGCACAACTTTACGTGACATTTCTTCTGTACCTTACAAAAAATGAAGACATATGTGAAACAAAATATATCATGTCTAGGGAATGAAACTAATTATTCCACCTTTCACAGAGCAAGGAAAAACAAAGTTTCCATGAGCCACATGCATTGTTCTCCTTTATTTTTTATACATGACAAGTCAAAGAGTAGTGGTAGTATCACCCTTTTACCTGTTAAATTTTCAAGACTTCAAAGCAATTTTAGGCAGTAGTAAGAGGTACTATAGGCAGTAAATTTTACCAGTTACTGCCTGAAAAGGAAAACATTGCACAAGCCAAGGATTAAGCAAGCTCTGCAAGAGTCATTACATTGTTTCTACATGCATCTCCAAGGGGAAAGTACATAAACACACCTCACATTCTTTCCTGACAAAACAAAAATGACAAACACCTTTTCAATAGTGATCAGAACCAAACAAATACACTCACCTCTTCTTCTTCCTTGCACCTCTTGTTGAACTGTTCAGCAAGATCCACACCAGCTGCTAACTGTTTGACATGATCAGCAACTGTAGGAAAAGTAAATATTGTCATTCACTTGACCCTCTCTCACAACTAACTCCCAACATACTAGCCTGTGTAGAAAAATTCTGTTTGAAACTTCTAAGCCAAATACATTCAAACTTCCTTATGCAATCGGTTTACGGTCAACTCGCCGACGGACCAACTCGCCGACACCAACTCGCCGACGTATAAAATCGAGTAGAGACGTCGGCGAGTTGGTCGTCAATCCAATACAACTTATTAGAAGCTAAACATACAGAAAATTAAACGATATTTAGTAAAAAAACATTGGACATTGGTGAACATCAAACAGAAGCTTAAACATCGGTGAACATTGGTGAACATCACCAATGACTATAACAGCTTAAAACGCGAACGAGTTATTGTGCGACAACAACACCGTAGAGACTCATCATGTCAATCGCTCAGATTTTTCAACGAAAACGTGGCTTTCTAGACGAGATCTTTAGTAAAAAGCATTTCTTTTTATTTGCAACAAAGTTTATAAGGATCTTAAGGCGAATAAAGCGAAGTAAACCTCACCAACGACTCTAACAGCTTAAGACGCGAACGAGTTATTGTGTGACAACAACACCGTAAAGACTCATCATGACAATCGGTCAGATTTTAAAGGAAACTTGGCTTTCTGGTCAAGATCTTTAGTAAAACGCAATTCTTTTTATTTGCAACGAAATTTGTAAGGATCTCAAGGCGAATAAAGTAAAGTAAACATCACCAATGACTCTAACAGCTTCAAACACGAACGAGTTATTGTATGACAACAACACTGTAAAGACTCATCATGACAATCGGTCAGATTTTTTAACGAAAACTTGGCTTTCTAGACAAGATCTTTGGTAAAAAGTATTTCTTTTTATTTGCAACAAAGTTTATAAGGATCTTAAGGCGAATAAAGCGAAGTAAACCTCACCAACGACTCTAACAGCTTCAGACGCGAACGAGTTATTGTGTGACAACAACACCGTAAAGACTCATCATGTCAATCGCTCAGTTTTTTTTAACGAAAACTTGGCTTTCTAGACAAGATCTTTAGTAAAAAGCATTTCTTTTTATTTGCAACAAAGTTTATAAGGATCTTAAGGCGAATAAAGCGAAGTAAACCTCACCAACGACTCTAACAGCTTCAGACGCGAACGAGTTATTGTGTGACAACAACACCGTAAAGACTCATCATGTCAATCGCTCAGTTTTTTTTAACGAAAACTTGGCTTTCTAGACAAGATCTTTAGTAAAAAGCGTTTCTTTTTATTTGCAACAAAGTTTATAAGGATCATAAGGCGAATAAAGCGAAGTAAACCTCACCAATGACTCGAACAGCTTCAGACGCGAACAAGTTATTGTGTGACAACCATAGCAACCACGCGGAACCACATGTTTTTTTTTTAACTTTAAAGAAAGATTTATTCATGATCGAGAACGTTTGATTTACGATAAAAACGATAAAATTCCATTTATTATAAAGATCAGATGAACATGTGAAAGTAATGTATATCATGCAATTACTCTGCTCTTGTAGGTCCGTTTGATCTCGACATCGATTTCAATAATTGGGCCGCTGTTCTTTCACCATTTTCATATTTCTCCCATAATCCAAACACCTTACTCTGTAATTGCCTAATAAAAAGAAATGCTTTTTACTAAAGATCTTGTCTAGAAAGCCAAGTTTTCGTTAAAAAAACTGAGCGATTGACATGCTGAGTCTTAACGGTGTTGTTGTCACACAATAACTCGTTCGCGTCTGAAGCTGTTAGAGTTGTTGGTGAGGTTTACTTCGCTTTATTCGCCTTAAACTTTGTTGCAAATAAAAATAATTGCATTTTACTAAAGATCTTGTCTAGAAAGCCAAGTTTTCGTTAAAAAATCTGAGCAATGACAAGATGAGTCTTTACGGTGTTGTTGTCGCACAATAACTCGTTCGTTATAGTCATTGGTGATGTTCACCAATGTTCACCGATGTTTAAGCTTCTGTTTGATGTTCACCAATGTTCTCCAGTGTTTTTTTACTAAATATCGTTTACTTCTCTGTATGTTTAACTTCTAATAAGTTGTATTGGATTGACGACCAACTCGCCGACGTCTCTACTCGATTTTATACGTCGGCGAGTTGGCGTCGGCGAGTTGGTCCGTCGGCGAGTTGACTGGTTACCATGCAATCACCTCTTGGAAACATCCAAAATAAACAATTTTTAAAGAAGTTGAAAGCAATTTATTGGAGTTAACGACAAAGAGCATCAGTGTTCTCTTGTAGTGAGCAGTTTTTGCTTACGAGCACGCATTGGAATTCCATGCGCTCTTTGTTTGAGGTGTTCAGCATTGTTTGGAGTGGCAGCTCATAGTCCAAGCACCCCTTCCCTCCTTCTATCCACTGTTTATTCAGTGTGACGGGTGCCTGTTTCCCTTTTCTACCTGAGGGCTCAGGGCTGGGTTGCCTAGATTTGCCAGTCATGGGAGCAATCTCCATCTAGGAGCTGGCCACCAATAGTGGAAGCTCCTAGACGTCTCAGGTACCCAACCTCTACTTATCCATGGATTAAGGCCACCCCTTTGACCCTACATACATTTTAAGCAACTAAGTCGACAATTTACAAAAAGTACAACAACACTTAAAAAAGTCAAGCAGGTCACATGCTTAGTTTTTCCACTCAAATACAGGTGTGTATCATGCACTGTACAAGCACATGAAATCTTACCTTGATTGTGTGCTAAAAGTAGGGCCACATCTGCTTGTTTCTTATTCAATCCTGACTTCAGCTTGATCTTATCTCTTTTAAAAGAGTTCAATATAAATTTAGACATTGTCTCTAGCAGCTTGCAACACTCAAGAGTTTAAAAGCCAAACTCTCTTAAGAAAAGTATGAGAGTTAAGGGGGGAGCTAAGGGGAATGTCCAGAACAACATCAAACAACACAGTACATCTGGACTATTATCAAGAGGAATCTTTGCCTTGTGAAATGATAACATCTGTTCAGTACTCCTTTAACTGCAATTGAGCATTAACTTTGCATAAATGATTTTATGTCTTGATATTTTAAACAAGAGTTTCAATTAAATAAGAAACCTCTAAACCTCTGTCCTCTCCATGCAGGACAAGGCTTGAAAATCATAAGCTTTCTTTCACAATTTAAGATTTTAATTCCCTCCTTAACCTAGGTTGTCCACATATTGGGCCTTTGGGTGATGTGTGCACCTTTAAATTCTTTTTAGGAAAGCAAGCTTGAACATGCTCATAGACATATAGTCATTAACACAACCCATTGTGCAAAATGTGTGAAACATCCCTTTTCTTTTTTCACTAAAGACTACTTTATAACCTTTGGTTGACTTGATGTAACCTTTAAGAAAACCGTTGCACATTTTAGAGAGTAAAAACCTGATTACCTTGTGTTGCTGAAGGAAAGAAAACTCTCTGCACAGGTTATTGCCTTGTCACTGTGTTGGGACTGGTCAAAGAAAAATAAAGCAAAAAAGTTTGGACAGAAAACAGATTAATTACACAGCCCATACATAGCCATGTTTCAAACAACAATAATTGTTTGCAAAAGTGGTAATGCTTGCCTTGCTTAGTAAAGAGGTCTGTAACAAACACCACCAGTTTCAGCTCTATCTTAACATACTTACCATTGTCATTCTTGGATTTCCCATAATGTCCAGTGTCTTAACCAAACCATCTTTATTTTTTAGAAGCTAAAGAATAATCAATCAAGTATGCATTTTAATGGGGGCACTACAATCAAAGATAGTCTTCTCATTGGACATGATTAATTCAAAAGCACTACACTAACCACGTTTTCAGCCAGTTTGTTGAATGCTGTTTCAACTAAATCCACTACATTAAAACGCTCCTCACTCAATTCCTTTATCTCAAAGTCGCTAGTAGAGAAAAACAAAAACAAAAATACAATCAGGAAAGGTGCTAGGTAGAGGAGAGCCTAAAAATTCTAACCTTGAAGTGATATCCCATTTTAAAATTTGATATGACAGTTTTAGTCTCTTCCAGAAACAATGCCTACCATATGGTGTTTACCCTGAATTCCTCATTAACCCTTAAATGCCCTAGAGGGACTTGCTTCTAATTCTCTCTAAGTCACCAAAAAACACAACAATCTGCATGGTTTACATTTTGTTGTATTCTGCAATTAGACAATGACTTTTTAGGGGGCCCCTTCAACTTGTTGAAAGTGTCTACCTAACACTTATATGGTCCTAACCTGACTTCACAAGCACAGGCACTTGTTTCACTAGTGAAGTCACCAGCTATTTAATAAAGAGTGCATGATCCACCAAATGACATCATAGAAGCAGAAAATAAATTTTAATCACCCCAATACCAGACTGACTGAGTGATTCCAGTCCCACATAGATATAATCCCCAAGGAATTTGAGGAAGGAACTATCAGCTAAAAACTTATCAATCCATTAATTGTCAATCAATGATACTAGCCTTTTAATCCCATTAAAATTTCCTGTGAAGCTTGACCCTTTCATTCCCAGAAGTAACCAAAAAGAAATGTCTCCTTAAAATATTAATAAATTTTCTAATAAAAAGGTGTTAAGAAGGAAAGAAAACATATCATGTTTAGGGATAAGGTTTGATTGGCCACCAAATTCACAAAATTTAAGCTAAAATTATAAGCAATGTATGTATGTTAATTTTTTTTTATCTTGGAAGTGAAAGGGCTGGAGTTAATCATAACTGCAAAAATAGTACAAGAAAAGGAATGAGAAAATTTGGGTAAAAATAGTGTAATCTTAAGGAATCTATTCAGCACTGAACAAGTGTCATTCACATCTTCTCCCAAATTGTAATACTGAATCCTGATTTTTGAAACTACTACTGACTGAGACCATAAAAACAAATTAATATTATACCTCTTGGAGGGTAACAGCTTGCAATCATATGCCCAGTTAATCCACTAAGAAAAAGAACATATGAAAGTGTTCTGTTCAATAACAAAACCTTACGTCATTTAGACACTAAGCCCCAAATCAAATGTAGCAACACACACGTTAAACATTTCAGTCTAACAAGTAAATTGATTCAGCCAAAACTCTCATGTCAAAACTCAACAAATTAGGTTTCACTCACTTTTAGTGATGTTTAAACCAGGCTTGAAATGAGTATAACAAATGTGTCTTACCTTGTCATCTTGATAAACTTGACCAAACAGGAAAGGTGATAGTAGGTAAATCCTCATGACACGGATGTGACTTTCCTTTTCATCTTTGCTCAGTTTATACCAAATATCTGCACACTCAGCTATCATTTGATAAAAAAAAGAAAAAGAAAATGAAACATCAAACCAAGTAGAAACAGTAGAAAACAAGAAGAAAAACAAAAGGGTTGTAATCACTGTCATTCTCACAGGCTATTTTAAGTTGACCCCACATATTCATGTTAAATGTTTGTTAATTCTCTAAAAATGTTTTAGAATCATTTGTAACTGCTTCCTCTTAAAGTGCCTGTGACATGAAATATTTTTTGCATTTTCAGGTTGATAGCTTTATTTAAAAGTAGAAATAATCAACTTTAGTGCCTAGTGAGTTTTCCTTGACCATTTTTTTGTGCATTGAAAGTATGATTTGGCAGCCAAAAAGTGCCCCCATTAAGCGCGCGACCAAAACGATCATGTTACATAGCTGTGACATTGAAAACTGTGAACACATGTTGGCAACTATGGTGGAGAAAGGAAAAATCTAGAAGAAAGGGCAAATGTATTGCATGACCAGAGTGCCAAATGATGTTAGCTACAAGAATAATACATTTATACATGTATTTCTACACACTACTTTCCGAAGGATGTAGCTCTATGGCCAAAATGGACATGTCTCGATTGTCAACATCAAGGAGATTTTACTCTTCAATGTCATCTGCCTTGTGCTCCATGCAAGCTTTGAAGATGCCTGTTATGAACATGTACCACTATTCAAATCAGAAGATAATCAAAGTCAGCTAAAAAGAGTGCTGATTAAGCAGCCTGTTCCCACACTGTACACGATTGTTCCACATTCTTTTTAGTTGACATTTTGCAAGCAAAGAATAGTGCTCTTCCTGTTGTTGATTATAGCTTAGGGTTGGGGTTTGTTTTCTGTTTGGTTTGATTGGCTCGATGATCATGACGATAGCCTCTACCTTTACAATCTCTGAGGAAAGGAGCAACTTGCAGTGAAACTGCCTGATGACTTCTTGGTGAAAAATTACTGTGCCTCTTGATACAGCTGATTCTTTTGTCGAAAGTTAGTTCTTGGTTTACTCCAGGAATTTCTCTATAGCAATGAAACTCTAGAGCACTGACTACGGGGAACCTTTGTCACACAGTGTGAAGGAATAAAATGTTATGGCAACAGAAACAAACACAACTAGCTATTCTTACCATAGATTTCGCCTTAGAAAACAAAACACAAACACAACAAACTAAATATTCAGTAACAGAAATTTTTTACTCTAATCTTGACCTGAACACTGCAGTTGAGAAACCGTCTTTGTCAGTCTTTGTCGAAATCTCTGTTTGATGCATGCAGTTCTCCTTCATAGGGCTGAACCATACTCACAACTTCCATTTCTTCACTATTACTTAAGTATGACGCATCACAATTCTCAGTAGAGCTTGCTGAAGGTGGGTATACATCTCTATTACATATTATTTCAAGAGTATTTCAATGCTGACAGATACAAAATTACAAAAGATGTAGGTGTCAACTGAGAATTTTCACAGTTTTCTACATAATCACCTACTAATTTGTTACCAGTCCACGGGAGACGTTTAAAACAGAATAAGAGCACTTCAGGGCCCAAAAAAACCGAGTTTTAAGTTTTTTGAAATTTTTCTTCTATCAGAATTGGTTTGTACATATGATAAGCTAAATATTTATACAAAAAAGAATTTTGTGTCATAGGCACTTTAAGAAGGTTTGGAAAGTGCAAAGAGTACAACAAGATAGAAATCAGCCATCCTGTTGTCTGCTTTTCACAAATCAATTCTCAAGATGCAATATTTAAGATGCAATATTTAAGACACTATCCACAAAACAAATGATTAAATACAACATTAATAACACCTGTCACACCAAATTCTTTCATCTCAGTTACAAGCAAATGTATGGCAGTAGGTGATGGGAATCTTGGGAGTTTGAGTGTTACTCCACTGTTTTTGGTCAAAAGAGAGAAACTGGTGGGAATAGTCATCACTAGACTTCAAGTAAAATGACTGATCCTAACATTACAAATTCTTGGCTTTGAGCAGAAGGAACTTAACTCTTCATTTGTCATGATTACAAAATAATTGACAATACAGAAAAGTCTTAATTACAAAGACGTTTGAGCTGGTGTGTTCATTTCCTTTTTTTTTGGTTTACCAGCATAACAAACCATGCTGGACAATGGAGAACACAAAGAAGTATACAAATTATGAGATAGAGGTAAGGGATTTGCAAACTTTTCGAGTGTTCACCCAACCTATCAAAGGGATTATTACATCATAAAACCGATAGAAAATGCGGTTTATTACTTTTATGAATAAATTTGAATTGCATCAATTTCTTTGGTTTTACCAGTGCAATAAACGAAAGGTTTTTGGCCTATCAGGTCTCTCGAAGTAACTCGATTCTGATATAAATTCCGATGTATCTTTATTCAGATTAATGCAACGTAAGCATCATTGCCAAATCAATTTTAATTAACAACGTGGTTAATTTAGTAATTTCAGTGATAGCGAGTTCTACAGGTTCTACTTTTATCCTTTTGTATTTCTCATTCACAGCACTGACTATCAAGTTTATGTCTAATTCGGAGTCTCATAATAAACTGACCATTGTTTTTTGCCTTCGCTGTTGATTTGTCCTTTCCCTTGGTTTTAGTCTTGGACGCAGACTTCTTACGGTAACCTTCATCCTCGGAGTCCTTTAGTTAAGGTAACAAGAGTTTTGAACTCGCGTTATTCACCGGCCATAAATGCAATGACGTACACGGAAATTACAAATAAAATCAACTTTTCTAACCTCGTCGTCCGTGCAAGCCACCAATTCAGGCAAACTGTCGTAGCTTTCATCGGTGTCGCTGTCTTCTGTAGTGGTTTTCGCCATGCCTGTATTGAAAATTGTCAAATTACCTTGCACTAAATTCACTTCAATTGAATTATTCCATGTTATAAAACTTTAAAAATCACCCCTTGCTTCCAAAATATCAGTTAAATTAGCCTTACCTTCTTTGTTCGCGTTTTTAGCGGCCGGGATACTAGGCATGTTGCTATTGAATGATCGCACTACTGACCAGAGCGTAAAAGCTATTTTGATCGATGAATTAAACACCCACTGTCTAATTTCAGAAATAAAAAACTTCCCTAGAGGTTAAAACAGAACAATAAAGGACGAAGGACTATCCGAGCATGCCAGGCCTTAAATAATACTGCCACAAGAATGTCGTGTCAGAGTGATTAAGATGGCGGACATGCTTTCAACCTCAAGGGGACCCTGGACAGGCAAAGTTGAAATAAAGAACTAGAAGGGCTTTCCGATTGGTCAATTCTGAAGGCTGAAGTGCAAATATCAAATATCGCTCTGAAAATATAAAGTGTATCATATTTCAAAAGAAGTCTTTTAAAATTATATTAAAGACTTGTAACTGTCAAATAAGATTAAGATAAAGAAGATTGAAATGCTTGATGAAGTGACGAGAGTCCTGGAAGAAATCAATCAAAAATAATTTCGTTAGGGAAAAATAATTAGTTTCCTCAGCAACAAGGACATGCAAGTAAGACATGTTGTAACCCTCTCCAGGAGTGGGAACATGTTGTGAGAAAGTTCCTCCGCTTCAAAACAGGCTGCTAGGGAAGGATTAAAAATAGAGCCACCGAAAGTGAAAAACAGATTGACCCGTTGAGCCATGTGTTTTTACACTTCCGTCATGCTTTTTTTCTCTCTCAGTAACAGAGAGGAAAATGATTAAAAAGGAAGAAATATAAATAGGATTTTTACCCCGAAAACCTTAACCTGCTGAGCGGTACATATAGTACACAGCTGTTGAGTCCATTAGGTTGTGATTCCGTTTAAGCCCCAGTGTCACGCTTCCTGTCACGCGAAGCTAGCGAACAGCCTGGGCATCACCTTCTGAATTAAGCGTGTAGGAAACGTGCGGACCAGTGAATTGGTATAGAGAGTACACCTTCCAGAGCGAAAGGTACCAACGTAATGTTTTAATTATACTCTCCAGATCATTTGCCTAGAGCTCCAGACTTCCTTTTATTACGTAATGTTGTGGATCAAAGACGCGACTTTCGCTTTCTGAAACGTTACGTAATCCTTCAAAACTATATTCATGTGAAATGTTCTTTTAAAAGATATTAGTTAATGTCTGTCTATCAAGTTGACTTCTAAGAAAAAAATTGCTATTAATTTCGGACGAGATTTCCTACGCTGTCGTCAAATTGTTACGAGGCGTGGGGGGGAGGGCCCAAGAATCAGGCATGGTTTGATGCTACTCTGGTTTAGAGATTTAATGAATGTAACCGAGAAGTTACTTCACAGACTTTGTTTATACGGGTCGATGAATTGCAACTTCTCGGTTACATTCATTAAATAATGGTGTTCAGCTCTGATATTCAGTATGTTGGTAACATTTGTCTTGTCCACTTGTTTACATTGTCCGGCAAGAAAAGGATGAAAAATTGGGCAGTTATCACAGGTGCTGGGACTGGTATTGGTTCTGCTTTGGCCAAGGAATTGTCACGTCATGATTTGAACGTCCTTGCAATTGGACGCAGACTTCAGCCATTACAAGAAACCCAAAGTTATTCTCCAGACAGCATTTATCCTCTTGCTGTTGATATAGCAACCACTGATGGCCAAAGAAAGATACTGGATTTTATACCAGAGGGTGACAGTGTAAAATATTTGGTCCAAAATGCTGCTGTGGGAGTCCCATCGAGACTACAGGATATTCAGCACGAAGAGTTTGAGTATGCCTTTGCAGTAAATGTCACTGCACCACTCATGCTAGCCAAAGGATTTTTCACAAGATTGAACTACAGCAAGGGAAGGATAATTCACCTTGGAACAGGAGTTGCTAAAAAACCACAGCTTGGAACAATTACCTATGGAATCACCAAGATGGCTTTTCAGAGGCTTTACGAGCAATTAGCTGTGGAATTGAAAGGGTCACATGTCCAAATTGCTGATGTTCTTCCAGGTGTTGTTGATACAGAAGGACTGTGGGAACATATTAAATTGGCTAAGGAACAACAACTGCCTCATGTATCCTATTTTGATGAGGTTCAAAAGGAAGGGAAGATGTTAAGTGCAGAATTTGCTGCCAAATTTTTGAAATTTGTTCTGGTAGATTCATCAGATGAAGAATTCTCTAAGGTCTGGAACATTCACAATAGCGAACATTGGCAGCAATGGCAAAGAAATTAAACCTTTTTGTCAGGGAGTTGTAATTTTCTAAGGGTATGTTACAGTGATATACAGGATGGGACCAATACTTAAAAGACAAAAAAAAAATTATAACACACAGCAACATTTGTAAGGTGCAATTTTCAATAAATTAGCTCAAGAAACCATACTAGGGGCAGCTACTAAAGTCTCTAGCATTGGTGCAAAGTTCGAAGTTTAGTAGCTTAAATGAGTCTTGATCGACATGTAGCTCTTCCCTTTCCTCATTGTTGTGACCAGATTGTTTACTGATCTTGTAGCTACACACTCAGTCTTTCAACAAGAGTGCTGTATTTACTTCACAAAGATAACTATGCAAACATTAGTATACATTGTTTCAATCCCAGCCACTTCTCACCTCTTCATTCAACTGGGTTTTCTACTAATGTGTGTCTTTTTTCTTTAAGTGAAATGCCACTTTTTAATATCCAGGCAGCAACCAGCAATTAACACCTTTGAGAATTTATTGGGACATATAATGATTTACCAAGTTGCTTAGAAAAATTATGTTTCAAAGTTATTTGTGAACAATACAGATTTATTTGCATCCACAAGGGACCATTGAATGCTACAGCATGTAGCAAAGTCTGAACTAAACAAAGTGAAAAAAATATTGTAGTAGCAACAAGGTATCTCTAAATATAAGTAAAATGTGTTTCATGATAATAGAATCTGCAATAAATATAAACATGATGATTGATCTGAAAAAAAAGAACACTATTAACAACCCTTTTCACTAGCTGGAATGCAAACAATATGTAAAGCACCTTAGTGTCATGAATAACAAAACTGTAACTTTGAAATATCACATCTCTTTAATCTGGACTTGTACATCTCATAATACTGGAATAGTATCAAAATTCAGGCATTCTCTCTATATACAAAAATTCTTTGTATTACAAATGAAAAGTAACAATATTATATTCTAAATGCCAGTAACATGTTTCATTGAGGCTCTTTTTTCAAAACATAACATAACATTTTTTTCTTTTGAATAGACTTCATCTATGGAAGAGATTACTCTTCACCATGTCTCAATGTTGAGATTTTTGTTGATTAATTACTGCTGAGAGTGGAAAAAATTTGTCTCTCTATATAACAGCTTAAACAGACCTATTATAACCAATTATTATGATGTTCAACATGCCAGTAACATATTTCACTCAGGCATATTATTTATAAACACAGCAATTTATAAATAAATTCATAGCATATCTTTTTCTTTTTAATAGACTCAGTTTATGAAAGAGATGATTCTTAGCCATGTTTCTGGTAATTACTGTTGAGACTGGGAAATACTAAATTGTCTCTTTATACAAAAACTCAAATAAAACTATTATAGCCTATTAATATTTTGTTCAATATGCCAGTAACATGTTTCATTTATTTATTAGTTGTGTCATTTATTCCTGTATTAATTACAATATTTTCAAATGCTTATCCAGCTCCAGTTGTGTAGAGGTAAATGGCAAAGGATATCCAGAGTTCAAGTAGCCAATCACAGTGTGCCTTCAATGTTACTTCAATGCTACTTTAAGGAAAACTCTTTTCAATTATTAGTCTCAGAAATATCGTCAGACATGATCAACTTGATGTGGGGGAATTGTGAATTAAAACAAGTACTAGTCTGGGCTTCCAGTTGTAATATGAATAGTTAAATTAATCAATTATTTCCAAATAAAAACCATATTCATTTATCATTTCAACTGCACAACAGAATCGTATACACTCTTTGCAACCTTATCTTTCAACCTATTGATTACAAGTTATGTGGCAATCTGATGGTCTGAAAAGACTTATTACAAGCCAAACAACAAAGAACCAGTAGGGCTGAGGGATGAAAAACAAAACATTTCCAAAAGCCTTCTTTCCCTGGGAACAAGACTAAATGAGGTCAGATTAAACTAATGTGGGGAGGTTCATTGATCTCTTAATGAAAATGGATGATTTACGCCTATCACATTGTAGAGAAATGAGATGGATCAAAAGGTGACCTTGACATTGCACATTAAGCAAAAAATAACTGGGCACAGACTTTGATGCCTGTTTAAGGAAATTTACAGTTTTTTAGCAAGGGATTCTGCTGTGCCAATTTTATGGCAAGCAAATCATACATCAGTCACTTAAGAAATTTTATAGCTCTCTTTGTGGAAGCTCAAACACTCTTAAGGAGCTTGACATAATTTCACCTAATCACTCAGAAACTTTATTGGTAATTTTACAGTTGCAAATGAAGTATAGACACAATTAGTTGTATATAGCATGAGCTAGTTGAGGCAAGTTGCATGAAGAGGACAACAGATTGATAATTGAAACCACTAGTAAGCTTCTGGTACTTATGACAATCTCCTGAATACCAGCTTCCCACAGTAAATGTCACACCTATCCATTCTGTCAATGGTACCACCTAAATGTATTGGGGGTCACTTCACATCTCTCTAAACAGCAGAGAACATAAAAGTTAATTCCTATCATCATTCTCTATTAAGAAATAAACATTTAAGGATCAAGACATTTCTGGCAAAGTGAAATGCAAGTCAAACTGGTTTGAAGACATTCTAACTTAAAATTTGTTAACATTCCAAAGAAACAAGGAGTTCCAGCCCCTTGAGTAATCATCTATTTGTTGAATCACTTGTCGCATACCTTAAGAACCAGAGAAAATTTGATAATTTTAATCTGCGAGTTTCATTAGTACACTCTGACTCAAAATTCATTTTGCATGGCAGAAGTTTTCTACAGAAATAAACAAGACAGAATGAAACTGACACCATTCATTTCGAATAACACACGAACATGAAGAAAATGGCACCAGTTTAAACTCATGAGACAAAGCCCACACATTTTTTGAGGTAGATGAACTGATTAGACTGAAAGCTAAATAAATAAACAATGAACTGACATTGTTGAAGGATTTGGGGACCACATGATAAATAAGCTCTACTGAAGTTTATCTTCTAGTTAGCACTTCAAGCCCAAAAATGCAGTTAGAAAAATTACCACCGAAACTCAGCAACAAAATAAGATAAAACCAGGATTATTGAGGCAAGACTATAACTGTTGTTAAGACACATGTCTACATACCATGCATAACAGACTTGGAGAGCAAACAGGCCAAAGACAGTTGTGAGTAATGACTTGGAAAATCCACATTTTCCTTCTACACTTCCAAGTCAAGGCAAAGTAAGTTAGGTAAAGACTCATTTGCATATTTGCAGATTTCCTCACTTCCACACTTCCACACTTTCACACTTCCACACTTCCACACTTCCACACTTCCACACTTCCACACTTCCACACTTCCACACTTCCACACTTCCACACTTCCACACTTCCACACTTCCACACTTCCACACTTCCACACTTCCACACTTCCACACTTCCACACTTCCACACTTCCACACTTCCACACTTCCACACTTCCACACTTCCACACTTCCACACTTCCACACTACCAAGTCAAGAAAAATGTGAGTAAGGTAAAGACTCATTTGCATATTTCCAGATTTGCGCACTTCCACACTTCCACATTTCCACACTTCAACACTTCTGCACTTCCACACTTTCAGACTTCCAGACTTCAGACTTCCACACTACCGAGTTAGGATAAAAGTGAGTAAGGTAACGACTCGTTTGTATATTTCCAGATTTGCACATGCACTTACACACTTCCAACTTCTACACTTCCACACATCTACACTTCCACACTACCAAGTTAAGATACGTGCAAGTAAGCTTATCACACATTTTCACGTTTCAAGGTTATTCTAAGCTGATTAATTTTGTGTGCAGCACATTTACATTGTGATGACGTGTTCTGCGCTCTTCTAACCCAAGTAAAAGCCCATTTACTTCACCTCGCTTAGTATTGAATTTAAAGATGTGATGACAGCATTAACAATGTGAAACCCCTTAAACATTTCACCCTTTTTGGCAAGTTACATTCCAAACAGAAACACATAATAAAGACAGCAGGCACGTAGCCAAGTGGATAATGGAAAGTCTCGAGTTCTCAGATTCAAATTTTCTATCACACCGTCGGATTTGTTTCTAGGTTGTCCAAAGTTCAACACCTCTGCTGCGCCTTGTGAAATGCCAAACGTTCTGCCTCTATCAGTTGGGAATTTTTCTTGCAGTTTGCCCGATATTTACTAAAGTTTCCTCTTACAAGCACAGAAAGAAACACGGTAAAGTATTCACAACAGATCGCGAAGAAAGTAACCTAGTCACGCGACCCACGTTAGCGCACTAACATGGGTTGCGTGACCAGGTTACTTTCTTCCGTAGCAAAGAGGTCTCAATATTCATGTTTGGTTTCAGTGCTTGACCTTTCCCATTCTCAACCTGGAAATGCTTGCCACCGAAGAAAATAAAACACACGATTTTGTTTGGTGAAAGGCCTACAGGCAACGCAGGCAGATTGTAGAAAGCGCATGTAAATAGTTTTTGTTTTGATTTTATGGCTTTTGTCTTTCTATCGCATTTCGACTCGGTTGTTTTGCATGAGCGCGTGACTTAACTTTAAAAATGGAATATATTATCCTCGATAATCCTCCTTCCACTTCTAGACTTACTTTTTGAATCTGTACAGACAAGTTCTTAACAGAAAAAAGTACAATAGAGCGACTGCGCACAGTAAGTGTTTTTCCGTTCTTTAAGAGCGTGATACAAGTCATAAGTTTACCGTACCGAAGTCACGAGATGTACTCTAATCTAAATCAAAAGTTATAGAGTGGTGGAAAATGGCGTCATCCGAATCAGCTGAAAACCTGCTTGCGGGCTATGACGACCAAGAGAACGAGCCCTACGAAGAAATTCCACAAGAAAATCCGATTTCTCTGAAACGTTCTTTGGGAATTCCAGGTGGAACTGCTTTTCTCATCGGCACGATAATCGGCTCCGGCATCTTCGCGACACCGAAATGGGTGCTGTTTTACGTCGGTTCAGTTGGCATGTCCTTGGTGATGTGGGCTTTCTGTGGGGTGATTTCTCTACTTGGAGCACTGTGCTACTGCGAATTGGGAACTTTGATTCCAAAATCAGGTGGTGAGTACCAGTATCTGCTGAAAGCGTATGGTCCTCTTCCAGCTTTCCTGTACGCGTGGATGTCCGTGTTGTTTTTGAACCCGGCTAGTCAGATTATGGTCCTCTTAGTATTTGGAGCCTACACTGTCGAGGCGTTTCTACCGGGATGTAGAAATCGAGAAGAGTATGTTCCGCTTATTAAGTTACTAGCAGCTGCAGCATTAGGTAGGTTTAGATGAGAAACGTAAATCAGTTTTATATTGTTGTACTCTCGTTCAATAATATAATCTCCTCAAGATTGTTATGGTAATATATCAGTTCCTAAGGTTCAAATTTCGAACATGTATTCAAGGAACTTGATCCGAGTGTTGTGTGACTCAAAGTTCTGCCCATTAGAAAATTGCTTCTCATTTCCTTCTTTCCCCGAGAATCGTCTATCATCTATTTGAAAACAGTAGAAACTAGATATGCTTGATTAACTCCTTTTTATTTTTTTTAACCTGTTTTATCTTTGCTTCTTTTTTCTAAGACAATGATAATTTCTAGTACAAGTGAAAAAATTGACCACCCCTAGAAATCAAACGGTCCAATAACTCAGTCGTATATGGAATACGATGTGATTGTTTTGCTGTCGAGATTATAGCGCCAAACAAGTGTAACAACTCGCGAGAATTGGCGTGGACTGCGAGTCGTGACATCGCGCTCCTCGTGCGCCTTCCATACGCTGCATATGAAACGCTTTGAAATGTGGTTTATGATAAGGCTTTGAAAAAAATAAAAGAATTTCTAGGAGAACAAATATACACGATGGACATCAAAACAATTAATTATATCAAATTTTCTTTTAAGACAATGAGGTTGGGAAATCCTCGCAAAAAGTCCCGTGGATCATCTGACAGACTACCAAAGGTGCCAATTTGTTGTCAAATAATGGCAACTTAAGAATATAACTAATTTCATCATTTTCATCGAATCTTCAGTCGTTATCACCTTCGTCAACTGCGCAAGCTTGAAATGGGCCGTTCGAATACAGATTTTCTTTACTGCGGCCAAGATGATCGCCATTTTTATGTTGGTATTCACAGGAATTGTTCGCTTAACACAAGGTAATTTTTTTTCTATGATTCGAGTGTGATCATCGTCAACCAGAGTGCAGTTTGGGGACCATCCATTGTTTATCATTGGAGGGGGTTTAGATGGTTTACGTGGTTTTCAGGGGGAGCGAAGTCCCCCCCCCCCTTATACTCTGTCGCCAACAAAGTATAAAGGAGGGGACTATAGAAAACTGACTGCCAATTAACGTCATTAACTGCCAATGAGTGGGTATCATAAGAATATTGCAGCGCTTTATAGGGGGTATGCGGCAAACGAACATCAAGACCGAATGAAGAGCCAAGAAAATCGCGACCGAAGAAAATACGAACCAAACCAGGGGATAAGTTACAGAGACATGGCTTTAATCAATCTCGTAAACTGTAAGCGAATTAAAAAAGGGACTTATACAATCAACTGTATTCAATTAAACACGTGGCGACTTAACCAGCGTAAATGAATCTAACATAATAAAGGAACTAATATATGAACCAAGTGCCACGGCAAACACAAAATATATATACAAAATAAAGACGAAAGAGCTTGCTCGAAGCGAGATAAAGGAAAATTATAACTAGAAATAACCTCCTGACGATACGAAGGCGGTGACTAAATAACACGCACAAAGACATAAGATCATAGCAAGAGAAACGCTACCTTGCATAAATGAAGCAAGCTTCAAAAGTGAAAAAAAGCGAATACAACTTACATATCAGTCCCTATACGCCGGTGGCTTGAAACCAAACTTAAGAAATTAACTTGGGATGAACGACGGACATGAACAGTGAATAGTGAAAGGGCGTACGATGCAACAACTAAAAATCAGCGGGAGAGAAAGACTATCCGAAGCAATCAAATGGCACAAAGGCCAACTGTAACACAAATGTCACGCAAATTTAAAGTCACGCATTTACAGGGGGGATCTAGCAAGTTTTATCGTGACGCAACCAAAATCCTCCGACCTCTTATTGGAATTTCAAAATTGCGTTTCAACTGGCTCAGAATTACATGGTTTGCCTTTAATACAGGCACTGCACACAGGGAAAACACCAACTTTTCAGAAAAACATTCAAACCTTTTATTGCGTTTTCTTCACTCCGCAATTATTATTTTGCTCCATTTCTTTGCAGGCTATACAAATGCCTTTGAAAACGCATTTAACGGAACTAGACCAGAGATAGGAAAATTTGCGTTTGCCTTTTACAATGGACTATTTTCATACAATGGATGGTGAGTCGATGACGGGAAATCGATACTGAGTGTCGTTTGATTCTTATAGGGTCTTATAGGCTCAACCTCAACCTCAACATTCTCTTCCCTAGGAACCAACTGAATTATGTCATAGAGGAAATAAAAAATCCCGAAAGGTGAGAAACACGAAAACGACAGGCAGTTGATAACATTACAATCGTTTTGAATATTCTGTTGCATGTATTTTTATAGGAACCTTCCGCTTAGCATTTTCATTGGTATCCCTCTTGTGATAGTGTGCTATCTGTTGGTGATTATTGGATACCTTACGGTGCTTACACCACAGGAATTTCTGACTACTGATGCGGTTGCTGTCGTAAGTAACTCGTCTAATAACTCTTTGATTTACGGTCCAGCGGTAAAACTAAGACCATATTCATTAGACAACATTTAACAAATTGATTCTAGGACCATCTTGCCAGAGTTTAAGGTAATTTCTGATCAAAATGTAGTAACAACAAATGCGACCGTACCTTGCTTGATTAGTTCCGTTAAAACATCACACACTCTTTAAACTCTGCGCAATGTGAACATAGGAAACGCTCAACTCTCTCACGTCATCTCAGAGAATCGTCGCCATTGGCCAATCATTCAGCCTATACTATTCGATTCAATAGAAATCCCTTTAGTCTACCTTACAGTCCCTCAGATAAATGAGAGTCAGTGCGTACAAAATGGTGTGCGCGAGCGAGGAGAAATACTCGGAAAATTACAGAGGTAACTCTCTCCTCGCGTGTAATCGTCTGGATGATCGCCTTCACAACTCGTGTGGTCCTTAAAAAGCTTTTATTCAGGAGAATTCCTATTTCTAATCCAATAACCAACGCTCATTTATCAAATAGCGTTCTCCATTTCAGTTTTTACTTTTGTTTACAGATTACCTTAAATAACTTAGCTCCAAAACAGGCGCTTTCTTTAAGGTCTCTTAAGACTCTCAATGCAAGGTCTGTGGACCATAGATGAAGGATATTTTTCGAGAATTATGATATATCGGTGTTCAAGGATAATCAACGCGAAGGCAAAAATCTTGTCATTATGACTTCACCACGGAGATAATAACTCGCTGTTTCGTGATCTACAAAGACTAGCTTTTAAAAAAACAACATTTTGACATTTGTCTACCCCACCACAGTCGTCAGATCGGTCATCACCAAGCGAAACTCACTTAACACAACTCAGGCTTTGCACGAATAAGAAGATAAGGTCACTTTAAAAAATTGCAATTAAGATTAAGTAGAGTATTTTTCTTGTTTCCATTTCGACAGACCCTAGCAAACCGGTTATATGGAGTCATGGCTTGGAGTATTCCGATACTCGTCTCTTGCTCCACGTTTGGTTCCGCCAATGGCAGTGCCTTTTCAGGAGGAAGGTATGGAAAGGTTGATATTATTTCATGCTTGTTCATTGGAGTTTTCTCGTTAATATTAGAGGAGCGCCTCTTTGATGCCTTGAATTTTTTGTGAAACAGAGTTTAAAACAAGGGTATGTGAGGGGTGAGGAGATTCTTACATCATGTATCACTCGTGTTTGCTACCGGCTGAGATATACTCATTGAGTACACTGATTAGATGTTCCTCACCCACCCCCACCCTCACCCCTATCAAATCTTACATTATTCGAACAAGCAGGCCTCATACCCCTCTCCCCTTCGCCCCTTATCCTTTCACCCCCACCCCTTGCTTTACGCCGTTACTTTTACCCCTCCCCCCTCACTCTCTTACAGCCGACTTCGACGGTTGTAAGATTTCATCCGATTGCAAACTCTTTCGATTGATTTCAGAATGATATTGAATTTCAGATTAGCTTTCGCTGCCGCAAGAGAAGGTCATCTTCCTCACTTTCTCGCCATGATTCATACCAAGCGAAGAACCCCTCTCCCGGGGCTCATATTCTCTGTAAGTTATTATTTTCTTGGAATTGCGATCGTCATTAAACTGTTGTTATCCCGTCTTTCCCAACTTTCTGTTATTAGTGAGTCACAAGGAATCACCGGGAAAAATATAAGAGCATGAGCACTCGGTGTGAAGCGTCCGGGCTTAGCACCTCTACTATTCGCATTTTGCCAAGTTATCTTTTTCTCTGATTTCTTTGGAAGCCCACGATGGACTGACCTGCTGAAAAAGAGTGCTGCTCATGGCGTACATATTCCTGAAATGACACCAATTAATGCGCATCAGGTTTGAATTAATTTCAAACTGATCAAATCTGGAATTAATTATGATAGCCTTGCTCTCTGAGATATAATATGCATTATGTTAAATCGCACTTCAAGTTAAGCTTAATAGCCTTCCTTCGACATATCTCGACGGTAAGTAAGAAACTAGACGGAGACCACCTCGTCTAGGCTTTACTGCGAGACTTTCATGCAAAAGTTGAATAGCCTAATTACAATGATCTCGTGAGAAGCCCACGAGATGCTCTTAAAGCGACGCGAACGAGAACTTTCTCACAGGCTATCCAACCTGAAGTTGTGCAACAGTACTGCTTAACACAAGAAACAACTTCAATAAACTTTGGCGAAAATGGTACCGCAACGAAAAGTTAAAATGTCGCGCAGGGAGATTGCCCCAAGTTTTTCTAAGGGCGAGTGACATTCCAAAAAGAACTGACAAGTTGACTAGGCAGTGTCAAAACTTGTCGAAGTTTTTTCCTTCGTTTTATTGTCTTTTTTTGTTTTTGTTTTTAGAGTATCATTTCGTTTGTGATGATCATTCCTGACTCTTCGTCTTTTGAGGTGCTTCTAAGCTATATGGGATTCTTCAACTGGTTCGGCTATTTACTTTCTATCTCTAGTATCATTTGGCTGAGGTACAAAGAACCTGAGGTCAGGCGACCATTCAAGGTGGACATTACAACGTTCATTTGATTTATTTGAAAAGACTTTTAGTCTCATTTACGTTATTCCGAATGAATATGCGAAAGCATCCTCTTCATCTTAATGAGTCGACAATTCTTTGAGGTGCTTGTTTTAGGGGAGCGTCTTTTGAAACCTCTAAATTGTGAATCGCAAAGAAAGCCACTTCTAAAATGTTTTATTCAATTTGTTTTTTAAGTTTACAAAACTGTTATCAAGATAAGAAAAAAGTAACCCATGTCATGCTGGTGAGGCCTACTTAGGGCATATTTTAATTGAGTGTATATGTCGGAAAATAATAAATAAGATCAATTTCATCAAAGATAATTATCACAAGGAACTTATGAACTCAGAGTAAGAACAATCAACCTGGTCAACGCGCAGGAAAACGGGGGTCACCAAGTCGCGTTTGGTTTTAGTTTTGAATCTGAGGGAAGAACGAGGTTTCTAAGCCAATCACAAAGCGTAATCAAGTAAATTGATAAGGTCATATCAGCTGTCAATGACTGCATTCTTAGTATGGTGACCAAGCGCTCCTCCACTTTGATTTGCTTAACTTTGCCACGTGATTGGTCTAGGAAACTTGCGCCATCCTCTTGACCAATCGGGTTTAAAACAAAAATCAACCGCGACTTGTTCCCTAGTTTTTTCCCGCGCTTCATGAAATATTCTTTTTTTTTTTCCACTATGCGTTCTTATTGGCTCCTCGTTTAATTTTCCTTCCCGCTGATTGGCTGTTCGATTATCACCAGCTAAACTTTTGTCGCTGGCGTTTAACTTGGTTGTATAATCAAATATATAGCTTTCTCCTCATTTCCTTGCAGGTATGGTTTGGAGTTCCCATATTCATGGTTATGGTTTCATTGTACCTGGTAATTGCGCCCTTTTATGAGACCCCACTACAATCATTTTATTGCGTGCTGTTCGTTTTAGCTGCAATTCCATTTTACTTGGCGTTTGTTCGATATGAAGTGATTCCACGGTGTTTCCTTCTCTTTTTTAGTAAGTATTTATAAATCTTTTAAAAATTGATGAATCTTTTCCAAACGATCGGCCTATCAGATTCCCTACAATCCAACTCGATACGCAATTTCTGAGTGCTCTTGTCCCTTTTGAGAGGTTGTACGGACTATAATGCTTACACTTTCGAAATAAATCCTAGCAAATGACGATACTGATTTAGACAATAAACTCGATTCTTGATTGCCTTTAAAGGGAAACGCTGAAAAGTTTGTGGCATATTGCGTTCGTTGCGGCCGCTCCATTAAACCAGACGCGAGGAGTTGAGTTGGATTGAGAAGTCACGCGCGGGTGTCTCAGTGCTCTTTCCCCGCGTGTTTTTCTTGCAGATTTGTGCTTTCTCACTGATTCTATGCTACACATGTTAATTTGATGATAAACTTATGACCCGTTGAGAGGACGTAGGATGCGTACCTTAGGTTCACGGTTGCTCTGCAAACCGCTAGCTACGATGTGTAAACTGTTCAACTCGAAATCTTGTGTAACCAAATTGCGATCTGTCATACGTGGCTGAGAGTGCGCAGCGAGTTTTCTAGACCTATGTTGGGGACCGTTCATTATCAATTGCTAGGGGAGGGGGGGTGTGTGGAGAATTTTTGGGGGGTCGCATGGTTTCCAGAGCGAACGGAGAGGGAATCAGTAGTTGCCAATAGAGTTTAATGAGGGGTACTATGGAAAATTGACCGCCAATATTAACTGCCTATTAGGTGGCGATCATTTTCGAACATCAATTGGAAATATCTCTAGGAAAGACTAACAAGAGGTCTCCAGTCTCAACAATTCTTTGATCTACGCGTTTCTTCATTCTTCTCTTCAGATCGTGTAACATACAAACTTCAGACAATCTGCGACGTGGCGCTTCCTGTGGAGGAAGGAGACATTGAGGCATCTTCGTCATTGATGAGCCAACTATCTGAATAGAAACAAACCAAGAATGGAAAGGAGGAAGGATTCTTGTTATAGACCTGAAAAAACCACGAGAAGAAAAAACTAACCTTGATAGAAATAGTAACCTTGTTGCCCTAATTTAGGGGCTAGAAGAGGAGAGAAACTGAGTATAAGCTTTTGAAGGAATTCGCGTTAGTGTTTGATCGTATGATCGGTTCTGATTGGTCGCACACCTCTGTAAAGCTATAATTCTGAGCAAAGGGGCCAAGTTTGTAAAGAAACTGTAATTCTGCGTCGGTGGGAGAGCATAACAAGGTAATTAAGTGTTATCAACTGAGTTGATAACGTAAATTAGCCACCGTAAACAGTTTAAAAGCTAGCGCTCGAAACGTCAGCTCTTTACGGTAGCTTATACGTTATCAACTCAGTTAATAATACTAAATTACCATATAATTCTAAGCCATTTAAATTAAGAACTGTATACATTTCCATTACTCGAAGTAATTTTTTATCTATACTGCCTAGCGTGCCGATATTTTCTCATCCCGAGGATTAACTTCTCCCTATAATATCCATATATTATCCAGCAAACAGGTAATGAGAATACACAAACTTATCAGGTAGAAGTTGTCTTGATCTAACACTAAATTCTTGGAACTAATTAGCTAAGAAATGACTAAAGGAGAAAATTAACAATCAGACTTTTGGAGTTAATTGAAAGGTTAAACACTTGTTGGGCACAAACAGAGAAAAAAGACAAAAACAAACACAATTTCAGACCTCTCAGAATTCAAGATTCTGCACAAACCGGGGAATGAAAATCCTCTTACAAAATCACCAGAAAAGGTAATAAAAACGAACGTGTTTAATTTTTTTCTGTAACAAAGACGCTAGCTACACTTCTATCCAGGGAGTTTAACTCATTTTGTTTAAAAACTGGTAAAAACCAGTTAATTATTAGTAAAGAAACACGTTTCACCACGCCCACTATTTTAATTGTTTGATAGAATAATCTTTATACACATGGTAAAATGTAATGAATATATTTACACTGTAAGAACAAAATGATCAAGAAGAAATTTATTCGCTGTGACAAAAGACATTTCCCGATCAGACTAATATCCACAATCTCAATTTAAACCTCAAAACGAGAAAGCCTCTGCATTTATAATGTTAATGTCGAGACCATCGTTTAATTTTCTTTAAATTCAAGAGACAAAAAATAAAGTTTTTAAGGGAAAAAGTGCAGTCGCAGGCTTAGTACATCCGGGATAGCGAAGGAGGTGGAGCCTCGATCCTGCGCGCGACCTCGTTGCAATACTTGTCCGGCACACCAGCATCTTTCAGCTCCTGCAACTTTCTTCTTTTTATTTCGTCCAACTTCTGCCGCCTGGAAATATATCCATAAGACGTTAGTAACCATGGCGAAAAATTGAGCAGGCTTCGTGCCATTGTTTTCAAAAAGTGGTTAAGACCCATCTAATTAACAAGGAAAGAAATCGCTTCCCAAAATTCCGTGTTTTTTATTTGGTCAAAATATTGTCAGTCTCAGTCTGATTGGTTTAACATCTTGCGGTATTAAAACACGTTAACTGCCGCTTAGTCTTATTCTCGAGAAAATTATTTCGAATGGTCTTGAATTAATATAAACCTACCTTGCTCGAGCTTCATGGTCCAATTTGATTCCTTCCTCAAAGAAAGCGTTCCTGGCCTTGATGCGATCTTTCTCCTTCTCGCGGACCTGTTGACGCACTTCTTCCGCATGCTGATGGCGGCGGACTGCATCTACTTTTTCAGCTTCTTCGTCTTTTAGCAGTTGTTCCTCTTGCACCCTACAGATATTGATAGTTACGTTTTAATTACAGGGAAACTGCAAGGATGAGACCACCACTGTACTTTAGGAAAAAAATTTCGCGCAGGCTCGCAAACTCGTTTCAACTTAATTGACGTAAACCAACACTAGAGGCGAGAAAATTGAACGAAACCCGCCACCGGCTTCGAAGAACGAGGAATACTTGAACTAAAGAACTAAAAGTGAATATGACTTACTTTAACACCCTCTCGAACTCAGCCCTGTCTCTGGCAGCTTGCACGGCTAAGAAATGTTCTTTATTCCTCACTTGCACTTCACGAGCGGCACGTAACATTTCCTCAGTTTGCTTTCTGTAAATAAATAAAATATAGCGTGAAAAAGTTGTAGAAAATGTAACGAGAAACAAGAAAATTTCAGATTCTGATCTGCAAACGACTGAGCGTCATGAGGCCCAAACTAAACAGATTACAGAAGCTAATCAGAACGAAGGAAAACAAACCAGGGAGCTGACGAGATCTCGATCTGAGTCAAAAGAAAGCTGTCTCATGCGCGGTAAGTAAAACACAAGCAGTGGCAGATCAAGGAGTTTTTGATATTACGGGTGGTCCAAACTTTGATTTAAAGATAACAGCAACAACACAGATTTGTTAAACGCTAGGGCCCAGTTGCATAAAGGGCAGGAAGTACGGCCCCCCAGTACCCTGACCAGGATCAGCCACAGAAAATTGATCAAGTCGTGATTGGTTTTCCGTTTTGCATCTGATTGGTTAAAAGAAGGTGGCGTAATTTTCCAAGACCAATCACTGAGGTCCAGAGGGGGAATTACAGCTAAATTGGGGAAATCCCGGATTATTTATGACAAACAAATGGCTAGTTCTCTTCACTCACTTTTTCTCAGCTTCTTCTTTTTCTTTTCTTCTCCATTCCCGTTCTGCTTCTTCCTGATTTCGCTTGGCTCTAAGAGCATCCTACAAAAGTAGATGTTTCTTTTATTTAAGACAGGTTTGACATTTGAAAGCGTAGCAAAACCTCAAACTTGTTTGCGACTGCAGGTAAAACACCGCCAAATACATGAGTTCTAATTAACTGATTTACATGAACGTGCATACTTTATTTCACACAGGTGAGTGTAGTGACGCGCAGTGTGCGTGTTTTGCGCGTTAAGTGCACGGGAATTGCACGCGCGTCAAGCGCGTGTAATGCTGCGGTACTTTAAGCTCCACTATACAACACTTATAGGGCAACTCGAAACAACAACAAAGTAAGGCTATCTTGAAACAATACCTTCTCAGCTTGTTTGTCTTTGGCTCTCTCCTGCTGTGCACGTAGACGAGCAATTTCTTTCTCTTTTTCAACTCTAGCCATTTCTAATTCACGCTGATAGGCCTCCTCTCTTTCCTGCATAAAAAGCAAAAATGTGAATTTGAGAAAAACGCGAGGAAAGTAAAAATGTCAACAAAAATATCATGTGACCGAGTTTGTTCACTAACCGCTTTCTGTTTCAGATATTCCATGACTTTAATTTCCTCGAGCTTGTCTTGCGCCGCCTTGCGGTCCTTCTGCTGAGCGATTTCCTGAATAAAAAAATTCTATCAGTTGCGTTTTTCGAACTGATTAAACTTTACCTTAAAGTTATTCGAAGTACACTGAAGAAGTCGGTGGACGCCAAAGTTTCACGGGTGCAGTTAAGTGGGATTCCATGAATGTGCGCAACCTTCCTCCTTTTCTTAAGAAAACGTGATATTTTGTGATGGAAAAAAAAAACCCTTGTCTGCATCCACGTGCCATTCACCCTTTCACTGCCAAGAGTGATCATGTCAGAATTTCTTTACACAATTGAAGTGCAACATCAAGCAGACATGAATAAAGAAAAATATCAACTAGGGGGATTTTCAGCTCATCCAATACCAAATTCTCAGAACTAACATCATAAAAATTGTATGTCCAACAGTAAGAAGAATGATTAATGGAATGAAAGGGTTTAGATGCTAGTTTCAGTCCCCCGTCTACTAAAAAAAATCCTATCTGAGCCCCCTGGGGGTGGATGAGAGGTGTATCCCAATGGATGAGGTTCCGTTACCTCATTTGCTTTGGCTACTTCTTTCATCAACGCTCGTTGAATTTCTTTCTTTTTTATCAGGTTCTCCAAATCTTCTGCTTGTAGTTTATCCAAATATTGCAACATAGCCTGAAAGAGAAACATTTTTTTTAAACATATATCAGACTGAATTTCTTACATGGTTGGCTACATAAACAAAAGAAACAACAGGAGAAGGAAAACAGGCATTAATCTTAAAATAAGAAAAACCATACAGTGGAACAAAATAGAAGATACTTTTACACTGTTTCGCTGTGTAGAGTATTTTATTAGGGAAACAAGAACACCTTTCCAACAGCTTTAAGGATATGTGCAGGTGACCAGGCTCCATGGGAACCACGTGAACTTGAATTTAGTCAATTCAAAAACAAAAGGTATGGATGTTTAAAACATATTTTGATTGATAAACTCGCAAAAGCAGCTTTAACATTGCTTCAGAAATGAAAAAAAATTGAAAGAAACAAAATTAATGTAAAAGAATTCACATTTCTTTAAAATATTTAAAACAGGCAGAATTTTAGGACATATTTTGTTTACTTTCATAAATTCTCAAATAAAAGTTGACCTCAAACTGCCTCCAAGGAGCCTGAATAACTGATGGTAAAAAATATTTATAATAACCTTAGTTTCCTGATCCTTTTTCTCCTCATCCAACAGCCTTATCTGTTCTCTGTCTGTAATCTGATGTTGCAACACTTGTGCACCCTTCAGTCTTTCAAAATGAGCAGCCTTCTCCCTCTCCTCGTACTCTTTGAGTGCTTTACGTCTTTCCACCTCCATCATTTCATCAAGGCGTTTCTCTTCTTCAAGCTGTTCTTTCTTGATGTCAACCTTTTCAATGAGTTGGGCATCACGGATTGCATGGCATTTAGCATTCAAGATGAGCTGTTGTAAAAATTTAAATTTAAGGGTTAGATTGATTGGTCGCTCTGCTTCACCAGTGGGCTAAGACTAAAAAAAATATTGATAACCTTGCTACTGGTTGCCAGTTGAGTTATTTTTTATTGATGTCTCAGAGATAATGAGTCAAGTGTAAAATCACACAGTACAGAACTTACATCATAGAAGACTTCAAAAATAATGCTTGCTCAGAAAATTAAGGCAAGACAAGGCAAATCCTGTGATCTGATTGGCTAGTTGGGCAGGCAAGTTCGGCCTGCCTTGCCCCCTCACGATAGCCCTCTTTGTTTCCAATAAAAAGTAGTTCTGGGGCAAAATATTTTCACCATGGATTATGTCCCTTACCAACTATTTGTTTGCTCAAGGTGCCTGGATACTGAGCTCATTTTTCTATGTTGGTATGCTTATGGACCTTCAATATTGTTCTCCATCCATCTTGACCTTAGGCTTGCTCAATAAGACATTTCATTATGATACCTGGATTAATCAAACATACCTCATTCAACTTCTTAATTTCATCATCTTGTTCCTCCATTAGTTCATTAGCTTTATCTAGTAAAGTTCCACTCTGTATCATCTTCTCCTGAAACATCATATAAAACAGAAACACAAAAATTTAGCCACTAAAGACCTCTGTCATTAAAGGGGGATGGAGGGGGAGGGTGAGGGGCTAGCTGATGATTTTTTCATGCCCATATAAAAAAGCCCTCTTACCAATAAGTCACTTCTTAAAGTAAATTCTACTGTTTTTTTTTTCCAAGTGTTAACAAAGCTATTTCACGTGTATAGAAAGGGAAAATAAATAGGTCTACAGTTTATGAAGGGGTGAACTTGCATGACCAACAAACTGCCTCACTAAATTACTAAAAGGTTTTCATTCTATAAATAACAGTCACTTTACCTGTTCAAGGTCTGATGGTTTGGCATTCTCCTTCCGTTTTAGCTCCATGGTCTGCATAAAGTTCTTTCGTTCTTCTGATGCATTTTGAAGAGCTTCTTTTCTTGTTTTCATTTCCTCCATGGCAGCTTCCTTTTCTGCTTGTGTTGGAACATGAGATGCAGACTGCAATTGCGGCAAAAAATTACAAAAAATATTATTTTAAGATTGATTTATTCAGTACCTCTGTTCATATTAAAATCCCAACTTGTGGAAGGTAAAAGCAAATTTATGGCTATCTACAAAGTGCGGTGGAAGAAGTGAATTCCTGACTGCTAAGTAACAAATCTAGTTGAGAGACAGAAAAGAGGGTTTGAACCTGGGAGCTCTAAGGCCAGGTTCTTCAAAGCTGGCTTAAGATAACCTAGGGTTGGTGTGAAATCTCATTTCAGATCTGAAAACTTTTAAAGAAAATTCAGTATAATTAGTTTTGTCTACAATCTTATTATTGGATCATCTCAAAAGAAAAGGTAAACTTATCCCAAAAAAAGGCTTTTTGAACAAAGAACTAAAGAGAACTGGATTAAAATTTAACACCTGCAAATGTATTAATCAGCCTTGAACACCCGGGTCCAGATTTACAATCTAGTACCCTAAAGCACTTGCCCTCAAAGATTCTAAACAAGAAGTTTATTTGTCTGCATGCACAGACACATAAACCATTTAAAGGTATAATTTTGTATTTTCAAAAATCTATTACAGTGAGACTTATGGTATTAGAATAACTTGGCCAAATTTGACCAATTTGACTACAAGAAAAAAAAACATAGAGTATCAATCAGAACTTGGACATCCTCACTACTTTCCAGCCCTGCACTAACTAACTACAAAGAACTTAGTTGAAATCAATTTGGTCAGTTTAATTTGTGCCAGTGATCTTGGCAACAGAATTATCTAGTATACTAACTGTGTAACTAGGCATGACATACAATTTAACAAGGTTTTATGTTTTGTGTATATCAATACGACAAAGTCACCTTAATTCTTCTAAACTCTCCAACTTCTAATATAATACTTCTTCCAGAGGGATCTTCTTGAGGAACCCTGTACAAAATATCAAGAAAGGTTAATAATTTACTTCAATTGTTCATTAACTCATAAATTATTTGTCAAGATAGAGTAGTATGAATTTGAATAAGTTATTTAAAGGCTCAGATATAAATCACACAACTAACTAAAACTGAAACTAACCTGAGTCTTCTTATCAGGTCCTTTGTAATAACTTGAATCATTTCTGGCTCTTCAGATTTAGCTGGTGATTTTTTGCCACCTGGACTGCTTCGCCTTCGAGATCTCTCTGATAAAGCAGCAGCAAAAGCATCCTCTTCACCAGGCCTTACTTTCTTTGGAGAGGCAAACAGTGTTTCATCCTGCCAACAAAAAATGATTTGTAAGGATGGTAAGCACTCGACATGACGGTGCAGTTTACTCATTTACTTAACAAGTGTGAGGTTAAGAAAAATGTTGTTTGCTTTGTTTCAAGTGTGAAAAAAAATCTGAGTTCTGCTGGAAAAATAAACCAAGACCTTCAGATTTTACACCTCTAGGCTCTACCACTAATCTAAAGAGAACTTGGTGAAGGAACAGGCTAACTATGCTGGAATGAAGTTGCCCTTGATGTTTTCAATGCTACAACGCATTGATGTCAAGGGTTAACAGTTGTGAATCAGCTCATTCTTCAATCTCAGACAATTAATCACCTGATCGTCCCCATTTATACAGATCACTGGCAAAGCAAATGGCTCAAGACCAGTTTAGTTAGCCTAAGCATTATAATTTGCTGTTAGATCTTTTACTCAGTCTTCAAATTCCCTCAAGTTTTCGAGCGTTCGACCTATTTCTAACGGCTGATAAGACAATTAAAAACCAATTTTACAAATTTTGGTAGATATAACTTTTGATTGCCGAGAAAATTCGCTGAATCTCAAAAGGTTTTGCCCTTTGCTAAGATACAGCTGTGTGCAACCTCAAATGTAGCGATACACACTTATATGCGCGAGTGGTAGTATATTTCAAAATTAAGAAAGATCCAGCTACACTTTGAACTTCATTGCAACAATCTACTCAAAAACTTACCACTGTAGAAGTTTTGTTGATTGTGTGATACTGTCTCGTCCATGATTTTCTGGATGCATTCGATCCGCCAGACTCCAACGACCCAACAGTGCTGTTTGGCTGTGAGAAAATCGATTAGAAGGACGCCTCGCAAATTTCATTATTCACTCGCATAATCAGTTGAAAAACTCCTTCTTACTAGGAAGGTGAAACTTGAGTTAATATATCTATGAAATTCTCTACTTACCATTCTCACAAAAGCTTTTTTTAAAGATTATTATGTGTTTGCGGGGATGTGAAATCAAAATGGCGAGTTGATAGTTGTGGCCGTAAAGAAATATCGCTTGTTTCCAAGACAACGACAATTACAAAACAACCGCTAGAGCCATGGGGCGATTAGAGCCCAGCTTCCCACACGTGTAGAAGTTCCAAGATGGCGACGAAAGGTATTCGATCAGCGTATGGAAAACTTTCTCGTTTTCTACCGTCTAAATTGTATATAAGAAACTACTGTCATCCAGTAACGGACGAGCAATATCTTTACCATCCAATGGTACGTCCTCTGGAACCAGAAGCCCAGACACTTTCTTTAACAAAGACCTTAAACATGGGTGACATTTCAAGTTGCTTGCAAGACACATCCATTGACTCTGTCACTCGAGAAGAAATGATGGGAAAATTTAAACAAAATGTTCTTCAGACAAGGCTGTTCAACTTTGATGGAGAGCATGCAACAAGGGATATGGCTGCTATGCCCCTGATGCAAAATATGCTCAGGGTTGTGTGGAGTTATGCTAAATGGTGAGAAATACAGCTTACTTATATGGAAAGCTCCTTTAACATTTTTTCCCTTTAAATTTTGAGTTTGTCGAGACAGAATTGACATAAAAGGATCTATTTATTTTTTTTGCAAAGTGAAATAAGCTGGAACCCCTTTGATCATGCAGTGTTCCTACTGACTTACCCTTGGTGGGGAAATGTTTACTGATGGGGGGAGGGTCAGCTGTAAAATTTGTCGCAAATAGGAGTCAAGAGTGGCTCACTGATATTTTTATATTTTTGTTTTAATAATGTATCTTAGTATTTGTTCTTTTTTTTAATTTCTATTTTAACTTCATCCACTTTGGATGCTCATGAAGAATAGATATGTAAAAAAAACCGGCATCATGTAGTGTTGCATTCTTAAACTTGTTAAAGAAGACTTCTTGACTTATCAGAGTGACTTTTAATTTTTGAAATTTGATCAAAATTTAGGAGAACCTTATATATTATTCCTTTAGTTGGTTCATCTCATGACATTTATACTCTATTAGAATATTAACCCTTTAACTCCCAGAAGTGATTAACGTAAAACTTCTCCCTACAATATCCATACATTCTTCAGCAAACAGGTTACGAGAACATTCAAACTTATCAGGTAGAAGCTGCTATCTTAATCTAGCACCAAGTTCTCATAACTAATTTACAAGGAAATGTGTAGCAGCCACAGGGAAGAATTAACAATTGGATCTTGGGAGTTAAAGGGTTAAGTAGAATTATTCTAATTTCACAAATAAAACCCTAAAATGTAAGTGTAGGTCTTTTTTTTACATAGCTAGTACATTTTTATGTTTTAGCTTCCCAGGACTGTTGGATACCTCTCTGACTTTCAAGCCTCATGTGTCTGCAAATTGGGAAAGGGAACACACAATACTGGTGTCTGGACATCTTGGCTTTTTGTTGTCCTCTAAAATTCCTCTCAAACAAGTAGCTGACAGGAATGAGATAGAAAAAAGCAAAGAAATCCAGGTGGAAAACCCTGAGATAATTTCTCCTGTATTTCACCTTCCCCTAACACGAATCAGACCAAAGTTTGACACTGGCTTTCACAGTTCTCCACCATTTCCTTATCCTCATACCTTCATCATAGTCAGCGAAGATACAAAATGCTCAACAGGTCAATTAATTGGTCAAGGTAAGGTTATACAATTCATGTAGCTGACTTGGAAAGTTGTTAGGTTTTGTAAGCAGCCATTATTTGGGAAGTGGGAGATGCAGTGGCTCTGTGCACTGGACTCAGGGTTAAGAGGTCTTGGTTTGAGACCTGGTGATGTCATTTTGTGGTGTTCTTAGGAAAAACACTTTACTTTTGCAGTGCCTTTGTCCACCTAGGAATATGTACTGGAAAACTGTCAGGGAAGCCTCGTGAAATGCTGTGGGGTAACCTTCAGATGGACTGGCATCCTATTATTAAGATAAAGAGCGTTTTCTCCCACTAAGACTTTGGTTTGAATAAGCAGTGGAATTGAACCTGGATATTTGCAAAATATTGGAGATGAAGAAGAACCTAGGAAGAAGCTTGTAATGACCCCAGAATAGTACCCAAGGACATGGCTGAAGGGGGTTCTGGGGTGCCCATGACCCTCCCTCCCTTTGTTAGCCCTTTTTTTAAAGTAAAACATGGCATGGAGGGAGACATGACAATCTAGTGGGTACCCTGTGTTTGACAGAGTGCAACCCCCTTTTGAAAAATCCTGGCAATGCCCCTGGTACCATTAGTGGTAAAAATTAGAATAAAAACTCGGAGAAAATAGAAATCAGTTTGGAATTTGAAAAGTTTGAAATTGTTTTAAACTGCAATATATTCTACACTATTTTGCACCGATAAAAATTTTTTTCTTTTTTCCCTTTAATTTGCTTTCAGGTATCATGTTTGTCTGTGCTCGGCTTGTGGCAGAAGCAGTACAGAGTTGCAAATATCAGCTGGGAGATGATTTGGAAAAGCCCCTATCTAGCCAGTGCATCATCACCGATGGAATTCGACTCTCATTTATAAACTACCAGCTGAACACCTTAAGTTTTCATGGCAATGAAGGCATCAAAAACATGGCTTGGATTAGTCCAGGGGTTTTCATGTACAAAAAGGCTATGTTTGAAGATTTGGAAAAACCAGTTGCAGAAAAAACTGTTAAGGAAAGGAAAAGATTCCGACGTCCAGTGACACTCAAAGATCCAGCAAAGCATGAAATAGTTTTAGAAGAGTTTAATCCTGACTGCTTTGAAACATTTGTAAAAATGATTGTAAATGGATGCAAAGCAATTTAACAAAAGTGTAGACTAAAACCTTTCAATGAGTGACTTTAAATTTAGACTCAGAGAGTTGATGTAAACAGTGTCTGTAGGGGAAACCTAAAGCTTTTATGAAGCTTATTATGAAGTATATACAAAGACACAGCACTGACACACCTTTAATAAAGCTAAAACTGATTCAATGATTGAACAACCTATGCTAAAAAACCTGTCTTCCTGACCCACCTTCTAGTTTAATTCAGTAAATTTGTTAGGTTGTCTTTCAATTAAGGAAGAAAACAGTCAAGAATCTTGAATTAATTTCTGAGACTAATACGCGTTTCAGACGATAAGTAGATGTGTCATAAGACTTTATGAAGGTCACCCCTGTAAGAACCTAATTCTCTTACTTTTGGGCTGTGTGAAAATCATGCCAACCTCACTCTTAACAGGCTCTTTATGCAACAATTCCCCATCTCCCCCCCCCCCCCTCCTTAAAAAATAGGGAAAGGCTCGTTCCCTCTCGGGCCTTCCAACCGGACGCTATTCCCCAACTCATCAACGGCCCTTTCTAGAATATTCCCGTGGTACCCCTCCCTAAGGCTAGGATTGGTCCCCTTTATTTGTAGTGAATGTGATGACGTAGTCGAAAATTGCCAAACAAACTATGGCTACAGAGGAAATTACTGGGAATATTGAAATGGCGGCCGCTATAACCCCATCTTCTCACGTCCAACAAGCTAAAGAATGGCTTTGGCAGCGAAAAGCTCAGATGAAACCATGGACAGATTTTTTTAAGAGTTCGCGCTTTAGCAGGCCAAAGACAGTCGCTGAAGCTGGAAGAAGAGTCGTTAAGAACTTGGAGGACTACCAGAGCAACTACATCGTTATAACGCTTCTTTTGATTTTTTACTGTGTATAAGTGATCTTGTTGCCTTTCAGTTATGTAGTTTGAAAAGAGAAAGAGTCTTTGTAGATATTACATACGTAATCTTTGCAATCGCGCTCTCCTAACTGTCTTAACTCAGTCCATGAATCCAAGAACACCTTACGAATTCGTTTTGTTGGTTCTTCTACCCTAAAACACCTCTTTGAAGAGTAAAGAATTTGAAGCTGTAAAAGCCCAGTTCTGTAAAGATCAACTAAACGTTTGTTGTGAAAGATGGATAGCACGACACTCGGTTGTACTCCGCTTGAACGGAATCGGTCGCGATCTTTAAGTATTTTAATGATTCAAGGTGAATTACAAAAAATATTTAAAAGAGATTAGTAGCCACTTTTAAGTTTTTTTTGTAAACAACCAGACTTTCTTTCTCGAAGCTCGCATTTTGAGCTCTTAGTTATGCCATATGACCGGTTTATGAACTATTTTCTCTTCTAAAGAATAGAAATTAGAGAGTTTCTTTTTCAACATTGCCTCAACATTATTGCTCAATGACGTAAACGTGAAAAAGCAACGCTGTAGCACATTTTTCCATGCATGTCTCAATATCCATGCCTACAGAGCTGTAGCTCTTGCTAGATCTCATAATCAGTATATATTAAACCAACATTTTGAGAGGGAAGCACCCAGCTGATGTGCAGTTTTCTCGGTGGTACTTACCTAAGAACACAACACAATGGCTTGAAGAGGGCCCAAACTCAGAGCTTTTTATGTGAGATGTGATGTACCAACTTTGTCTCTTACCTCCTTAGGGATAATTATTTTAAGTAGAAAATAAGGAAACTATGATATATTGTTGAATTATCTTGTAATAATGTTCTGAATAGGTAGGGTGTTTTCTTATTTTATTTCCTTAGCCTGTCATCACCATTGCTGCTCATAGCATTATCAGTTGCTGGAGGTGGCTGTTTCTACATATCTTACAAAAACCAAGGACAGAAGATAAGAGTGTTGGGTAAGAATTATTCAATGTTTGATAAATGGCTTGTCAAGGGGAGGAGAGTGGAGGGTCCTAAGGGTCCCTAGGGTCTGAAGGGTTCCAGTCTGATGTCAGTGTTCTTGATGTCTACAATAGAGCTCAATGTATTGAGGATTTGACATGTCTTGATTTCATAGGTCGTGACCTAACTAGAGCTGAACAGTATGGACTTGTGTTGTTGATCAGTCTTCCCCTCTTCATTCTGGCTTCAGCAGGATCAACAGTGTTTTGGATTATAGGTGTGTATGCAATGCATTAGAACCCTTTTGACAACATGGCCTCTTAACTTACGGAGCTCTGGTTCATTTTTGTATTTCAGGTGCATCAATCTTTACAGTTGGACTTCATGCATCTATGTTGAGCACTTCAGACACACCTGAAATAACAGAGCAGATTACAATGGAAGAAGTTTAAGTAAAGGAAATGGAAGAATGATGATAAAAAGTGCAACAGGGAAATAAAAACATAATTTAAATTATTGTGCTCCACACAATCATCAGTGTTAACAAATTGAAATAGTGGTTTGGAGTTCTTGGGGTAGAAATGCATTTGGTAAAAATGGTCATTGGATCAACTCTACCATTCGTAAGATCTCATTAGTAATCCTCCTTACTGTCCACTAGACAATTCTTACAATGTTAGTTAGGAAAATTTGGTATTGGATAAACTTATAGGTAATCTTGTAGTTGATATTTTCTTTTTTCTCATCACCTGTCTGCCTGAGATTGTACTGACATTGTAAGGAGAAAATCTGTCTTGATCACTCATAGGAGTTGAAGGGTTGACTAATCACATTTCCTGTAGTGAACTTCTTAACTATAGGCAATTTTTTTCTCTTATAAATCAATTGTAACTATTGTTGAGTGTTAGCTAACAAGACCAAAAACCAGTGGTGGAGATGTCATAGTAAGAGTTTATTTTATTTTAGTGCTTAGTCCCTAGCTATTTAATATCTTCTACTGAATTTTGAGCACACTTATCCTTTGTTTAATTTTGTTTTTGATAAGTTGGATGTACTAAATATAATGTCTAATTATTACACGTAGTAATTAGTTAAAAACAAAAGTAATAAAAATTGAATCTGCTCGAGAGTTACATTCAACCTTGCTATACCATTATATTTATGTAATGTGGTTCTTTTTTTTTTTTGGTTGTAAAATTTTTTTGTTGACATTTTAAGAGTATCATAGTGAATGAAAGGAGATGTGGTGGGCTAGTGGTTATGGTGCTTGTCTTGTAATTACAAGATCTTTGTTTGAATTCTGGCTGAGTCACTGTGTTGTTTTGTCAGGTACCACACTGACTTATTTGCCCCTCTCTACTTAGCACTTAAAATGAGTATCCATAGACTATTAGGAAATCCTGATGGAATGACAAGGGTACCACTTTGATGAACTGGCGTCTTCCCTGGTGGGAGCAACAAAACTTGCAGTCACTTCATGCTACTGAAATAAGTATAACAGTGGCTCATCAGAGCCCTAACTAGCAATTAACATTTGGGTTATGTAAAATTTTACACTTCTGAGGCAATGAAAAGTATCAAGAATCATGGGCAGTACAGGGGAGAGGTCTCAGGGTGCAATTGATCCCCTTTCTGAAATGAAAACATGATGATTTATAATCACAACCTGACATACCCCCACATTCCACTGAAATGCAAGTTTAAAACCTATTGAAAAATCCTCTACACAAGTTGGAATTGTTGCCTATAATATGTGGTTAAAATCAACCCCCATACAAATAAAGAAAGAATACTAAAATTGCAATAAAGAAAGAGACCTAAAAAATATGATGGTTCTTTGTGAAGTGTGCTTCGACAGCGAGTGTGATTTATTTACCTCCACTCTGTACCACCCCAATACCTTTTCGACCAATAACTACTCTGCTACCTCCCCTAAAGATATATTTGAACATTATAACTTTTTGGTGGGAATGGGTACTAATTTGTCAGAGAAGGAGATTCAAGATGGCGGCGAGTGTCGTTCGTCAGTGTTGTCGCCATTTTCTGGGCAAATCATTAATCCGCCGTGTTCCTGTAGTTTCTTCTGTCCGGTAATGTATGAAATATATTTCCTACTTGACCTGAGGTGTTCAAAGTGTTGCCAACAAGGCAAGAAATGAATGTAAATGATGTTATGTAACAGCGTTTAACGTTGGTGTTGTTTTGAAAGGATATGCTTCCTAATGTTGATGGCGCATGAGCGAATGTTGCATCTAATTTTCAGGTTATATATTTCTTTATGACATAAGTATTTTTGTTTATTTTTCTGCTTTTCCCTGCAAAAAGAAAGAACAAAAACAAACTGAACCACATTAAGTATCTTAACCGGCTGATATTTGTCTCAGCTGTACGAATCCCTTTTTAAACCTCTAAAAGTATTGAACATATCATTTTACAGGGCTTTACGACTGTTTTTTTATTCTATTTTGTGCAGACATCTACGTCGGCTCCCTGTAAGTGAGGTTGAAGAGGAAATGAAACCGCTGAAGTTGCAGGGTGAATTAGCCTCCATGGCAGGAACTATTATGTACCCTAATGAAGAATCTGCTAAGTGGGATGTTGATGGTACGGTATTAATATTTTTAAAACTCTAACACCTGGAATTGACTACAGTAGCATGTAATTTATCATTGGGATTCCAATATGTTATCTTGCAAGTAGGATGTAACAACAGACAAGCCTATCAGCTGGAGGCTGTTATATTGATACAAGACCAAATTCTCCTTTTTTTATTCTTGAGGAAATGTGTGGCGGTCAGAAGGGAGAATTACTGGTTGGATCTTAGGTTAAAGGGTCAAATGTCAATGAGGATGGTGATGCTTAAAATGTTGAAATGTTGAATTAGACATTGATGTTGATGTTGATATCAATGATGGCTATGCAAGCCCTAAAATTTTATGGTAACAATCATTTCTTGCCAGCCACAACATTATTGATACAACATTTATGATAAGCTTGAACCTAAAATTCATATTAAGACTAATGGTAATTTAAAAAGGTTCCCATTAATTTTCTCACAACCAGGTAACTGTTCCCACTCTAATCTTTGGGCACAGAACTGAAAAATTGCTCTCTGTAGAATTTTGAATCTTAGCTCTTGACAGTTTCAGTAATGCTGACAATTCTTTTTTTTCGCTCTGTAGTTCCTGTTCAGGAAAAGCTGGTCACAAACATGACTGTCAACTTTGGTCCCCAACATCCAGCTGCCCATGGAGTGTTGAGGCTTGTTTTGGAACTTGATGGAGAGGTTGGTAAACTTTTATCATGATGATTTAAGTTTTTCATTGAATGTAAACAGTTATTCTCATGTAAAATGAGCATTGAATGACAATATATGCACAAATCCATTGTAAATCTGATGTGAATATAAAAGAAGTAACCAGAGCAGTTAATGATGCCATCTGAATGAGACCAATGAGTTATCAACTCTTTCTGTCTTCTTCTCTTTCCTTTTCAGGTTATTATGCGTGCAGATCCACATATTGGTCTTTTGCATCGTGCAACAGAGAAGTTGATAGAATACAAAACATATCTGCAGGTGTGTATAGAATTAAAGTTTTTAAATACTGAACTGTGTATTGTACCATTCAACTCAGTTAGGCAAAGCATCAAAGCTGTGGATGAAACCCTAAGAATGCTGTTTAGTTGTGCCATGCATATTCTCTATACTGCTCTCTACACATTTCCCAAGAAGAACCCTTTAACTCCCAAGACCCAATTGTAAGTTCTCACCTCTAGCTGCTATACATTTCCTTGTGAATTAGTTTGGAGAATTTGCTGTTGGGTCAAGACAACAACTTCAACCTGATAAGTTTGAGAATTCTCACGAACGTTTTGTTGTATAATGTATGGATATGATAAGGAGAAGTTACATGTTAATCACTTCTGGGAGTTAAAGGGTTAACAGTCAAGAGCTTCTTCATTGGTGATCATTTCCTTTATCCTTGTGACTTTAATGTATTCAGGGGTGATATTGTGATGAGAAATCAGATGCTAATCACTCTTAGGGATGAAAAAGTTAAAACCCAAGCATCTGTATACATATTCTTCATACTGCTCTCTTTATTTCTCATGTGGTACTGCCTAGGAGAATTTGTTGGACAATCAAGAGGTTTTTTAGTTGGCCATATTTCTTTTATTCTCCTCACCTATGTGTTGGATTTAGTAGTGATACTGGGAAGAGAAATTAGATATTAGTCACTCTTAGGAGTTAAAAGGTGAAATTGGCACTGTTCTTTAGTTCTGCACAAGGTGGTTTCAAACTCTTTGATTTAATCATAATGTAGTAGTCTTGATTTCTTTGTAAATTTAACCTTTTTTTGGAGTGGAAGGGGAAATTCTCATTTTTATGGAATCAATAATTTTTCAGGCCCTGCCTTACTTTGATCGCCTGGATTATGTCTCCATGATGACAAATGAGCAGTGTTACTCCTTAGCAGTGGAGAGACTTCTAAACATCGACATTCCAGAAAGAGCTAAATGGATCAGAGGTACACTGTACATCTAAGGCCTGTCTCAATAGCTAACCCTTGAGGTATTCTCAGAATACAAACAGGTTGTTAGAACATGCATTCAAATTAAGGATGTTTAGAAAATTGCTAGAAAAATTCTCAGAGCTCTTCACAGCTAAAATTGAACTTATTAAAGGGCACTTCTTCTGCTCCATTAATCTACTGCTAAATTTTGCATATAATTTGTTTCCTTTTATAGTGTTATTTGCAGAGATCACCAGAATACTGAACCACATCATGGGTGTAGGTACTCATGCTCTTGATGTAGGTGCCATGACACCATTCTTTTGGCTGTTTGAAGAGAGAGAAAAGGTGATTGTTATCAAAGGACTAACAGAAGGGATTAGAAAAAAAAACATATTTATCTACAATGGGTGTAATTAGACATCTTTTATTATCAGGAATGTCAAAATAACCTATCAACCAGCGCATTCCAGTGTCTACACTGGTTATTCCGAATGCTTGTGACTCAATTTTGAGGCTTTAAATACTTAACAAGTATTCACTGAAGTGGGGGGAATAGTGGTGAATATTTACCTTGCATCAAAACACAGCAATATACCAAAAAATAAGCAGAGCCATGATTTTGTCTCATCACTTGCTCCAAGGTGAATAGTACTTACCCTTCACTTCCTTTCTAGCCAATCAGATACGTCACTTACCTGATATTGCGACAAGTTTTGGTGAATACAACATGTGATCCAGTTTTGTAAACATACTTTGTTAGCACAATTTAAGTTTGCTTTTCTAATCTGAGCTGGTCAAATATGTGATGTTTATCACTTAGTAAACTGCACGTCTTTCACACCCAGCATAAAATGTTAAGGATTTGATTTGGTCTTTCTTTAGTTGATGGAATTTTATGAACGTGTGTCTGGTGCACGCATGCATGCAGCTTATGTAAGACCAGGAGGAGTTTCTCTGGTAAGTTCATAATAACACTCTTCGAGTTAATATTTGACAAAATAGGAACAAACTGTAATGATTTTAAGATCTTCTTATGGACTTTTGTGATGCTCAGTTTTTTCCTATCTATGAGCTATGTGAAGACAGAGGGTAATTGGTTACAGTCAGGATTGAGAGGTGTGGAATGGGGTTGCAAAGCTAGATAAACATAGAGGCCCTATGCATCTTAAAGAACAAGTGGATTGTCCAGTCTTCCCAGAATGAAAATTCCAATTATGAGAGATCTGGTAAATTATGTGATGTTTATTGCTTTAAAAACTTTGGATCTTGCCTCTCTCCCCCCTCCCCCCCCCCCCCTGGCAATAAATTGCAGGTTGCTGCTGATGTCACGATAAATTCTGTCGAGTATCAGAATATGATAAGCAGCTACTGCAATTGTAAAAGTTTTTGTGTTGGTGTTTGATACAATTGGATGGCTCAGCCAAAGCAATCTCAATGGCCAATTAGAATGGTGGTTAACAGCACAATAGGTCAATCAGAACTCTTAGTAAACAAGCCTAAAAAATCATGAGATACCAAGTTATTTTGGTTTTAGTTTTGGATCTTTTTGTCGAGAGTACAATGCAACTATACCTGACCCTTCACAATTTTAAGTAAAGCAAAACAATTGCAATCTTGACTCATTTTTGTCACTCAGATGATAAGTATCTTGCACATGCTAATAAAATGGAATTATTGTCATGCACAAATGATTATTATTTTTTATCAGGATATGCCAATTGGTTTAATGGATGACATTTATGACTTCATTTCAAAGTTTGCTGAGAGACTAGATGACCTTGAAGAGGTAATTTTACAACAAATCCAGCAATTTCATCTCTTGACATTTGAGGCTAACGTGCAAAAGTCAGCTTCAGAGACTCTAAATAAATATACATTTCAAATTCTTCAATATGTTTCTTGGACACAAAACATTTTAGTTTGGTAGAGCACTGTTGAATGAAATTGAACAACATGCTGATCTTGAGTTTCCAAGGAAATCAGTCCTTTTCCCACATTACGCTTAAAAACTATCTCTTCATGTACACTGCAAGTAACTTCCTGAAATCATAAAGGAGAAGAGAAATTGAGAGGAGAGAAATTCAGTGGGTTTGCCTCTTATTGAAAATCAAGATTACTTGTGAGTTAGTGAAAGGTTCTAATGAAGTGCAGAAGTTGAATTTATGAAAGGAGGAAATGCTTTATTATGAAAGTTCGTTTTGACTATTTCAGATGTTGACAAACAACAGAATCTGGAAACAGCGCACAGTTGATATTGGAGTGGTAACAGTGGAAGATGCTCTTAATTGGGGTTTCAGGTTTGTGAGATTTTGTCACCTGACATTGTACATACAGTTTAACCTGTATCAAGAGTTTACCAATGCTTGGTTAGCTTTTATTGGTTGAGCACCTATCTAGAAAGTCCAAGACATATAGTGGCCTCACAGTTAGCAGGCCTCCACAGCAGATAACCCTTTAACTCCCATGAGTGACCGAGACAAAATTTCTCCTCACAATATCAATACAATATCAAGCAGACAAGCAATGAGAATAAAGAAAAATTTATCAGCTAGGGGATCATAAGTTGATCCAATACCAAATTCTCCAAACTAACATCACAAGAACTGTATGGCAGACAGTTAGGAGAATTACTTATGAGATCTTGGGAGTTAAAGGGATAAGGTTTATGATTATCTTTTTTTTTCCTTTAGTGGAGTCATGTTGCGTGGATCTGGAATCAAGTGGGATCTGCGAAAATCCCAGCCGTATGATGCCTATGATAAAGTGGAGTTTGATGTTCCCATCGGCAAAAATGGAGACTGTTATGACAGGTGCAGTAAGACGTAAAATAAAAAACTTAAGCGTTGAGAGAGTACTGGCGAGGCAACTAACTAAGAATCAAAAAGTTTGACTTTTTGTTTCATTTGGTGATTGAAACCATTTCAGGTATTTGATCAGAGTGGAGGAAATGCGGCAGAGTATGAGAATTATTGAACAGGTATGTGTCACTATAAGCCATGTCACGACAATTTAGAAAATGCAGTGCAGTTGTCATAAGGCAAATGCCTCTCCAAAAATGGCCATTGGCATCTAAGTTAAACAATTTTAAGAGGCAAATCAATTAAAATGTTCCTGCCTTCTTTTAGTGTCTGAACAAGATGCCTGCAGGAGAGATTAAAGTAGATGATGCCAAAATCTCACCACCAAAGAGGGCAGAAATGAAGGTAATGATAATATTGCTATCATTGGAATAACAGTTATTTGTTGATCATGGTACTTAAATACAATAATGATGATGGTTCATCATTTGTCTTTCTGTGTAGTTACTCCTGACACTATATTCTGGTGTGCGGCATTGAAATTTTTGTACACTTGAAACCTGTATTGCTGTAAGGATTCGATTTAGTGCCTGGGGCATTTATTCACTTATTACACTTCTAGGGAGGGCGCTTATTCAAAACAGAGCGCTTATAAGGGACTGGGCACTTTTTTTTTTTTTTTTTTTTTTTCGAGAAACAACAGAATGTGCAAAAAAATTCTTGAATCGGTGTTTATTTAAAAAAAAACACATGAAAAATTTCTGCTTTGATTTTTATTGACTTCTGCAGGAGTCTATGGAAGCACTTATTCACCATTTCAAGCTCTACACGGAAGGTTATCAAGTGCCACCGGGTGCAACATACACAGCGATTGAGGCCCCTAAGGTACGAACATCGCGCGCTAGCTTTATTTGATATTTTTGGAGTGTTCTGTTGACACTCTGCAACGCAACTGTGATTATGAACTTTACAACCCTGGCTAAAAGGTCTTGGGACGTCCTTAAAAACACTTGCAAAGGTGTCCGCGTTAATGATTGTCGCACAGAGATTACTGCGGCTTTAAAGTGAAGAGAGAACGAAAGTGGTGATATTAGAGGTGATTCTTTTTCCCTGGACAATGTTGATTGCAAGGGTTACTATCCGAAACGACTGACAACAACATTGTAAAAAGAAAAGAACATGACAAACGGACCTCATACCGGAATTGACCGGCTTTGCGCGCGCACTCTCACATTTGTTCCTCAAGGCTTTGGCATTGATTGTACTATTCTTGAGGTAAATTCTTATTTACTTAAAGCGTTGCGCAAAGTCTTTCCCTTCTCCTCGTTGCCCAGGAGGGAAGTTTGTGAGAGAGACTGACCTCTCGTGTTAATGACGAGATGGATTGTTAGTAAAAGGGGTGCTTCTTTTCTTGTTGTCTGTAGGGAGAGTTTGGTGTTTATCTTGTTTCGGACGGCACTAGCAGGCCTTACCGCTGTAAAATAAAAGCTCCTGGATTTGCACATTTGGTAAGTTGGTTTTTCATCGTGGTTCAACTGGAAGTCTTTGTTGAGATATTCATTTTTCGTGGGGTAGAGTAATTTTTAACCCTTTACACCCTAAGGTCAGTGTGCATATTCTCCATACTGTTCTCAGTATATTTGTTAAGGTGCTGACAAGGAGAATTTGTCTAACAATCAAGAGCTTCCTTAGTTGGTGATCTTTTTTTTAAAATTCTCGTTACCTTTGTGTGTGATTCAAGGGTGATATTGTAAGGAGAAATTGGATGATAGTCACTCCTAGGGGTTAAAGGGGTTAAGCGAGTGTCGAAGGTAATGCGGGATTGCCATGTTTCAGCTATTCTTCGTTCTATGATTGGTCTAGAAAACTCGCGCCACTTTTTCAACCAATCAGCTTGAAAACTAAAAACCACATTTATCACATCCTGATTTTGTTATTGCAGTTATATTCGCACATAAAACCTTTCTGATTTTTTTTTTTTTTATCTTCAGGCTGGTTTGGAAATGATGTCCACTGGACATATGTTGGCTGATGTTGTGGCCATTATTGGTAAGCGTTACCCACAATTTTTTTATTCCACTTGTTGGCTTAAAACCATTCGCTAGCTTTTACGCTCGTAAAAACGCCCAGTATGCGTATTGCAATATAATTTTGTTTTATCAACTGAGTAAATAATGTAAATTGGCCACCGTGAAGGGTTACCAAGTAGACATTTCGAGCGTGAACCCTTCGTCATAGCGAAAGGGCCAACGAAGGGCTAACGAAGGGCTAATGAAGGGCTAACGAAGGGCTAACAACGCTCTGCCAAAGGGCTGACGCTCGGAACGTCGAAACGTCAGTATGAACTCCTTACGGTGGCCAATTTTCGTTATCAACTCAGTTGATAAAACAAAATTACCTAATTTTAGATTAGTTTTGACACCACGAAACTAAGGGGTCGCAATAAAAGCTGGTTACCATTACTCTACCGCCGCCTATAAGGCCTCTTATCGCTGTCTGTTGAGCCTGCGAGCACGCACAGGTTTGGGTTTCGCTCTATGGCACGGTTGCCTGTTAAACCATCGGCAGCCGCTAAAAAGAAAAAGTTATTGAAACCCCTAAAATTGCTCTGAATTATTTCCCTACGCACATGCTTGGTTATCTCACGCATTTTTCCCCCCTTTTTTTATGTCTCCACAGGCACCCTTGATGTCGTCTTTGGAGAAATCGATCGCTAAGCTCCTTGGTAATCGGTAAAATTAAGGTTTTCTTGCATCAGATGGTTAACTTTACAGCATGTCTTTATGACGTACTATATTTTTTAAAGAGTTAAGTGCATATGTTGAATGATATTGTGTGCTACTGTCCGAATTCTGGTTTTCTTAGAAGTTTTATTGTTTTCATCTCTGCCCCTCTTTGTATTAAGGTGGAAAACTGTATTATCTGCAACTTGAACACATTTCTTGAAAACGCGTTTCACATGGAGAAATGGTTGTGTGATGACTCAAATTACATCTGTGAAGGACATGAATGGCTGTCAGTATAACTTTGTAAAATAGAAGGAAATTTCAATAAACAACCTCTTAAGATAAATGGCATTTTATTGACTTCTACATATTTTGGCGCCTTTACTGTTCTTTTCATTCTTTTACTTGTCAAGGAAGGAATTGTTGAGCGTAAGAACATTTACTGTACATTTTTCTGTGTAACAAAATGGCTGACGGAAATTACACTTGTTTCGTCATCGATCGCAAGCAGAAAAATAAACAATTTTTTGAAGGTAATATTATCAAGATGGGCTAGAAACTTGAACAGGAACTTTGGTGAAAGAAGAACCCTATTTTCTAAACAGCAACCGCAAGGTTAAAAAGTCAAGGAAACAATACTATTTGTAGAAAATCTCTTTCGTTATTAAATTTTTAAGTAACAATTTTTCTCTGTTCCCTTTGTATTCTTTTTGTATTCACTCTCGGTGCGTGAGATTGAACAAATTAGCTAATCGCGTCAAAAAACCCTATCCTTGACATTGGGAAACCGACGTGGACAGTTTTCGTCCACTTTTGTTGATTGTTTTCACGGAGTTCAGTCAGTTGATTTTGAGCTTTCATTCGCGAAAATTTGTTGCCCCTTTGTTTGGAATTTTGAGAAGTTTTGGAGTTTTTATTTTAGCTAAATGTTGTGGTTCATTTAAAAAGTTTATACATATTTTCTACGGAGTTTGGGTCCTAGCTTCTCTTCTCGTAATTGGATTTTTTTGTCTGAGGAACTAACTGTGTGGGCCTCGCCTTGAGCAACCTCGAACTTCATACTCAGTCTTACTGTAACAGAAGCTGATTCGTTCCCAGTTGTCTCTCTACTTTTAATCAATAACGGGAGAAAAGCGCGAGAGTTGAGCATGGGGAAAGAAAAGGTGCTTTCCGTTATCTCTTCCTCCTTCCCAAAGTCTCCTTCGTCTTGGCAATGCTAGTCTCTCGCAACTGCATGTTGTGTGTACAACATGGTGAATAAATTGCTTCTAGAAAATGACGGTTGGTTCGTCAACAATAAACCTGCACAAGAACAAATTGAAAAAAAAGTTCGCTGTGTTGCGCACGCTCGTAGTAGATCACCTTGACAACATGACATCACAATGCCGGAAGGAGAGAGCATCTTATCAGATCATCTCGACAGGGGAAATGCGAGTGTAGCTTGGGATGAGAAACACTCCTAGACCGTCGTATCCTCTATCAATACCTCGTTCTTATCGGCTATGACTGTGCGAGAGGCGAACCATATCCAACTTGGAAAGTAAGAGTGTGGTGTACGGAGAAGCATGAGATGAATTCTCGTCATCAAATCCTGTTTTTTAATCCTCCACTTTATCGACATCATTTACTTTGCCTGGTTCTTTAATCACAAGAAGGTGAGTAAAGCATATTTCCACTTAAATGGCCTCTTTATCAAAGTCAGAACTCGAGTGCTTTTTCTTCAGGAAGTCCTCAACTCGTTCAAAAATCAAACCAGCCTGTATTTCGTTCCCTTTTGGCTGCGTTTGTTGAATGAATTTCTCGAAAGTTAAGTCATAATGCTAGTTTGGCGTGGAATTTAGTCAAGATTCTCTCAGTCACTGATTAAGTCAGTTTACAGGGGATCATTTCGAAGTGAAGCATTTAGTTTGCGAGCATTACTAGTGGTGCGGAGACGAAAGAGAGCCACACCTTAGAGAGCTGGTTTCCTCAGATATTCAGAAGCAGGGAGTTTGAGATGCCACGACTGCGACCCCTGGAAAAACCTCGCTTGAAAATGCATTTACATTTCTTTGAGAAATTTTGATAGTGGCTGGATTTCTCAAATGGCCCAGATCTCCCGTGAAGCATATCATGTGATCGAATGTAACGTTGAGGTCAAAGTTAAAAGTGAGTAATTTATCATCATGGCACCTGTTTTCAGATTGCGCAAATTTATGATGTCACGTTAATTCTTAGCATGGGATGGATTGAAAGCATTTCCTCAGGCTGTCAATTTTTTAGGAAATGTTCCAAGGTTGGAAATGTACGTTGACCATTTTTTGTGCATTGAAAGTACTATTTCCAAGCTACTGTATCGCTCATTTAATATCTTATTTCTCTAAGTTTGTTCGCATTCGTGGTTTTCTACGCATTTGTGTATTCAATTTATCCTGCTCTTCTCCTGTGACACTTTTCATTTAAAAAAATTTCCCAAGGGCTCTATGGTAGAGGTGCTTTATTTTTTACGTTTTGCACTCTATAGAGAAATCACTTGTTTAGGATTAGCAACATCAACATAAACAAAAGCACACTTGGGTTCTAATCTGTTGTTCTTATCCTCTTGTCCAGTCCAAAGTCCTACAATTTCGTCACGTGTGTGAGTCTGATTAGAACCCGTAATTTTGTTCCATCTCAAAGGGAGAACACCAAACAGAGCTGTACCGTGATATTTTTTCTTACGCAAAGAAAATTTGATGAAACTTTGTTTTTAGGAGCGTAAGTTACGCGGAAGATAATCCCAACAAAATAATAATGTTTCGGTTTTCTTGCATTGTTTAGGCGTCCTAACTAAAAACATGCCTCCCGTTGCGGTGAATTATTTCAGCTGTCTGCAATATTCCCTTGCTAAGTGGCTTGTAGGGAGATTTTGCCAACGCAAAGGACATTGACGAAAACTGGAGGCTTAACAAGATTAGCGACTGTCGTTTTAATCGAGTTTGGTTAGTGTTGGGGTTTCAAAATGGCGGACACAAACGAGGCTCTGGAGAAAATTGACTCAGGTGACTACGATTTTTTACCTCTTCTCTTTCGACACTTAAAACGAATCCTCGGAGACAATACAGATTATTTTGAACAATACACAAGTAAGGAAGTCTATAAAAAGCTCTACAATGGCTTTAAACTGATGCTATCAACCATTGATTCTTTGGAAGAAGGAGCAACTTTGCTGGCGAAGACAGCACCCTTATTCGACTACAGTAACGACATCAAGGGAAATGGCTACAGGAGTTTACTTAGACTTGTCGAACATTGCCTTCATTCTGTTACAGAACTATCTGCCTATTGCCAAACTCATCGAGATAGATTTTATTTTCGATCTCATCACTATAGCTTGGAAGTCGAAGCTTTCGCCAATGTTTTTCAAAGGACGAGCGAATTGTTGCACTTTGCCAAGATCGTGGTAGAGGACAGTGTGCCAGACAACTTATTTCCAGAGAACTTTGACTCTAAAGTCATGTTGGAAGTTGAGAAGTTGGATAGAGAGTGCTTTTATGGTAGAACGTTGGGTTTTCAGGTGAATATTTACGAGTGATCTTTAATAAATATTTGGGTTCGCTTATCTTTAGTTCACTTAACTTAAAGTGGTATTACCAATGATTCGTTTATCAATAAATTTAAAACCGTAATGAATGCTTGACAAATTCGAACGTCAAGACGATTTTCTTGTCTGATAATAAATTGAAACTTTCAATTTGAATCATAATCTCTCTTAAGCATTATTTGTCTTGTTTTGTTTTTATTATTAATATTATCACCTCCTGTTTTTATTCTGCTCTCCCTCAAAAATAGAAAAATGGAAGGAATTATTTACCAAACAGCAGATTCAAAAATATTGAAATAAGACCTGATACAGTAAATGATATTGATAAGATAATTCTGCCTGTATTCCACGTATATTTATAATATATTTTGGGTGAAAAATAAATTTCTGGACTTATATTTAACATGAAAACTGGGAGTTGCCTAGAAATTCTACTTAAGCTACTTGAGCCACAATATCATTAACTTTTTAAAACAAACCTAATTTTGTATATGGTACATTTGATATATTCAGTTTCCACTCAGCAAATCATGATTATTTTTAGCTTTTGTATCAAGAAAACTGATTTTACTACTTAGAAAATAGGTTCTTAAAATGTTTTCCTTTAAAAATGAAATGCTCTAATATTCATCATCAGTTTTCTAGTGGTATGCGGCATTTCTTACAAGTTGTCTGTGTGGCAATGGCATCATTTGCCGAGGGTTATCATCGTCACAAGCAGAGCAGCATGGCATGTGCTACAGTATCTTTCTTAAACAGTGGGAAATACACTGTGAATCCTGAGATGAGAGCTAAGATGATTGTAGATGTGACACAGAAAACTAACATGGAATTCTGTAAAGCCTTTTGGAGTTTGACTGAAGGTTATGGACTTCAGGTACTTCCTGCAGCAGAATGCTTTCCTCTTACTCAATTAACAATTGGTTCATATGTTAGTGTGCATTCATCAAGATGTGAAGCACACAGGAAGTTTGGAGAGCACGAAAGAAGCATAAGAGTTGCTCGAGGTATAGCCAAGAGCAACTCTAGCTTCTTGAGCGCTCTCCAAACTTCCCAAGTGCTTCATATCTTGATGAATTCACAGCTGACGTATGAACCAATATTGTTTTATAACATTTTCAACCCAATGAAAAATTTTTTTCTCGAGGGACTTGTTTGCTGACGTCATGAGTGTACACATTAGGAATATGAAGCACGCTCACACAATTGAATTTGATTACACAAATTTACTAGCTATGTTGTAATACTATTTTAAAAATGGGGATATTGTCAATTGTGAGAGGAAAAAGTAGAGTCTGGCAGCAGTCTTACTGGTCAGTAAACACTACATTTTCCTTATTTCTGGTGGTTTTGTCTCAACTCTGGATATCGTGCTAATTTATTCTCAGACTATTGTCAATTTTCCCCAAAATCTTGAGTTAGTTGGAGTCAACTGTAACAGAGTCAAAGCTGTGCTTTTTGAAGAACCACTTGATGCCTAGATGCTCTTCTTTTAAAGTGTATTTTTATGACGCTTTATAAAACCAATAAAGTAGGTATGGGAATTGTTTGAATCTACAAACTGCCACTTTTGTAACCAGAATGTTTTGTTGCACTTCAGCATGTGCCACTGCTTGTTTGTTCTGCAATGAAAGTGAACAGGGTGTTCTTTATTCCTCCGGAGCCATTTGAACTTCAGATGTTGACTGGGGAGTCTGTGAGTATTGCTCCACCCTGTTCTTGGTCTGGTCTGGCTCCAGTTCAAGTGCGACTGTTGTCGTATGAATGGAGAGAAGGGCAGGTATGAGCTGATATGTCATTTACTGTTGAAAATTTCAAATAGCCAGGGTCAGAGGTTCATAAAAATTTTCAACCCCTTGAAAGTGACTAGCATCTAATTTATCCTCACAAAAGCACCCCTGAATCACACATTTATTTAAATAAGTCATGAGAATAAAGGAAATGATCATTAACAAAAGAAGCTCTTGATTGTTAAACAAATTCTCCTTGTCAGCACCTAAGGAAATGTATAGAGAACAGTATGGAGAATATGCATACTGATATTAGGGTGTAAAGGGTTAAGAAATATAATATCAAGAAAATAGAATAAAATGACAAAAGAATATTCTCAACTTTTGAATTAAAAATACCTCAGTAAATTGAAATAGAGAAAGATAATTATTCACATTCTAATGTGTAATGCTCACATTATAATGCACACATTAATGTCTCATTGGCTTATTCTGTGCTTCAGAGTAAAGATGGAAGTGACAATGTTTCACACCATGGCCGACCACCAAAGCCCAAAAGTGATGGCTTGATACTCCATGTACATGGTGGAGGGTTTGTCGCCCAGTCATCAAAATCACATGAGGTATGAAATGATGCATGTATGTGAGAGTGACCACCTCTAATAACAGTCGAGCTGGTAAACATATGTATTGGTTGCAACATGATTTCAAGTGCGATTTGTGTTGATATGCACAAGTAAAGTTTTCAAAGATGACAACAATTGAAAAATTTATTAGTACTTATTTTACACTAAATTGCATGAAAAAATCATGTTGTTACTTGTTAATAATTTACATGAAAAACGCATCGCAGAAAGTCAAGGTGGACAAAATTTTGGTAGCACACAGGCTATTTGTAATTTGCACTCGTATTACAATCATGTTGTTAATTGTTAATAATTTACATGAAAAATGCATCGCGGAAAGTCAATTTGTATTTGTAATTTACACTTGTATTACAACTTTGCTTTTGTGTTACATGAAAAATGCACACATTTTCAGCCAATCAGATGCGCATAATATGTATATTATTAAGAGTGAAACATCTATCAACTGGATACTCTCTATTAGACCCTTTGACTCTTAGGAGTGACTAACATCTAATTTCTCCTTACAATATCACCCATAAATCACACATTGAAGTTGCGAGAGTGAGGAAAATGATGTTGAACAAATTCTCCCTGTTAGCACCTCAGGAAATGTTTAGAGAACAGTATGGAGAATATGCATACTGATAATAGGGTATAAAGGGTTAACGGGGAAGTAAGCTGTATCAAAATAAAAGCCTTCTCATTTGTCTCCTCTATTAATGTATTTTTGCAGATCAAGATATTTGTAGTACTCAGAATTTTCTTACAAGTTATTCTTCTTGCAAAAGAGACTTTTTGGTGAAAGATGTTAAATTATAAACTTTCTTCTATTTCCTTATATTTTACAAGACATATTATATTTACAATATTTTTACAAGGAAATTACAAATCCAAGCTCACTTTATTATATTTTTTTCAGATGTACCTTCGCACTTGGGCATGTGAACTTGGTGTGCCCATCCTATCTATAGACTATTCATTGGCACCAGAAGCTCCTTTTCCACGGGCCTTGGAAGAATGTTTCTTTGTGTATGCTTGGTGTTTGAATAACTTCCATCAGCTGGGTACTACTGGAAAGTGTATCTGCCTAGCTGGAGATTCAGCAGGTTAGATACCACTTTTGATGTCAGTCAATATTGTTGTTAATTTTTATCAATGCTATAAGTCTTATCATCAGCCCACTTTTATACTCTTGCTGCCCCCATAAACACTTTCCAGCCATCATGGTCTGGTGCCAATCATTCCAGCTCTCCCCCTTTTGTGGCAAGTCTTCTTTTACTAACACTTCAGGGCCAACTTTGCCCTCCAGCACACTTTTAAATTTTTGAGCTGTTACAAAATCTCACTTTTAAATGCCAATGGCCTGAAAATTGAAATTCTTTAAATTCCACCTTGCTCTTTCCTCTTCCAAAATTGCATCATGACCATCGCTTATCATTTGGCAAAAAATCGTGCAGCCACTGAATTGCCAGTTAAGCAACTGTGGTGGAGACACCAGGTCTCAACTACCAATAACTGTGCTTAAAGAAATAAAAATGTGGGAAAAAATATCAAGAAGAAAAAGTAAGCCATCAAGTTAGCAGTCATGGACAATTGAATTTAACATTGTTTAACCACATGACAAGGTCACATCAGGACCTGGCACTCACCCATCTAATCTTTCTGCATAATTATTTTTAGGGGGCAATTTGTGTGTGTCATTAAGCATGCGTGCATCAGAGGTTGGCATCCGTGCACCAGACTCCATCCTAGCTGCCTATGCACCATTCAATGTACAGTGGGTACCCTCTCCTTCCCGTCTGCTGAGCCTTATGGACCCACTGCTTCCTACAGGGTTGCTAGGTGCTTGCTTGGCTGCCTACTCAGGTATGGGGAAGTCACCCTTTGATGACTGCACCACAAATTCAATAAAATCTTTAACAGGTGAAACAAGCCAGCCAGTGAGTGTCGTGAAAAGGAGAAAGACAAACTCTCTCTTGAGATTGCTACGAGTTGGCTCAAAGGAGTCTAAATTTGCAAAGAGTGGTAGCCACTCTGAAGCCCTTTCACCATCAGGGCCAGAGAGTTTCCATAGTTGTTTGAGCTCACCGCAGTTTGAAGAGACAGAGACTGTCAACAATATGGCAAGCCCCAGCACTGAGACAGCCGTTGGTTATCACTGCACTAGTGTGGTGCATTCATCAGGGGAACATTCAGAGGAAGGTGTCTCGGACCAAGAAAAGGGCTCTGAAATTAGTAGCCCTTCATCTGGGCATTCCCACTCCCGAAGACATTCCCAAGACACCATACCCAGTAGACCCACAAGTCCTCAGAGAAGCAAACATGGCGGAGGAGACGAGATGGAACATATAGGAGTGCACTACCATAGGGACATTGAAGAGTGCCACTTAGTGAACGTGGTAGAGTCTCCAGAGAGCCCTAGTGGAGAGCTTCTGTTGTTTCCTCTTGAAATGCCTCAAGAGGAGCTCTACGAAGATGTGGGTACATCACCAGATGAGGACGAGGAGGTGGGACATGATGACAAGTCTCATTCAAGGACCCAGTCTATGTCCCAAGTGCATATTCCTATTGCCAAGAACCCGTATATGTCTCCACTTCTGGCACCTGATGAAATGTTGAAGAGTTTACCACCAATTGATCTTGTGGTAAGTTTGCTTTCCTGTGATTGGTAGCCCAAGCTCGCACAACGAGCCTACGTGTATATGCAAATATGTTTACGTTGCGCAATGGGCGAAATGTAAGGATCTGTATGTTGACGAACGTTCGCACTCACAACCGAAAACTCTGAACTAGATTTGAATGAAACAAAGTTACCTCTCTTAAGTGGTTGTTTCTTAGTATTGTATGAGTTTTTTTCTGGGCTGATTTAGAGCCGTTTAGCTCCGTTTTAGTTCATCTGCTTCATCCTTTATATTATCCTCTGTATGTTCACCTTTAGGCTTGCACATTGGACCCCATACTGGACGATTCAGTTGAATTTGCTCGCCGGCTACGTTCTCTCGGTAAAGACGTGGAACTGTACATCCTAGAGGATTTACCCCACGGATTTCTGAGCTTCCATCTTGCCAGCCAGGAGGCGAGAGAAGGAAATGACCTGTGCATTGTATGCTTGAAGAGAACATTATCAGGGAAAAGAAATGTGGGAAACGTGGAGAAAGCTCCTGTGTACTGAGAGCTTGGTACATTGTTACGCTCTCATGAGCGTAACATGTAGGAGTCTTGGACAACGGCATGTTCTGTTACTTTCTGTTACCAGCTATAGACCATTTAATTCGAATGATTATGTACGCTGTCACGAAAATGTTGCGTTACCATCGCACAATCTCATTTTCTTTCACAAGCTATTTAGAACTATTTACAGTTTCTGAAATAACAGATCGAATGGATTCGCACTTTGCCGCAAATACTGTCACGTAATTGGTGCGTTTTCCGTCACGCCCTCCCATTTTCTGTTACTAGCCATAGACAATCTGATAAGAATTGGAATTATTTCGTGATTGTCACGTAACGCTGTCATGAAAATGTTGCGGTACCCAATTTGAATGTTCTTAAAAGATTTAACCTCGATAGCTCGATAGCCTTGCAATTTCTACAAACCTCGCAGGCGAGGAAGATAAATATTTCTGTCAGTTTTATATCCAAAGTAGAGCATATCAAGAATATTTTGGTGTATTTGTTACATTTTGAAATGAAGATAATATTGCATTCCTCTCCAACATTTCAGGGAGAGGGTAACTGATATTTGAGCTTGGGTGAATGGAAATTTTGTTGGGGTATAACCGTGGAAAAAATGCGATATCCAGTCACATCGCTTATTTAATATAAATGCGAAATTTAGTCGATGAAATTTATTTGTTACAGGCAGTAAAATTCTACTCTTCAAATTAAGAATGTAAATGAAATAATTTGCTGGATCAAAGGTTGACAAAAATGTAAAGTTAGTATAGGATATTAAAATTGAGACGTTGACCACGTTGAAGAATTGTCAGATGCAATGTGAGTTGGTTTTTTTTTTTCGACAAAACAGTTCCTTTTATGTCGCGAATAAGTCGCTACTATCTGGTAAAGTTGTTTTACGATTTAGCTTCAAAAATTGTTATTTGTGTTTTCTCTTCAGATTCAATTGCTAGAATTATACTTGATTTTGAATAAGGTTTGGATGCGTCAAGTTTCAGTGGTAAACTTGTTCCCAGGGTCTCTGAGGAAGGGGAATGAAAGACTAGGACTAGGCGTTGCAGCTGCAAAGATAAGCGATGGAAATGATCTAAAGCAATGCAAAGCACACTAGAGGTAAGTCATCCAAGGGCACGAGACCTCGTCCCGCGCGTGTCTTCGCCTTCGTTGTGACCTCTCCAAACGCACTTGTTTTCTTTTATTTTTCAAAGTTCTTGCCGATTATATTTTTAGCAAGTTTCACGTCATTTTATTTTTACAATTCAAAACTGTATGTTGTAAAAATAGAGCCGAATAATATATGAAAACCTTAGAGAAATCAAAATTTCAACTGGCAGGAAATATCGCTGTTAGCGTTACACCATCCTCGTCCCTAGGGTTTTTTCCGCAAATTTGAATTTCCATATGGAATCTTCCAGTTCATTTGCATTCTATGGTTCCTCGTGGTCTTAGCAATTTCACTTCTCAGTGAAAAGCTGACTGCAAAACTCATCAAACGGTCAAGTCTGACGTCCAAGGCTTACCTGAAGATTTGGCACAGACTCGCAGCACACAACAAAGCTTTCCACAAATGAAAGAACTTGTTGTGAGAATTAGGTAAGTACCGATTGTAAGCTGTTGTTCAGCGCGCTTTATGAAGTTTAGAATTTCGAGATTAACGGTGGAAGTATTTTAAACAAGTTCTTGGTACTCAAGTAATTCCACGCCGCGAGATATGTCCTTTGGATTAGGTTTCTAGGGCAATTTCATCAATTAAAAGTCCACCCGAGCATAGAAGAGGTTTTGGAGAAGAAGGAAATGTTTCTCGCGACAGTCAGTTCAAATTGAGTCAAAACTTGTAAAATAGTCGAATGAAGATGCATCCAATAGTCGTTTCAGATTTCTGAAATAACGTGGATGTAAGGCAGAAACCTTGAGAGTTTTGTTTTTCAGTGCGAGTAGTTTTCCTGATTTAGTTAATGATTGATAAATTTAAGTCTCAAGTTATATCAAATTCTTTCCCTAATTAGTCGGATGAAGCTTTCTAATGGAGCCACTTGAAGATTGAATAAATATGAAGGCATGGGAGTGAATGTAGAGGAAACGAAGAGAAAGAAAATATGGCAAGGTAAGCTTTACTACTTAGGTCGTTGAAAATAGGTCTATGATGTGTACATGTGGATGCTACATCATGCGTTTGCTAGGTGGCTAGATCGCATCGGCTATTAAGATTTGCTGCATTTCATTAGCCCTTAAACTGTCCTGATTTATCTGTTCGATCAAAAGCTACTTGTGATCGGAAAAAAATTGATCTTATTGTGTCGTTCAGAACTCTTGGACACATGTTCAATGTTCCCTAAAGGTGATTGACAACAGAGCAAAAGACGAATGTCTTCTGGGTCGGAAATCTAAATTGAGATATTTCCTCTATCTAATCCCAATATTGCTTTAATTTTGCTACTTGCATTTCCTCTTGCATTTCAATATCTTAGACATATATACCTCTTGATTAACATTTAAGATTCCAATTTTGTATTTTTCATCTTTGCCTTCTGTTGCTCACGATCGCGTTCAAACTGATTTATTGAATTCGTTGTCACACAGCAGGGACTACGAATACAGTGATTTTATCAGTCAATTTTTGGGGCTAGTAAGATTCTTTTCGTAGCAGACAGTTTAATGAATTCAGAGACATTCAATTCAGCTAGAAGATATTTTGTCGAACCCAACTTTACGCGAAATAAATGGTGTTTATTTGGCGGATGAGTTGAGTTTTCGAGCTTGGTTTTGAAATTCAGAGATGAGTACCAATAGAGAATTCTACACGTTGACTGATCTATTTTGACAATGATAAATCATGCTGATTCAACGATGGCTAAAGAGTTACCTTATATTAGGAAATGTTTAAAAAAGTGTTCTTAAACAAGACTCAGTCTTAAAAATACGTTCGTTAAACAAATTGGAGACCAAACCCTAGACCCTCTCTTGCGCTTCCTGTGTGTTAAAATTGTTTTGAGCTGGAATTGAAAATCAGGCAGCGGATTCTAGAATTTCTTTTCTCTTTCGACAGAAAAAAGAAATTGCTATCGTTGTATTCCTAGATCGTCGTGTCGTTTAATATGGCAACGTGTTTCGTGTCACACGATCAAAGAAAAGAAAAGAAAAGAAAAAAGGTGAAAACCATGATATGTTTTGTTTAGCACCTTAGTTTCAAGGGTTTCAAACAATCCTCTCAAAGCTTAAGTGTAATCGTGTTATTGTGAAAAAAAGACATTGTAGGGAGATTCAAAGATAAAACGCTACTGTATAGGCAAAGTGTTTTTCCATTTAATTTTCTTCATTCAAGCCAAAAGTAGCTACATTGAAAAAGCTTTAGTCTCAAAGGTTATCTGTCGTTTCGCCCTTGTTTTCTTTCATCAGATAATGAATACATGATGAAGTATGGATTATACGGAAATCTTACCTTTAAATCTTGCGGCTTTGAGTAGGAAGTGTACATGTAGATTTTTTCTGTGCACAATCGTAAGTGTTTTTTCCTACTCAACCTCCGCTGATACTAACAATATTGCGGATAAAAGGCCAAAATCATTACTCTTGAATAAAATAAATTTCGTGGCGGTGAGTAGGAGGTGCAAATGCATATTCAGTCTGTCAAAGGAATTTGCAAAACAACAAACAGAACAATAATTTTCCTTAAAAAGGTTCATGAAATCTTTTAAGGCTTTTCAAAAAACTGAAGACGATAGGGGGTGTAGCTTTATCACTGATTTCAGTATGTCTGTCATGTATTTTACTTTAGATTACAGGGAAATAATCCTTTGATGCCAAGTGCAAATTTGCATCGTAATTTATGTTAGTCTTTTTATTTTGTTTTTTAGTATATTTACACAGAGGCATCGCGATCGACAAGAAGAAGTAAAGGAAACCGGGCCAGGAGCCCATTACTCAATGGACTCTTGACCGGGCCTATCATGATCATCTCATTGGATCCGTTTTAAATTTAAGGTAGATGACATTATTTTCATCTCGCGACCATTTGTTTTTTTTTTTGGCAAGGAATCAAAGGCTGATTATCAAATTTGCAATTCATTTAGCTCACAAAACAAGTTATACTTTGCGGGTTTATTCAAGGTTTTTCAAGAAGCACAATACGGAGTACAATTCAATTTATTTTCTCAAGTCTATAGCTAATAAATGTTTAGTAAATTGTTTCTAGAGTTATTCTTTGGGCGAAATCCGGTTAGACGTTTTCAATTTTCCCGCCAAAAAACTTAGAAAAATATGGGCGCTCAAAATACGCATGCGCCAAATTTTTTTTGAAATTATAGTCTCTGTAAGTAACATCTGTTCAAATGTATTGAATTTTCCCGCCAAAAAAAATATGTGCGCTCAAAATACGCATGCGCCGGTTTTTTTTTTTTTAATTATTGTATCTATACACAGCAAGAAAAGTCCTATTAAACATGCGTTGTTTTTGTCTTATCTTAGTTTCCAAGATGTATTCTCAAGTAATAAAAATAAAGTGCACAATAAATCCGCTTCTTGTTGTACTTCTTTTATTTATAATAACTGATAAGATAATTTAAAAGGTATTTAGAAAAATTTTCTTCTCTATATACTAAGACTTTTGGCGGAAAAATTTGGAGGAATTTGCACAGCGTTTCCCCTGACAACTTTTTCGACAGAAATTGTAAAAAGACCCCCCACAAATGGTAATGGTTAGATTTCAAATTTTCCGCCAACTTAAACCTTTGCATCACCTTGCACAATTTTTTAACGTGATGTCTAGGCCTATTTTTTTTCAATTCTTGACAATCAGCACTCGATTTCAAAATTCAAATCAAGGTTTTCTATGCACAAAGTGATGCACAAGTTTCAACAATACAGATGAATTGGCAAGTAAAAGGAACAGTCGAAACTTTATCGATGGTTGTGTTTTGGAAGTCTACGAAGTACAAATAACTATATATTTTTTGTTACGTGTGTTCAATTTTTCTTTTGCTAATTCGTTTTTTCCTAAATCTTGCCATTTCATCCAGTGGAGCTGCTAGCCTGTGGTGTTTGGTTAATTACAATTAAGCAAGAGAATTTTCTCCGATATATTGAAATATTACTTCCTATTATGTCCAATCTTGATGGTTTATTTTGTAACTTTTCAAAAATAACACTGTCTTTTTTGCCCCGATACGTGTTCTCTTGACTCGTGTAAAAACCCAAGTGTAACAGGCTTTAAAAATAAATATCTGGTTCGTCAGAGAGATGTTTGTGGTTCTAAATTGCACGCGGAGATTTCTAACGTGGTACGTAGAAGTCAAATCTTGTAGACCACAGAAAAATCATATAATCTATTATCACTTTCTTTATGAATTACAAGCATCTTGTGAGTATGAAAACATGCTCTGAAAAAAAGACGGAAACATACTCTCCGAGTCATACGCGCTCGTAAACTTTCAATTTTTTTCCTTCTCTTGATATTATCGATAAGCATTTTAGTATTTTTAAAATTTTTATCTTTCGCAAAACAGCCATTTGTTCTTATCCCTGGCGAACTTTTTGCAATACAAAGAGACAGTGAAAAAAAACTGAGTAATGTACACATCATTGATTTGACCCTAGCGAGTTTAAATCAAAAATTTTCTTATTACCATATCAAGCTCCAACATTATAAGTTTGCCTGTTTTTTCCAATGCCGACTCTTTTCAGCATTATCACAATTCATTTCCACTGCAATTATGAGTAAAATTTGAGGAAAAATCTAGCCAAAAACTAGAGAATTTATTTTTTGACTACATGCATGGAAAACGTATTTCACAAATTCAGTTATTCAAACCATTTCGTATTTTTTTACTCTTGTTATGATGATTTGCTGTACTTCACTACTTTTTAGAGTCATTACTCTCTCGTGTAAAACAGCTAATTTTTCTGGTTGTTTTTTCACTAATCTATAAGCATCAAAATTTTCATATTTTGATACAGATGAAAAAGGCAAAGAAAATTGCTTGTTGTGAAGTCCTTTTGACCGGTGCAGCTAAGGAAATTTGATGACAAACGCAGACTACTACTTTCACAGATTTATACTGATTCCTTGAGAATGATTTATAAACGAATGCCTACTGAAAAAGACACTGGCGATTTTTTCGGACATATAACGTTGATATTACACCAGTTTCGTATAAAACCTGATATTTTGCGAGTAAATGAAATTTTCAGTCAAAGCTAAGGGGTATAAACAACAGAAATCACGTTTGTAATTTTTTTCTGTAGATGTGCTTTCCGTTTTATTCATCTCCCGTTGTGTCAAATATTTCCAAAATTCGAAATTTTCCAATAGCGGAAACACCAAATCAAAATACCTCAATCATTTTTTTAGACGTAAAAAGTTTGTTTTTCATATCAGAGTCTGTAAAACTTGAGTCGTGTTTAGTTTTAAAATTTAACTTTCCACTTAAAACTGAGAAAAATTTTTTCCATATTGTGGTCCACGAGATTTACATGCTAAATTTGCAAGTTGAGATTTTACATTGTCCACAGCTCTTCTCTACGCCACGACAATAAGTGTAACTTATGTTTTTGTTTTAGAGAGCGCCTTCCTCGTTTTTCCGACATCTCATTAAATGAACCAGATATTTATTTTTCAGGAAATTTACTTTATTAATTAAAGGGTAATATAGGAGAAAGGTCCTCCATCATTCAGGGATTTAATGTTTTGATTAGAATCAAACACGCCTCAATTTGTAAACATACAGAAAGTAAACTCCGATAAAATTCTCCTCAAATTATGAATTATTTCAATCATGGAGGACCCTTCAGAACGGTCTTAAGTTGAACTCAAGGTGTATATCAGATGAACGTGGAACTAATCTAAGGTGGCTTTATGGTGTAATCAAGATTCAAGACTTCGGTTTTGCTTTAACTCGTTCAGTTATTGGTCCATCGCGCCATCCTCTCAACCAATCAGACGCAAAACAAAAACCAATCACGATGTGGTCGTCCGCGTTTTCCCGCACTTTTTGCACTTTGCCTTGTTTTACTTTGAATTCTCATTGGTTTATGATGAAGCGAATCATCGTCTTTAATGAACGTTTTGATTACTTAAGTTTCGTTTTTTTCCAACACTCAACTGAAAACTCCTCAATTTTCAACCCAGGATGGTGTCATGTCTGATTGTTCGGTGGAGAGTGGTCGGTGAAAAGTAGTTATCGAAATTAACAGCGATTGTGTTCAGTCGTCATCAACAAACGAAGAGCTGTTTGTCTGTCGAGTGATACTAGTCTAGACGGCAAAAACTTCTTGGTCAGTTTTTCAGTACTGTGATGTTTTCAGCTGTTAGACTTAAAAACGTTAGTGTCCTCGGCGGCTCAGAATCGTTAGAGTCTTCTTTGATTTCTTCGCAAGTCTTTTTGTCATTTCAGTTGTAAATTTCTCATCATGGACGGTCTATAGTTCTTGACAGGTGTGACACGTCTTTTGTCGGCTATCATTTCAACAATGCCTCGGATGTCGTTGGTTTTCATGGCTAAAATGTTCTGTCAGCTGGAATAACTGATTGTATGGGGGATGTATTTCTGCCTCTGTTTGCTTTTATTCTCTTTGGTTGGTTCAGACAAATCTCGTTGCCGAAATAAAAGATCGGCCTTACTAAAGAGCACAGAAACCTTGGTCGGTATACTTTTCAACGGAATTGAGTGTTTCAATCCAACGGTAAGACAATATTCTTTTCAGAGGGAAGAGAAAAGATATGTGGAGATTATTTCTGCGACGGATTTACATTGTACGACAAATTTTCTTGTTGCTATCATTTCAAAAACCCTCGGAAAAGAGGAATTCCTGAATTTCGATCGAATTCTTCTTTGGCCGAGAGGCGCATGTCGAGAGCGAGTGCCACCTTAAAAAGTTACACACCATCAGTCCTCACACCATCACTAACAAATAAGACCACAGTAGTGTAGATCCAAGACTAACATTGAGCGGTATTTCAAGGCTTTTGAGCATGGCTTTCATGACTATTTTGAGAATTTTAAAACCATTTTTGAAGATAAAGTCGGAAAAATTACATCAGCAATAAAACACGGACTCCAGCAACTTTTCTCACTCATTTTGTCACATCAACGTGCCAAGTAAACCAACAAACCTTTTTTTCAAGGAGCCTTGATAGACCGCCCTTGAAATCTTGCTTTTGAATCTAATGAAATTGAAAAATTAGTGGCAATTGCTTTTGAACGATTACAATTTAAGCGTCTTTTTTTGTGTTCTATTTATGGTTTTTTTTTGTCTTGTTGCTTTGTCTTTGACTTCGCCAAATCACATTGCGTAATTTACCTCGTCAAATCAAAATTGTTCAGTGGTTCAAATACATGGCCTCTAATTTTTGAAATCTAAAATTGAATATAAATTCTTATCTTTGTCGTTTCCAATTTTCTCAATCGTCTGAGCTTTTCTTGGATTCTTCCTTGCGAGGTCCTCCAATGTCCATGTATTGCTTGTGTCAGGAATAAACCAACGTTGCTCATCCAGTGATTGCTCTAATATAACAGAGAAGAAAAAGGAAATTAGGCTTCTTTTAAAATTTTATTCTGTAAAAGAGCTTAAAATTGTAATTTTGAAATTTTACCTACTCTTTGACCTTAGAAGTTGACCAGTAGAGAAATTATCCTGACAATTTTTATGCAATTTTAAATTATGGGTGATAAAAATTTCGAGGCGAGTGTCTGCCATTAATATAAAAAGAATATTTCACTTTTAAAAACCTTTTCTACACTAGAAATTGTATTTTAAATAACAGTTTAAAACGTTCTTGAATAAAAATGGCACACCAGTGCTGCAGAGTCGGTAAACTCGTCACCAATTGACGTGTTGCACGTTGTAATTATTCAAAGTTTAACTTCAGCAACAAACAGGCAAAAATAATAGAAAAATTATTCGAAAAAAATCTTACACAAAATGTCTTTACTCTTGTTTTCATAAGAAAAATCTCAAACGACGACGAACAACTAGTTCAGTAACAGGGCGGCACAGAGTTCAAGTAAATAGCGACGGAATTGCAAGAACTCATGTGGCAGCACTCCAACCTCCGCTTTGCCGACAGAGACGAAAGACGTAGATGTAGGAGAAGAAGAAAACACACCTACCATTTTGAGGTTGGAACGCATACGTTCTTCTTCGAGGAGGACGTCGGACATGACCTGCACAGGCACACAAACACGATATGTTTGGTTTGACGCAAATTCTACCACCATGAATATGGATAACAACTGTGATCAATCAAGACAAATCAGCGGTGCGAATTTCAGCCACTTACATTGTAGTTTGAATTCGTGAGAATTATCAGCTGCCATTAGGCAAACGTTATTTGCATTGGTAATTATTCCCTGGGGATTTTGCAAAGGAGACTCTATCAAATAATTAACATAAGTTCCATCCCATCATTCTACTCAACGCCGTAAGAGTGATAAAATTTGAAAACCCACCCACTTTTCCATCCGTTAAGTAGCAAGCTTGATCCTTCCCGTTAGATTACTTCTTCGTCTTTCTTAGGCCAAAGCGGTGCCCCACATCTCTTGCTTACCAGTCGTTTCGCCCCCACGGACGTTCAGTATTCAGTCGATTCGTACCCAGCTAGGGCCATTTGCACCTAGTTGATTTAATCGTTTCGTACCCATACTAATAAAGTATGTTTTCCATGTTAAGTATGGTTAAAGAAAGCTCGGTTTCTTTTTTAAATAGCAGTATAATCTGCGATAAATAAGTTTTGATAAGGCGGCTTCCATTGTCAATACGCGACCACTATTCTATTGAAAACATCACACTTACCTTGCGCTGGGTAATAATTTAGTCGTTATTGTTAAGAAGGTCACAAGTACGCACAGCAAAAAAACTAACTTGTATCTTTCTCGCTTGACTCTTAAATGAATTTTCTTACGTAATAATCGACATCTTTGACACGTGCGCGCGCGCGAGGCTGCGTTAAATCTCCTGGGTTTTGATCAAAAGAGGAGAGATGACGTTCTTTTTAGTTAGCGATAAAGGTAATATCGAAAAATAAAAAATTAATTTAAAAGGATTAAAAGAAAGGTTTAGTGCTCCATAGATGTGTGGCATATAAAACCTCTCGTAAACTCCTTTAGATCTCCTAACTTTGAGTTAGAGCAATGAGTAATAGCACGTTCTCTGATTGGTTCGGGAGTGACTTGATCTTGCTTCACCTCTTCAGGAGGTGGGCTCAGAAAACTCGCGCTAATCTTTTAAACCAATCAGATGCAAGATTCATAACAAACGCCACTTGCATTTCGCGCACCTCGTGCAACTTCCTTGTATTTACTTTGTATCTTCATTGGCTTCTTCTTCTTCAACACCCTAACATCAGTTTGCATTTTCTCCACACTGTTCTATTACATTTCCTAAGGTGCTGACAAGGAGAAATTGCTTAACAATCAAAAGTTTCTTGGTTTGGTGATCATTTCCTATATTCTCCTGCTCTTAATGTGTTTTTAGAGGTAATATTGTGAGGAGAAATTAGCTGCGTCACTTTAAGTGGTTGAAATGTTAAAAATTATCCTTAAATTTTTCAGGATATCTATGCAAAAGGCTTACAGACAGCATTATTTGTATAAAAATTTTGATTTATTATCAAAGTAACTTAACTTACAAAAAGAGCACTTTTCGCAACGTAGTTCTTACGATAAAGGGCTAAGATTGAAACGCCTGGAAACTTGACTTTTACGGCACTCTTTGTTCACATGAACTGTGCAGTACTTAATTCATGTACGTCCTAGCAACACAGGGCCATTTTTTCCGATCTTCTTTATGAAATTCCAAACAAGTTTTCTCCTTTATTTCAAAATCATTTCGAACAACTAGCTTTTCTCCGGGTTTATTTTTTCCACATTAGTTAAAAACTGTTCTCGCAATAATTTTACTATGTCCTGTTTCCCTTTTTGATGCCTTTTCTTCTGATTTTCCATCTGAACTGCTTCTTGTAAGCGTTCTAAAATGTCCTGATACTTCTCAGCCATGGGCTGCAGTTTGTCTTCTTTGATGTTGTACTTGGCAATCTTTTCGCGACCTGTTTTCTGAATTACTTCTTTAAAATGATGTACTTCTTCGCTGTGTAAAAGTGTGATGGCAGTTCCTGACACAAAAAATGGATGAAATAAATCAGTAAGAAAAAATAATTGAGGTACAAAGTGTCTCCCTTACGAAATATAGCTCAGCGAACATAAAAAATTTTAACGTCGTGAAATGATTAATTGATTGGTTCTTCAATTCGTTAATTCGTTAATAAAGCCAAAAAGAGGTCGCAATAACGAGTCTATCAGCACTTTATGTATGCCTCACAAACATTCCACACTTAACATGTTTGGAGGAAAGCAGAGAAAACTGGGTCGGGTATATTAACAGGCTTACTCGCTGACTCACAGCTTAAGGTCACAAGAAAAATTAAACAAATTTTTCTTTCGCAGTATGATTTACTTTGTTTAGCATTTATCTTCTGATTTGAAGTTACTACCTAAAATATTTTAATCATGCGATGAAACTTTGGTGAAAGAGCAGTTCAAAGAGATGGGGCGCTTTTTTTAACATAATTTCCTTATCCGAGAGGTTTATCTTTAATGCTTGAAAAGGAGTAATAGAACCACAAATTAATGATTGTGATCAAATACAAAAAGACAGGAGACCTTCATAAAACACTTTCTTGTGATGTGAAAGAATTTAAAATCAAATTTTGGAGTAGTTAAAACCATGAAATTCAAATCGAAACCCAAAAGAAAGGTTATGTCGACCATCGCTATCCTTTGTCGTAACGTAACGATAAGCACTGCGTGGCAACTGCGAAAGAGACTGGGACCAGGTTACCTTTGTTTCCCGCCCTTGCTGTCCTTCCCACACGGTGTATGTATGTTCTGACGTAATTTGGTACATCATAACTGATGACGTAACACACATCCTGAATGTCCATACCCCTCGCCATGGCATCTGAACAGATCAATAGCTGTAGCTTTCCCAGCTTAAAGTCTCGTAAGATTCCCTTCCTCTGTGGAGGTGACAAGCTTGAAGAATACTCTGCCACTTGAACACCACCATACAACTTCACAAGTAGATATAACCTGTGACAGATACAAAGCAAGAATATCTGTAGAGAACTCAGTCAAAAAGAAGAAAGATGATTGACCCTTTCAACCCAAAGAGTGATCAGCATCTAATTTCTCCTTACAGGAATACCAGTGAATTATATATTCAGATCATGAGAACAAAGGAAATGAATGCTAACCTAAAATGCTTTGATTGTCAAACAAACTCTCCTTGTCAGCACTAAAGGAAATGTATAGAGAGGAGTACTGAGAATCTGGACACTGATGTTAGGATGTACAGGGTTCAGTCAGACATGAACTGATACTTAAAAATATGAACCCAGAAAATCTCAAATTCTGTGTAGCTGCACCAAATCATCTTGAAATCACCAGTGGTTAGGAGAATTTGGTTTTATTCAACCAAAAGGTTAAAATTTTAGTACCATTTATGGCTATGGGCAAAACTACATGGAAACTGCATGTAAACGCACAGTACCTGTGGGTAGCCTCCAGTGTGGATGCAAAACACAGAACTCGCTCAAACTTCAGTTGTGTTAAGAAGTACAACACCATCAGTGGCTTCTCTCCACTGTTGCAAACTGTCATATATTCTGATAGTCCTTCTGGCACACTGAACCGACCAGATGTTGCTACATCTTAAGAAAATACAAACAAAAGACATGCTGTTTATATTTCAAAGCTTCTTTGCTAAAATGTTAAACCTCCTGTTCTGATGTTAATGATTATTTCAATAGCTACTGTTACCATTTGCAATCAAACCAAAATTTTAAGGGATCTCTTCAAAAACTTCAAAACTAAAAGTGGGCAAAGTAGAGGCCTAATGGTCAGCAAATGTTAATGCAGATTTTTCAAAACTACAACAGTTAAGATAAAAATTATACATTTCATGTGACATGCTTCTCCTGGAACTACTCCACCTTTTTTAATACTACGCAACAAACAGCTCAAGACTTTCCACATGTACCTGAAGTGGGTCCACCAAAATCAGTTGTTTTCATTTGATTGACACTTCCTGTCCCAGTAAACAAAGTTGGTTGATACAACTGGAGAGGAGCAAGCTTTTCAGGACTGTGTGTCATTGTTGCAGAGAACAACAGTTTTTGCAAAGGAAGTTGAATGGCGGCAAAACTTGCTGCTGTTTGAGCTCCAGCAGGTTGCCTGATTGTCTGCAGGTTACAGGACAATGGCCTAAAAAGGAAACAAACTATTTGATACATTCCAGATGCATGCGTGCAAAACCAGTGATCTGACAAGGTCTTGACAGAGTTATGAATGGAAAACAGAGGAGTTGTCAGTTTAATTTTATTGCAAGGATGTCCAAAGATTGAGGTTGTTTAAACTTTACAAACATCAGAATGAGGGGAATGAGGGAAAAAATTTTGTTGGGATGGCAGGATCAAAAGAACCTTTCTATAATTAATCCTGTGAAATCCCACCCTTTTTCCTCATCTTTAGCCCCCAAAATATATTTGTCCCCATCAAATAGAGTCTCCTACAATGCATTTCCCCCAAATCTTTACAGGCACAAGATAATAAGAGTTTCCTGTAATACTTGAACCAACTTTCAGCTCGTTAACCCTTTACACACTAATATCAGTATTCATGTTGTCCACACTGTTCTCTATACATTTCCTTAGGTGCCGATTAGGAGAATTTGTTTAGCAATCAAAAGCCTCTTTAGTTGGTGATCATTTCCTTAATTCTCATGACCTTTATGTTTGATTCAGGAGTAATATTGTAAGGAGAAATTAGATGCTAGTTATTCTTAGGAGTCAAAGGGTTATCTGGTACCTGTCACTGTTGAAAAAGTCACTTGTGAAAGATTGCTTGTTGTAGGCAGCTTTCAATACTTTGCCAAGCCAGCCATGGTATGATTGACTCAACAGCCGATCAGCTTCATCAATCACAAGGAATCTTACGTGATGAAGGGTAAAATTTGGGGTTGATGAAATGTGATCAACCAATCTACCAGGAGTACACACAAGAATGTCAACGCAACTGCTACTGCCACAAGAGCTGAAAACAAAGCAAAACCACTGTCATGAGCAGCAAAAAATTAGACATGCCTTTTAATTTATTCCTTTCACTCTCAAGATCTCATTAGTAATTCTCCACACTGCCTGCCACACAGTTTTTTTGACGTTAGTTCAGAGATTTTTGGTATTGGATCAACTATTACCCTCTTATTGATATTTTTCTTTCTTCTTGTCACTTGTCTCCTCGATATTGTACTGATATTTTAAGGAGAAATTCTGTCTTGGTCACTACCCAAAGTTAAAGAGTTTAAGAGCACAATCCTAGACAATGGAAACTTTTCTTTACAGATTGATTCCAGACATCAAACTCAAATATCCACATATTGAACGTCTGGATGTAGTGAATAGGTAGGTAGGTATATAGGTAAATTCTGTACTCAAGTGAAGTGGCCAATCCAGCTGTAATTTATCCCAGTTTACATAGCATGAAGTGACTATAAGTACTACTACTCCCTCCTGGGTGGGATATCAATCCATCATAATGTTACCCCCAGCATTTCATCAGGCTCCCCTGGCAATTTGTTAGTACCCATTTATACTCCTGGGTGAAGAGAGGCACTGTGAGAGAAAAGTCTTTAGCCCAAGAACACAACAAAGCAACCTGGCCAGGACTCAAACCTAATCTTCTTGACCTGGAATCCAACTCACATGTACTAACCATTAAGCCAACGCATCTCCTATGGATACAGTATATACAGCAGATAAAAAATCCTATAATGAATAGAGTAATTCCCGTGTGTTGCATGGAACTCAGTAACTAATGGAGATGCACCCAGTTTATATGGACAAAAGTGATAGTGCTTTCATCAAGGAAACATCAACCTCCTTTAGCATCAGCCACAAAGCTGATGTGTGTCATGAGTAAAAACATATTTTGTTAAAGTAACACAAAATACTTACCCTTGGTTAACAAGCTGTTCCTGATTTTTTGAGAATGAACTTGATCCTGAAGCTAGACCCACCCTCAAATTTGTACCCTCTGTGAACATTTCAAAAACTTGTTTAACTTGATTTGCCAGATCTTTTGTAGGGAGGATGATCAATGCCCGCAAGTGACAAACCACCCTTTTCATTAGGATTTGTACAATTGGTAACACATAGGCAAGGGTCTTGCCACTTCCTGTTGGGGCCGAGACACAGATATCACCTGGTGCATAGCCCCCTCTGCCCAATAAGCTGTTTGTATCCGTTTGAGATAGTACTGCTGGGATGACAATGCTCTGCACAGGGAATAAGTGATTTATATCATGGTGTTGTAGTTTTGTGACTATATGAGATTCTAAGTAAGGGATCTTGTCAACAGGAGTCATATTACCACTCAAGTCAGAGTTAATAATCGTAGGTTTTGCAAGCCAATCAGGCAACACTCTCTGTACTTTTTTAAGCACTTTGTTTTTCCTCTGGCCTCCAATCACAGTAAACCCTGTTTCTTCACTTTTTTCTTGTGGTGTTTCTCCCGACATTTCTCCTACATTGTCCTCATTTTCTTGAGAAATATCCTCTTGTTCAAAGTCTCTTTCCTTAATTTCATTGTTCAAAAGAGTCTTTTTGTTGTCCTTTTTTTCTGCCTTCGTTTTGGCATTTTTAGAGAGTCTGTCCTTCTGTGAATCATCGTTGGGATTATCATTCTGAATTTCATCTTTCCTCTCTTTTTTTAAGCCTTTCTTTGGTATCTTTTTGTACTTTATCTTATCAGAATTCTCTTCAACAAGTCTTTCCTCCTGTGAATCATCGATGGGAATATCATTTTTAACCTCATCGTTCTCCTCTTTTGAGACATTCTTAGACGTCGATTTGTCTTTTATCTTATCCAAATTCTCTTCCGCAGTTTTTTGTTTCTTTTTCTTGGCTTTCTTCCCTGATTTCACCTCTTCTTGGACATCAGATTTCATTTGATTAGAGTCCGGAAATTTAATTTTGTTTGATCTTTCATAGCTCTCTCCATCCTGCTCTAACATTTGTCTTTTTCTCTTCCTTTCGGCGATATCACGTTGCAGCTGGGCAAGTCTTCTTGATTCGTCCCTTTGATCTGGTTCATTTCCGTCATCTCCCATAAATCTCTCCACTCTGAAGAGATCCATTTCATATTTAATTGTTCTCAAACTTCAGCTATACTCAGATTAAGGGATCGAATCAAGAGCCACTACGTTTATAGCACTCTGTGAAAGTTAAACATTTCGTCCACCATATTTCCACGTGATAAAGAGAGGAACTGGGCCTGAACATGCAGTCCGCTGGACAAAATTTCTGCTGGCGAAAATAAAGAAATAATTGAGAGGTTGTGCAAGGTCACTAATACACAAAGGGCGAAAAAGGTTGAAAATATCCAAATATTGAACCGATTGAAGAAATGTTTAATTTGTGATCTCATACAGTCACATTGTTTGTCAATTGTGATCAAGAGGAAAAAAGTTTGGAAATATTTTTATTCCAAAGGGTCTTATTTCCAGAAGGAAACTCACCTGTGTCTTAATCTCAGTAGTTGAACAATACCAGGAAGAGTGGAACGAAAATTCAGGGGGAGGGGAAAAAGTAGCTAGAAAGAAGGCGGCAATGGTGTTAGCTCCTACCAAGAGTAGTCAGCATCTTATTTCTCCTTACAATATTACTGCTAAATAATCCATAAAGATCATGATGTTGAAGGAAATGACTGGTAGACCAAGAATTTTTGACGTCAAACAAACTCTCATTGTCAGTACCAAAAGAAAATGTAAAGAGACAAGTATGGAGAATATAAATTCTGATGCTAAGGTGTTAACAGAAAGCAGAGCTGGCTCCTGAAAATGTTTTTGTGATGAAAAGCAACTGATGTATTGACTAACGTTAACTACACTAGAACAGTCTACCAGCAAGTCAGCCGACAAACAGACACATATTAGTTGAAGAAGAAAGGTGGCTATTTCATACATATGAAGGGAAATAACAACATATACAATGATGATAATTCATTTAATTTTATTGTTCACTTTAATTTCTTTCCTCCCCAATAAAAACACCATGTAATGGGCATGGTAGACTAACTACAACATCGGTGTGACTTCCAAGCAGCATTAATTAAGTTTTTAAATCTCTCTCATTCATTTTGTTAATACAAGGACTTAATGTGATAGCATAAGAAGGAGTGATGGTAAAACTATGACATGATAATGCATGATGGGTAACTTTGTTGCTTTGCAACAACTGTACAGGGGCTGCTCTTCTGGAGATGGTCTTACTACTGAAAGTATTCAACAATGAACTGGCACTGACTGAAGATGTGTTCACCATTGAACCTCAACCCTGGAGTACTGATCTGTAACAGATAACCCCATACAACAGATATATCTCTTTATGAGATGGCTATACCGATCTAAAATGGTTATGTGGTAATTTCTAGGTTGTCATCCGTGGAAAGATTCAACTGTAAAAACAAACTGAGCTGTCACTGAAATTACCACTACTTAACCAAAACTTAGATGAATCTCCTTTGTAGCTGTTGTTTGGGAGTTTGGGATGTCACTGAATTTGCCCAAGAAGTATCAATTATTGTCAATGGCTCATTGCACAATCCTTCTGAGAAGTCTAAGGTTTCAATGAAAGCTGGTAACCAGCCATCTGTAGCCACCTTGAAAACTTCTCACTGCTGTCTGTTTGGCCTGCAGGAAGGCCCTTGTGCTTGGGTTTGTCTTATGGCCACTTTTCAGACATTGTTGCCTGTGACACCATCCACAGCCACTTACGGAAAAGTTATTGAAATTTCTGAGTAGCATTGTATGAAAAATCTAATAAAGGCTGAAATTGAGAGATGCATGCTAACTTGTCAAACATCTTTCACTATTTATAAGGAACCTCATGTACAAATGATCTGTCAACTTTGTGGAAATTGGGATAGAGTGATGGTCATCATTCCAATGAAATTTTTCTTCTCTGCCAAACACTACTATATGGTCTTAAAGGAAATGGCTATACAATACCAAATTACCAATTTTAGATATTTGTCTACCATTCTTCAGTCCACACATATAACATTTTTTAAAAGGTATGTTGGCAAGTAAGATCTTCCTCCAGCAAAAAGTGTTCTCAGTACTGTACGTTACCAAAGAAAAAATATAAGTTCCAGTATTTTTGTCAACATAATGTTTATACTATCTCATATTTTTCAACTGAAAACCCAACTTCTTGTGAAAACTTCACTGGTTTCTCATCATCTACAGATGTGATCTCTGTTATCTGCAAATACACAAAGTTACAAATCTTGATTAGATTACAACTGTCATGTCTCCACTAATATAAAATTTCTTGAAGGAGAGGACCTATAAAAGATTTCTTGGGATTTCCAGTGCTGAAAAAATCAAATAAAAATTTTATTTTACTGGCAACACTGATCAGATTAATTACATTGGACCACATAACTAACTATGTCAAAGGGACCTAAATACTGTGCAAACAGGTGTGGACTGTGCATTTCACAGCCAGTACCATAAACACCAGTGGATAAACTGCACCTTTTTCTCCAAACTTTTTTACACAAATCAGGGGGGCAGTGTATCTGTGAGAATACTATTTATCAAATGCCTGGCTAGTGGGCTACAAACGACCCAGCAAACAAACTTAAGATTTCCAGTTGTTTTATGTAAATTCTATTGAACATCTGACAAAAAAAATTCTGGTTGAACAATACCAGAGTACAATCAAAAATACACCAATGCAAGTCTGAGTTGGTAGATTAAGATATATGTCTGTACTATTACAGCTTAACTTATAGGTATGTGATTTGTTAGGCATGCTATTGCAAAAGACAGAAAATACCTTCAAGTCACAATACGATTTCCTTGATGTGAAGGTCACTGAAACAGGAAAGAAATCTCCAGGATGTCCTGCAATGCTAAACTCCATACTACCACTCTTGTTTGATGAATCTATTACTGGCAGTTGCCACTCAAGAACAGAATGCTTGTGATCATAGTGGTACTCCCCATCCACTTCTCCTACAACTGGTCCACCAACACCGTGCCTGCAACCACACCCAATAAAGCATTTTGACTAAAGTAAAAACAATCGTTATTCTCACAATCACTTTCAAATTACTTTGAAATATTTCTGCTGTCTGAATTCTGACATATCATACAGAAGCTTCACTGAAAACCAGCTCCACACCTCACTAAAATATGTCATATTTTAATATCTTTATATCTAAATCAACAAACTGTTTGATGTCACCCATTTGTTTTTCATTAAATACAAGGCTGTCTTCTGGAATATTTCCCTTGTATACTTTCTTTTCAGTATGGTTCAAAGAAACTGCAGAAGCTTGTTACATATCTACCACAACATCAGCCGGTCCTGTCACCAATTAAAACTATCACCATGCAAACCAAATTTTGAAAAAATCTCAATCTTAAAATATCAACCTTCTAAAATTAAAAACTCAACTATGTTATTTTGTGCAATTAATTTCTTAAACCAATAGTTACAATAGCAGTTTCTTGCTCTTTGTGATCACAAAAAGAATCCCTTCCAATTATCAGGTACATGTAATAAATAGGGTAAAAATAAATGCCATATTTGAGTCAAAATTACGAGCCACTTCACATTCATCAGTGACCAGTTTCACAGCTCTGTTTCTTTTCCTCATACTTTTACAAATCAAGCAATGTTGTCATACTGACTTGCCTTATTACTGAGGGAAGAACATCATGATTTGCTTTCAGTTAAGGTTAACACACATTGACAAATTGACATCTGAACTTCCTGCATAGAATGCTAACCCTTTCACATTCAACTGCAAGCACACTTGTTTACAAACGAAGATAAGTGACTACTTACGGAACAGGAATTGAAATTACAATATCATTCAGCTCCAGATTTTCTTGGAGAAGCTCATACTCTATGTTTACATCACATTGTTCATCATTTTCTGAAGGCCAACAGTTGACTGCAAGAGATGTGAAACACAATCAATCTTACACACTGAAAAAGTGACGTCAGCAAACTGAAAGTGCCTCCCTCTCATATCCCCGTTTCTTTCACCCTTTAACCCCTGAGAGGGACTCGCAGATTATTTCTGTAGCCTGATACAACTTGGGGTCCACACATGGATGATTCAATCTGAAGTCAAGTGGAGTCTACATGTCAGGGCCATCAAACCACTCATGTTGGCATAGCTACATGTTTTATCTGGTATAAAAAGTAACACTACAGTAATTCTAAAAAGTGAGGTGTCAATTGTGCTAAAATCTTACTTGATAATGGCATTAGTCCTTCATCTGTGCTCTGCAGTCTCCACTTTAATACACCAATGTCATTATTGAGCGGGAAAGGTTTGCTAGGTTGTTTGAGTCCTATTAATGATTCTTGATTGAATAATTTCTTGTCTATGTTTGGATGTGTCTGAAAATCAAAATCAACAAATATTAGAAGACCAGTGTAAGCTTCATCAGACAAAAATTTTGTGATTTGATACTGCCAAATGGCATTTTCCAAAATATTTCAGCCTGGAGCTCAATGCCATATTCTCAGAACTAATAATTCTATAGCAGACAGCAAGGAGAATTATTAATGACACCTGGGAGTGAAAGGGTGAACAGAAGTAGAAGATGAGACCCTGACAGCCACAGGGTAAACAACAGTACCTGCATTTGGAATCCTTTATCATCATTGTTTTCAACACTGAGTCTTATTTTTCCATACTGTGCATCAGACACTCTGAGAAGCACAAGACCTCTGACTTCCATGTTCTGTAGTCCCCCATCTCTTCCAGCAGTTAGTGTGATCTTCTCATCAATCTTTATATGAACACTGAAATAAAAAGCAAAAGATTACACCTCAATACTAGCATGCATATTCTCCAGACTGTTCTCTAAATAAATGGTAAGATATGACTTACATTTTAACATCCTTATGGGCACCCCACCTAATTCAGATCTTTTAAGGACTCATTTGGGAGGTTACATTTTTTTTTTTGGTTTATGACCCAAGCAGTTTGCTATTGTAACCTCCCAAAAGGAATCATCACTCAAATGCAATGAACTAGGTGTTGATTATAATGTTAACATTTTGGCCAAACTCATCAACCGGTATATAACATTTTTAGAACACTTACCTTCCCATTTGAACAGATGGTGTTGTTGGTGTCTTTCCAGTTGATGATAATTTTGTCTTGGAACTTACTACCTCTGAAAATAGAACATTTAAACAGTTCAGTGAGTTTCTTCTTTCTGTATGAGTATTTTAGATCCACTCAGTGGCAAAGAAATAACCATTTTTCTGTTGCAATTGTGAGAAACAAAATAACAAGTTGTAAGCCTCACAACCCAAGCAAGTACAACTGTGAGAACAGCAAAGATGACAAAACCAAGCAGAGTTTCATGACCTGTCAAGGGTTTCAGGAGCAGATTACAAAATAGAAGAAAATAGAGAAATCACAGGCACCAGCCAACCCCACACATCCTTGTTCATAAGGGAGAAAAATGCCCCTTTGTAAATGCGCCCAGCCACATTTTCCTGTTGGGAAATGTTACTACTGTCTTCATATTATGGGCTCATGCAGAGAACTATCACAAAATATAAAAATTACTAGTGGTGAGTTTTCTCTACTCTAGTTGAGACAGAACAAACAAAGGAACATCACTCTTGCAACAAATTAGTGCTTCAATTACGAACAGACAACAAAAAGTCCTTGAATCTCTATCTCCCAAGGTGATTCCATGTTATAGAGAGATGATCTTCAGCCCTTTCCTGATTGTTTTGCTTCCACTCTATCTTATTTGGTAGTGGATCTCTCCTCACCTGTTCCTTCTGATCTTAGTTTGTCCACAAAACTGTCCACATCCTTAGATTTGCTTCCTAATTTCATTGCCTTTCCAGTGCCAGCAGTTCTGAAACAAAACAAAGATAATACCCACTGGTTATCAAATATCAATAATTCCTTGGCTCTATCTGAACCCTTTATTTCAAGGGGAGAATTATTGACCTTAAAAAAAAAAAAAGAAAGGCAGCAATGTACAAAAAACTGTAAATCACCTTGTGGGATATGATGGTTTAGGAGGCGTAGGATCAATAACTGTGACATCATTAGCCACTGGAATACTTGAATCACGCCCTCCTCCACCAAAACCTCCAAATCCAGCTAACTGTCCCTTGCCACCTTTGCCACGAGCAGCAGCTGTTCTGGCCGCTTGTAACTCCTTTGCTTTCTTTTTCATCTCTTCCTTGGCTTCACGTTCTTGTGTCTAGTCAATATTTAGATGGAGAAAAAATTATTACGATTCACAATATAGCCCTTCTCACCACACAAGCAGCTCCCCTGTCTCTCTATTTCAAAGTAGTTAGTTCAAGTTTGGATAGATGCTTGTAATTTTAGCAAAGTTCGCTACACCAGGAAGAACAAATAGACAAACCAAAATATAGAGACAACATCTAAGACATTGTGTCTCAAAAACAGTTCTTTGATGCATTGATAGAAGTAATTTTATAAACTTGCCTGTCTCACTGCACGGAACACCTTCTCTTCATGACTGTCCATCTCTGTGAATGTTCTGATTTGTGCAAGATTAACATTTTCACGATAGCCAAGGGCAACAATCTCATCAAAGGCAAAGATTAGTGAAAATGCATTTTCAACTATTTCAGATTCCTCCATTGCCTTGCAGTATTCTGGAATCTAGAGACAGACAAGAGGTTTCTAAGAACACAAACGATTGTATGCCAGTTGGAGATATCTTTTCATGGAAACTCATACTAAACTGGTAAACTGTCAATCCTATCACAAAACTCCTTTCAACAAATATCAGATAAGAAAGTCTTCTGAGCAATCAATTTGCACCTCTCAAACTGAAAGTAATTTCATTGACCATCCAACTTTACAAACAAGCCTAAAAAAAAATCTGCACTTGATTCTGCTGTTGAGTTCAGCTAAAGTTGTTGCAATTTCATCCACTGACAATGACAACAGCACCTTTAAAGAGAATTAACAGAATCCTACACCCCTGTCTCTGATCTCATACTAATAGAAAATCAATGTGAAATAGAACAGTATATGTTTCTATGCTATTGCATACCACTCTGGAGAATAGTCGCAAAGTTTCCAAGTCTTCCAAGATGTTACTAGCTTTGGTAGTAATAAGAAGCATATAGAGTTTCTCTAGAGGCTGGTAAACATATCTGACGCTTTCTGTTTCAACGAATGTGTGTTGCTTTCCAGTATTCATTAATTTGGGAAATGCGGCAAGAAGGCCCTCTACACGTGACCTTGTCATTTCCACAAACTGACGTGATACAATGGCTGTAGGAGTAAGACAAAAATTTTTTCATATAATGGTTTGATATGTGATATTGCTGAGTATAAGTTGCTGTTGCAATGTATTTTACTCTTGACTTAAAAAACTGCAGTACAGAAACCCTTTACATCCTAAGATCAGAATGCATATTCTCCTTGCTGCTCTTTATACATTCCCTAAGCTGTCAACAAGGAGAATTTGTCTAACAATCAGGAGTTTCTTTAGCTAGTGATCATTACCCTTATTCTCATTACCTTCATTCATGATTCAAGGGTGATACTGTTTGGAGAAGTTAGATGCTAGTCACTCTTAGGAATCAAAGAGTTAAAAGGCAATGTTGTATTATAGCCTTGGTGAGTATCTTGGAATTTGGTTCTATGATAAATAGACTCATGCCATAAAGAGAAAAATATATTTACAGTGTCAGCAAATCAATTTAACAGCACATTTCAATTCCACACTTGCGACAAGATGAAAAATATCTTTCTCTATTTCTTTACCGAGCTCCAAAACTTACTGTCTCTCTTAGTCTGTTTACAAACGCAATGCTATTGACATTGCTGATCCTAACAGTGTGCAGGACACGTGTCATATATGAACTTTATAATGGGCCTTGCTCACCTTAGAGTCTCTGAGGCTCAGTGGTAGAGCATCAGAGCACGGAATCCGAAGGTCTGAGGTTTGATTCCTCATAGGAGCTCAGAATTTTTTTCTTTGTCCCATGCTTGTGACAAGATAAAAAACATCTTTCTTCATTTCTTAACCACGCTCAAAAACTTACCAACTCTCTCCTTCTATTAACAATTATATTTAGTTTGATTTGTAATTAAGGCAAACAGTGGGGCCATAACAAATCTTCTTTTAACATGTCACAAACACGTAATAGGGTCACCGTACCTTTTCCTGTTTTCGTACATATTGCTGCAGCGAGTAGAACCTATAAAGAATAATGTTGAGAGCAGGAACGTCTGAGCGTTTGCTTTCGTGAAACAAAATCGGGAAGATACAGAAGCCTTGATCTTTAACTTCTCATTATTAAACTTTTATTCAATGATGATTCACCACTCTTCGTCATCCTGCGACGCGACGATAGAGGTGAATATTATACTCCGTAAACTGCTTAGTAATAAAATAGAAATAATTCCTCGCTCCCGTCGAATCACAGATTGGCATTCCAGTTTGAAAATTGCCTGACATGTGGGTAAAATACTTTAAAATGGTATCATACGAGATGCTTACTTCGACAAATAACAATGAAATAACCCAATTTTTACGCTTAAAAAGCACATAGATACAAAGAACAATAAATAAACTTACCATTTTGGCTATCAAACCTTATTTCACAGTAAATCAGGCCTCTCAGAGGCCAAAAATACAGCTATTTTGAAGGTTTATTCGTTCGCCACGTCCGCAAAAGATCCGTAAAGGATAGCCACAAAGTATTCTGGGATGACCGGTGATGCGCATGAACAGACTTCATAGGGGATTAGTATCCAGTCTCTATCGGCTTTGATCTGAGGCAGCGTCGACTGGGGCGAAGCCATATGTTCTTCTCTATTTGGAGTCTTAATCTAGAATCTCCATTATCTTCATTTAAAGCCTCAAACCAGTGGTTGAAACCCGTAGGCTTGCATTACAGGCCTTGGTTAGGAAATCTAAACCATCTTGACCAACGCTATAAGCTGACTAATACCAAACCATAATAAAAACGTTTCAACTTTCAAGAAGTATTTCCAATTACCGGAAAACAAGCTAGCTATTGGGAAAGTCGGTTTCAAATGTTGTGGTTGACTAGTGACAGCTTTCAACTTAAGATATATTCGCGGTTTTAGAGGAGGTTTTTAGGGTGAATTAAAAAAATTATTTTTTCGAATTGTTTTCAATCACTAAAACAACAAAGATATATACAAAAAAGATTTATCACTACAGTACAGAATGTCGAAAAATATCCCTTAGACTCAAATACTTAATTTGAAAGAAAGATTTCTCCAGAGCTGGAACAGACACCAACAAACCAGGCCGTCTGGATACGTTTCTCTTTGTCAAACATAAATTTTCCTTTGATTACTGTTTATGAAAGAAAACTCCGCTCGATTCAGCCACATCGTGAATTATTTATGTGGAGTGACGCTTTTGTGTTGTTCGCGTCAATTATCTTCGGTATAAATTGACGCATCTTTTAGTTCGAGAGGTCAAAACTACTCGAAATGTTCCAGTTAAATTTTCGAGCATATTCCTGTAGTCAAAGGTGAGTAAAAATAATAACTCCTCAATAAACAGTAGATTAATTTATTTAACTGAGAGAAAAGAAAGCAAACTGTACTTCATTTTAACTGCTTTTAACAATACTTCATATCTCAATCAACAAACTGTTTGATTTCGCCCGTTTGTTTTGTATTTTACAAGGCTGTCTTCTCGACGATTTCGCTCATATTCTTTCTTTACTGTATGGTTAAAAAAAACTGCCAAAGCTTGCATATCTACCACAACAACAGCAGGGTCCGTAAAATTAAATCTGATACAACGAAACATGACAGAAGATACAATTCTAGTTCCTCGTTGAACTACCTGCCTCGTCGAATTAAATTTTCTTCTGTTTACCACAGACATACACAAACTTTCAGTGATATTTTTATCAGGCTAACGAGAGACGAATTTGTAAAAATATTTACAGTAAATTTAAACTGCATGTAGAATATTTTATCCTGAGTCTGAGGTTTCGAATTGAAATAATTAATGAATTTAGTCATGCACCATTTTGAATAATGTCGAGGCTTTTCAATTGAATGTCTGTTGTAGTCGTTTAATTTAAGTATCGCTGAGTAATCGTGTGCATCAATAAAGCACGGTGTTTGAAACTGACTTATAACTGGAGAACTCCCAGGAGAGTCAAACTGGTCTTTTCTTCAAAATACATCTTCTAAATGCTAACAAGTACGCTAATTTGGTTGAGAGTCATGCTCTGTTATAATCTCTGTGTACTAAAATATTGTTAGGGACAACATTTGTCATTCTTAGTTCCAAATTTGTTTTGTTTTCAGTAAGCATACGACGATAATAGCCAAGATCTTGCGGTATTATAATCGAAAATTGGTTTCCTTTTTCCTTTCTAAGAAGATAAAAATCTACGTTAAGAAGGATTTCAGAATGTTTACATCTACATACCCAGCTGTAGATGTTTGAAAAGTGGACCAAAATAATTATGATAAGTTAACGCACGTCTTGGCCAATAAAATTTGAACTTAGTGCTATTATTATTAAGTAATAAAAGTTTCAGTCCGAAACATATATGTAACTGGCAAAAAACGAAGTTATGGTGAGGTTAAATAATTGTCTTTTCTTTCTCCTACATGCTTTTGTTCACATCCTCATAAGTTGAAGACGTACAAAATTCGACCAATCAGGACCAGTCATCGGGTTAATCGTTTTTGTCTCGTGTTTGTCTCGTAGAGACAAATAATGGGTTCCTACTTCGTATCCGCTTTTTGATTGGTCTTTCAACGTCACGCCACTTTCTCTCAACCAGTCAAACGCAAAGCTAATGTTAATCGTGCGTCTGATCAAAACTCATCCTTGGATGGCAAATTTTAAACGTCAACCGTCCATTTAACAAGAAATTAAAAATTCATCAAAATTCTTAGCAAGCTCTAGTGTAGGACCCATCAAAATCTAGGAGCGAAATGCGGGAAAAAGCTTGCAATTGTCGCATTGGCAAAAAAATATTTATACTCTCGTATGAAGCAATTTTTACTTGAAATTAAACAAGTGCTAAAATATGAGGAGGGACTGGATGCGAATATTCAACCCGCTCTTCGTTGAGGCCCTTTTTTTCCTCGTCAAACCACAGGAAACCCACATTACTGATGTTACCGTTTGTACATTTGAGTAGCTGGAAACTTGATCAGTCGTTGGTTTTCGCGTTGAATATTCTCGATTAAGATGTGAATAACCTTTTACGCAGAATTTTGCGTATTGATTGGTATAAAACGAGTGTTATGAATAAATCCCATACTTCTCCCCAAATACAAATAATCGAACGGGCGCACCGTTTGTGTGAGATCCCTGTGGTCATGCAAGGAAAGCTTCCAAGTGTATTGTGGGAGGGGAAAGTGAACTGACTCGCTTCATCATACGAAGGTTGAAGCACTGATTAGAAAATTAATAATTGTATTTTAGCTGTATTATGAAATTGATAATCAGTTGTAAGCGCTAAAACATTTTTCTATGCATAACTCAGAACAGAAAATTGAAGTGAAATTTTCCAATAGGAAAGAAATAGTTTACCAAACACGCGACGAAATGTACCGTTTCCAAAATTTCTCCGTTCCTATCCCAATTTACGAAATTGGGTTCCCTTGACAAATATTGGAGGTAGAGAATTAAGAACGAACACTCTTTTCGCTGCTCAAAAATATGCGCACACGAATCAATTCATATGCAAATGAACCTTCGAGAACTTTAGCAGAAGGGCCGGCCGGGAAAATTATTTAAATATATAACCAACCAGCAAGTTGATATTTCTCGCGTTACTCCTAAATTGCAAGTGCATCGGAATAAATCGTGTTCCAAGTTTCAGTGAAATTAACCGCGGAGTGCTCATGGTGAGTGAAACTATAGAAATTTTGCCTTTATTTTTGTGGCTTGGTGAGTTCTGTCTTATTATCGAGGATAAATATTAGTGCAAGTGAAGCATACAACTTGGGTATGATATTTATTATATCAATCAACAGGATCAGTTAGCGAATGAATATTTTAACGCGTGTTTGGGCTCTATATTCACGCAAATTTCAAATTAAGGATCTATTTCAACTAAAATTTGGAGAGATCTAAATTTGCGAAATGTTTCAAAATGCTCTTTACGATTAAGGCATATTTTTAGTAGGAGGGCTTGCTTGGACAATACAAGAATCGCGTAGCATACGCATATCATGTAAGTAGTCAGTAGGAAACTAAGGTAACAGGTGAATGTACTTTAGATTTTGCTCCTGTTTAGTCGAGCGTGAAGTGGAGAGCAAAAAAAAAAATAACAGAGTTGATAATCGAAAGAGAAAATTTTAAAATGTCACTGAAATGTCTGAGAAGTACAAGTTTGCATCCAATAAGACAGACAATCGTGCACTATCCTTTTAATTGAAATATGGAATAACGTCTTAACTCGTGTTCTAAAAATCCCAATTTTCACGTCGCCAAATGGTAAACTCGAAAATTAATAGTGTAATTTGTTGTAAAAATAATGGGTGGAGGGCTTGCCAACATAATGACACCTCTAATAACAGTGTACATGTGATATTTAGCGGGTAAATATTTTACCGTTTGTCTGGGCTAAGCACGCAAAATTTTGAAGTATGGAAATATTCTTCAATCAAATTTTAACGGATTCGAGGTTTCAGAAATGTTTCAGAATCCGTAGAATTTTCGATGTAAGTATGTTGTCGGAGCAAGAGCAGGAAAATATTCAAATCCGGTGCAGTATTTTCATTAGTTTTTTCGCAACAAGATATATATTGGCTAACTTTTTAAAGTGTTTTTCAAGAAAAAATGTACAATAAAGAAAACGTTTTTGTTTTCGTATGAGAAATTATTTTCAAAAGCGATGTACTAGACGTGGTTCGGTTTCATGCAGATGGACTGCCAACCACCATTCTCCTAACCGACCGTTTTGATTCATTATCAAACTTGTCAACGTTTTCGTCGCGAATATCCTAATTGCGCGTTTCACTTTGAAACTCGAGGAAGTAAAATCTCTATCATAAAACAATGGTTGAAATGTTGGGTAATACAATGGTATATCCGGTAAACCATGCAAGTGGATTTTCTAATTGCTATTAAAACAGAGTATGGTTTAAAGCCAGCATAGCTTATGCAAATCCTGCCATGTATGTTAATTTGCTAACGACTATTTTTTGACCCTAAGCAATTTGTTGCATAATTAAAGGTACTTTCGGGCTCACTATCATTCAAAAGAATAATCGATATCGCAGTTTTTGATAAAATATTGTATCAAGTGAGTAGAGCCTAAAAAAGAACAATAACTTTTCCCCTCACTGTTTAGTTGTGCTGGAAGATTAAAAAGTACGCAAAGATGTTGTTACTAAGAGTAAACTTTAACTAAACGACTTTTAGAAATTTTGTATCGAAAGCTGAAACATATTTTCGGTTTCTTGGGAGAATCGCAGCTTGACATACCTGCTTGGCATTTTTCCTGAGGCGATAGCGCGCGATCGACCTTGCTAGAAATTTCCTTTTTTCACGTTCTCTTGTCTTTTATTTTTATACCACGACAACCTATCGTCTTATTCTGTCACTTTATCACCCAGTAAACAATTAAATTCTGACAGTTTACAAACCATTAGCGAGAACTATTGTTTAATTGTTTGCGAAAGCCTCTACTCCAAGGCAAATTTTTTAAGGGTACCTGCTGCCCTCCCCTGTCCCTCTGAATGTTAGTCCGCAGGATGGCATGGACACATTGGCAATTGACAGCATTTGAAGGGAAAGAGAGGCGAAAAAGAACATCACAGACATGGCTCTGGATAAGTGCCCTAACTTATTGTGTTTGGGGGCGTAGCAAAAAAGAGCAATTGCTCTTGATGGCATGGGGCATAAGGGGTCAGTTATCATCATCACCTGCGGGTAGGGGTTGGTGGATTTTGGTTGTGACACAAAAAAGGTTCACTTGATCCCCCCTTAGTTATCAGTTAATTGGGAGTCAATCTTATACAGTCACTCCTCTATCTCCTTTATACTCTATTGGCGACATCTGATCCTCCCTCCGTTCCCCCGGAAACCCCCTTCCCCCCCCCGTGATAAATGCTGACTGGTCTCTAAGCCTGGGTGACTGCAAATAGAACTCAATGTTAACCGAACTACTCTCGACTGTGATTCTGTGGGATGGGAAATGAGGTGGGACCAATTAACTCATCTTCACCTCTATCAGGATGGGGAGAAATTTTGACATAAAGTAGACTCACAGCAAAAAAGAGTGTTGACTGAACCCTGATGCCATCTCCCTTAGAACGGTTCCTCGAAATGTAACGCAACATGACATCCCATAGAAAAGCTGTGGACACTATGAAGTGCTACCTGTGTGCAGGTCAATTTGAGAGACATAAACATCCATCAAAGCTAACGATTACAACAGTAGACGGCGAAGGTTACTAACTCATCAAGAGGCATTAAAGAGGCTCGAAATATTATCAAATCCGAGACAATCGGAAGCTTTTTCAGAAAAATTCGCTCAAAGACATACGAGCACAGAGACAAGATAGATGTTATGTAGAATGGAATCAGGTTGGGATGACTACAGCCCCTCTCTCACTCTCCTTGCTCGACTCGATCCATCCAAGCCTCGAATGGGATGTGACAAGTTCCAGGGAAAGCCAAAGCAAAATGTCTAGGGGTCACTGTACTTGACATCAATTAGCGCCACTGTGGTTTTTTTAGTTAAAACATCAGGTACACAAGAATGCTGAAATGCAATGACAATTCATTTGATTCAATTAGTCCGGTATAAACATAACAAGGGCGGAAACAAGAAACATCAACAAACAGTCTTTTATCGAACTTAGCGCAGGTTAAATGTTATCAACAAAAATACAACTAGGCAGCTTTCTTCTCAGCGTGCGATACGACGCGGTATCACCCGGTGCATTTCTAACCATCGCGCAGGTTCCCACAAGGGTACCTGTTATCTCTCTATAAGGGCAGCTGATAACTAGTGATAACACCCGGTGATAAACACACCGAGTTTTTAATGGCATCACGAAGGTCTTCTGCTCCGTTTTTGCTTATCATGAAATAATGAAAATCAGAACATATCAATAACGGATTTACTTATCTTTAGATGTGGAATCAATGGCGCAGATACAAAGTGACTGAGGGATAACTTGGCGAAAACCGATTTAAATGGTGTCATTTCGCCCCAAAGATTTCAAAAGGTAAGTTTGTATCCACTCTCTCAATAGCCACGCTTAAAACTCTAACCACATTAACAAAGCTGACCGAAATTGTTGATGCAACAGATAACACGAAACAACAACCCCTTAAAAAAAGATATGCAAACGTGAATTTTCCTTTGATTCGCCGCCCACGGAAATTGTAATCGATTGATCGAAATTTATTTCGGCGTTGATGCGTCTATCAAAGTTTAGCATCTGTTACTTAGCGTGAATTGGTTTCTTATGGCGCCCTTAAGAAATTCATTCTGATGCATATCTCTTCTGCCTTGTAAGGAAAAGTGTTAGTCATCAAACATCTTTAAACTTTGGTGGCTATGGGAGAAAAAATATATAATTGTTTTTGTTTGAATTTTAGAGCGTTAACACTTTCGACATGAGGGTATAAATAAATAAATAAATCAAGAGGTAGAGGGGTGAGCGTTTGAGAGAAATTTGGGTTGAGTATGTCGATCAGACTTAAAACCTTGACCCTGTTGAGAAAAATCTCTTCATTTTGCCAAGCTGTTCTGGATTAAGAATTTTAATAGATTGTGGTTTCTCTACCCCATCCAGCTGCTTACGCGCTTCCATTATACTGAGACAGAGTGTTTAGAATTATATTGAACCCTCTAACTCCCATGAGTGACCAAGACTGAATTTCTTATTTTAATATCAATACAATATCAAGCGGACAAGTGATGAGAATAAAGAAAAATATCAATGAGGGCATGATTAGTTGATCCACTACCAAATTCTCTCAACAAACAAATAAGAATGACACGGTCGACAGAAAGGAAAATAAATAAATCTTATTAGACGTTTTTGTGTGTAGTATCGCTGAGTATTTTTACGAGTTGTGTCGTAATTTGATGAGCCCGATACAAACAACGAGTAAAAATATTCAGCGATACTACACACCAAAACTTCTAATAAGATATTTAGTATCCAACTGCTGAGTCTTTCTGCTCATTTCTCATAAGGCGGGAAAAGCAAAGCGGATAGAAAAGCGTAGCGCGCGCAGCCGACTGCTTAAACAGGTTTTTTTTACAGTACAAAATAACCAACTGTCCAAATAACCTTAAAATTTCGCTGGATATTTTGTACTCAATTCGCGCATTATTTGTACTTTACTTTGTGCAGTTGCATGATAACAACTGATATTCTCTTGGTTTCCAACTGTTATAGCAGTAGCTACTTGAATCGCTTACATCGGAATTTTTATCAAAGAGAATTCTAATAAAAAAGCAAAACAAAATTAGTTTACTGTTAAGTTATCATGACTTCAGCAAGCGAAAAATGTTACCGCAAACACAAGAAGTATTGATACAAAAAAAAATGCTTCCGAATAAGATCTAGATTTGTTCGTTTATTAATCTAAGTATTCCATTACGAGGCGATTTTTATATCAAAATAATATGTAAGATTTTCTCTTTCTTTTCTTCTCTCTCTCTCTCTCTCTCTCTTTTTTTTAGCTCTTTTACTAAAGAATAAAACTCGTTTATGAGTTCGGTTGCCATGTCATTTACCAAATCGGAAGTGCTTTGTAAACTTCATCATGGTGTTTTAGGTTTGGCAGTTACTTCTTGTTCAGATTTCCCCGTTCAAGACCTTTCCAACCAGTTTCAGCTCATTTTCAGAAGGGAATTTTTGTATCGGACAGTGATCCTTTCATGTGTTGTCATTCACTTGGGTGGTAGATGGGGGATGATTCTCAAATGATCACTTTCAGTTGTTAAGAGGATTAGGATTATCGGGCAGGGTTTCCTCAAGACCTTTTATGGACATATGTTGATAGTAATTATGTCATTGGAGTCATCTAACGAAGAGAAGATCTCATCACCGATTTGGAAAAGAAAAATCCGCGAGTAAATTGCAGCAACTGTTTTCCAAAGAATACAATTGTGTTTCCAGCATTACAGAGTGACATGACACTATTCAAACGGTTGAATGATTTTTAAATCAGTCAACAGTTAAAACATGAAACGAGCACAGTTACGATCTGAGTAAAAAATTAAAGTATCGTATTTCAAACCTACATTTAGACGTTTTAGGATGCGGGCCAACTCATCAGCAACGAAATATAACAGCAATATTAATCTCGACGTTGTGGGCAGAAGCGAAAATAGGTACGAGATCAATGAACCTTTTAAAAAGGAGTTTATTCACCAAGAACAAATCACTTGTTATTTCTTTGTCCTCAATTGACGTAAATTGAGTGTGATATTTTTCCGGCAAAAGGTGTCTATCACTACAAAGGAATTTTTAGAGTTCACGGGGCAAAGCGAGACAAGATTTCCGAGGGTACTTCATTCAACATGCAATATTATGCCGACGTCATAAGTAGTATGCCAAGCGTTCTGACACCTTTACAAATTGTGCAACGTTTTACATCCGAGATATTGCCACAAAGTTACGTGAACCGTGTCAAAGTATTCTCCTTTTTCTGTTCTAGGGTAAAAGATGACTGAGATCCTGTTCAAAATATTAGTGGCACTAGTTCAGTTGATTTCGCTGCAATGGACATCCATTTGTGGTAAGTTTGACGGATGTTTTAGTTATAAATTTTTTAAAATATTGACAAATGCCTTGCGAGAATGTTTCGCTGTGTTTATGTCCCTTTTTCTCGTGGTTTGTAAGCTTAAAGCTACCCCGATTAGCTGAGATTAAGAAAGGAAATTAATGCGTTTGAAAATAGTTCAAGAACTCAGTTTTTCTCTTGTACTGATGAAATACACAGATGAAATGCAAGACTTGATCAGTGGAGGGAAATGTTGTCATTTTGTTTCAAAATATTGATTAAAAATGCGACTTCGCTCAAAACAAGTTCAGTCAGATTATTTTGGCATATGATCTTGGCCCAATGGATTCGAACTAAAGGATGCAATTCATTATTGAAGGGTAGGCCGGGACAAAGTATGTCACGCAATAATTGAAACTTCACCTACGCCTAGTTCCATTTGACATTTGTTCATTTGTCTACGATCAATCCGTCTTTTTTTCTTTCGTCCCTTACCCGAGTCTAAAGAATGACTGAAGAATATAAGTAAGCTCCACGCGAAGGAGCGAGGATGTTAAGGTTTTGTGGATTTCTTTACACTCGCACGTGAAGCTGCAAAAGAGAGGCTGATCGTAGTCTAACCACGACACAAAATCTAACATCAGATCCGCGTTGGAAACCACTCGGAAAGAGCTCTTGTCACATGATTCGTTGGTACAAGCTACGGTCTTGAAGCGTAATTCGTGTGCATCAACAATCACGTATCACATCTGATAAGGAGCAAAGGTTAGGCATGTAGCCTACCTGGAGGGGGCGTAAGCCAACGCGAGTGGTGCTTGCGCTCAATTTTGCATGAGTGTTAAAAGCAACGATAAACGGCTGCTAGTATTGTGTTTGATTTTAAACTGAAAACTGCAGCCCAGTGAACCTAACCGCTTAACACACCAGCAAACGCTCGTCTGTCGATTACGCCTCAGATGGCATGCTAATGCATGGCATTTCAACCGGACACAGCAAAAACAGCGCGATTAATCTTTGTCACTCATCACCTGATAAGTTACTTCCCAGGCGAGCCCTTATTGTTTAGGCTTCCTGTCTCGCTCCAGAAGATGAACTCTGAGCCTCAATCGCGAGACGTCCTTGAAACGCCCGCAGTCTTTGTGGGTAGAGAACTAAATTACCGCAGTAAAAACAACTATTTTACGTGATTTTTTTGTCCAACATTTGAAACCTTGTGAGCAAGACTACTTAGGATTACAAAGTGCTTTTCTGGGCCTCACACAACAAAAAAGTTATTGATTCTTAAAATTAAAAGTTATTTTCCTCGTCTTCAGATGGCACTGTCCATGTTCCCAAAGGGAATTATACCATACCCGAGGGTGGCGAATTAAGTATAAATTGTTCTGCGACAGACGAGGCTCTCACAGGTTGGTTTACGTCCAGCGGAAAGAAGATAACTAATGACCCGTCAGCTAGAGTCCACGTAAGATCAAGTGGAAGTTTGAAGTACTTAGAGATCCCTAGGGTCAACAAGGCAGACCGAGGAACCTACGAATGTAGAGGGACTAGGAACAAGACGCAAATCCGGCTGAATGTCGAATGTAAGTATTATGAGAGGAGAGGGACGAAGTAACGACTTAAATGTAATCTAGGACCCATGCTCCCTGCGATTGATCTTGACTTAGATCTTTAAGGGTCAGTCAGCTCAAGGGACAATGATTTAAAAGCCCATGCTGATGGAGCTTATCCCGTTTCGTTTCCGTTGAATAGAGCGGGAAGGAGTACTGTGACTCACCTCTACCCCGGAAGATATGCCAGTCTATCGCAGGTGAATTTAGTAAGGTTTTCCTTACTATTTACTAGTACCCATTTATGCTCTTGGGTCTCTTGGGCGCTCGGAAAATGAGCATGCGCTCATTCAACCGAAAAAAAACGGCGGAAATCTGCAATACTGTGTTTTTCATGGCGGAACGTGCGCAAGCGCTACAAGTAATTGCATTCGGTAAGAGAAAGAAAGGAGGAATACCTCAAAAAGTATACCTTTTCCAGATGATAAGTCATTGCTTTCTTTCTCCGTGCAAATGTAAAGCGCCTGGACAGAAGTGTCGCAAAACGCAGGTGAACAAGTCTGAATGAATGACTGAGAGAGTATGGGGCGATTATTATAGACCAATCAAAGAGTGTTGTAGTCTAGACGAGGGATACCAATGAGATTACATTAATCGAGTATCAAACCTAATGATAGCCCTCTTTTTTTGTTTGCAGATAGCCCCGTTTTGATCAGTGAAAGCTCCACGCACGGAACGATATTTTCATCATTAGACAGTAATAAGGAAATAACACTGAAATGTAAATTTGATGGATTTCCAGTTCCCGAATTAAAGTTCCAATTCGCTGGTGTTAATTTGAATAGCATTTCCAACGCATCCGGGTTTGTTTACTACAAGTTTCGTGTTACAAGACCAAGGGACTTTGGATTTTACAGCTGTGTGGCTGAAAATAAGATGGGTACAGTAACACATTACATTGAGGTTTACGAAAGAGGTGAGTTTAAATTCTTAAAAACTCGATTGATTAAGGTGATGTATTCGGTTAAGAAAACGGGAACCGAACTGCCGCCTGTTTTGCCGCCAGTTTTGCCTCGATTTCACTTGTTGACATCAAAGGATATCACTTTACAGTTCGCGCAGCTTGAATAAAGTTTAACTGAAATTTTTCAAACCTTTGTTTCAAAAGTAGAGTGTTTTAGATACACACTTCTATTTAAGGCTTCGTAGAGAAATGAAAACGGAGGCTTTGAAAATTTTGAGAAGAAAAGGCGTCATGTATTTTCGCCTGCATCTGCATTTTAAGGTTTTCAGAGTGGACGATAGACGGTAGACAAAAACGCATCAAAATGCATATGTTTTCAAGTGAAATTGTTTTGCTTCATTTTGCTTGCTAAGGGAAGTCGCATTCTAAAAGTGGGGCATTTGCTATCTTTCCGTTCCAGGTCCTCCTGAGCCTCCAAATAACGTGCAAGCTTCATCGACGTGTGACAGTATAGAGGTCACGTGGGAGGCGTCTCTCAAGGATGGCGGAAGTCCCGTGACAGGCTACACCATCAAACTTTTGAATGGAGGCGAATCAGTTGCATCGGAATCTTTAACGAATTTAAGTCGCTCCAAGAGCTTTACAAATCTTAAAAAGAAAACTGAATACGAAGTTCGATTGAATTCTAACAACGCACTTGGCGGTGGAGAGTGGAGAAGTATTTCTCTCAATACTACTGTTGCATGTAAGGAAATACGTGGCATATCCAAGGCCTGTTCGAATTAGGGATCGGTCATTATTTATCGCCAGTGGGGTGGGGTTCGGAGGAGTTTGGTTATGTCACGTGTCCCCCATAAGGCTCTGCAATATTCTTATGATCCCCATCCCTCCCCCCTTCCTCATTAGTGATCAATTTCCCATGGTCCCCTTTTATAGCCGTTAGGCGACGACTGGTTCTCCCTCGGTTTCAGCTGAAACCATGTGATCGACCCCAATATCTTCCACCCCCCCTTCACCCCTGCAAAGCGATAAATAATGACTGATTGTGTAAAAGCCTCGGCCACCAGCGATCTGTGTTTAGCTCTCGTTGCATTGATTTATCATTTTGTTTACGTTTATTCTGATCGGTATCTGAAATTGCCTCCGTTCCAGGAAGCTACGTTTTGCGAGGCTTTGCATATTTTCGAGCAAACCACGGTCTTTACTGAGACGAATATAATTTCCTTAATGAGCAAAGCTCAGGGTTGGTTGACTTGCGAAATAGGTTCTTTTTATTGGTATTGCTGCAATAAGCTATGACTGAAATAAAATCGTAGAGCACCACTCTTCGGGGATTGGTTCGGACGACATTTTCCTTCGCCAAGAGCTGATGCCTTCGAAGACGTTCTACGCGTTTCTTGACATCCCAAGAACGGCTGCGAAAAGGACTTGTTGGATGAAGGAAGAGATAAAAATTTTGACAAGGGACCTGCAATCTTAACCGTTAGCAGGTAAGCAAACTGTTAAAAACTTTATCCAAGCCAATTTTCTCTTCTTTCTTAGGTCCTGAAAAACGTGGATCTTCAGGCAGCGAGTTAAAAGTTGTAACTTCGATTCTTACGCTTCTGATAATGTCGACGTTCGTTCACCTGGTGCTTTGAGTATGGATTGTTGCCCCGGTACTGGTACTGTCACTATGGTCAGAGATATTTGGCGCACCAAACACGCTTGAATAAAACTGTCGAGACTACTGGGAAAAGTTAACGAGAGCATCAACAAGATTCAGTACTTGCGTTTTTTGTGTGGTGTACATTTTGAGATCAACGACGAATAATGGTCCAAACATAGAAAATCACTCAGGAAGATTAGGATTCTTAGCACTGGGCTGGTACTAGATTAAATCTCTAAAAATAGGGAAAATTCTGGAGAGACAGACAGAAATACAAAATTTAATTTATGTTAAAATTTAATTAAGGTTTACATTTTTCAGCATATAACCTACCCCATAGTGATGAACAGACGAGGTAAACGGTGAGAAACCTGGATACGAGTGCCTTAACTTGGGGTATTTCTTATCCCTTACTCTCCTAGAGCCACTGAAAAGTCAGAGTAATTTAACTAACAATGCCATTTCTCTCCCAAAATTTCGCTTTCGCGAGTGGTGGCCCCTTTCAAAGAATGTCTCACGTAACAAAACGTACGCCGAGAGAGATAGCGATGGACTCCATTTTCGGAATTAAGAAGATAATTAAAATTTTCGTTAAGCGGAGTGGATTAAGTTATCGGTAATATTCTCCTACAATGTCTTTGCGTTAAACTTTTAGACGAAGCTTTTCTCAAATGTTGGTTGATGGGATGTACGTTGACATTGTGTCTCTCTATAAAGTTGATTTTAACATTTTTGCTGTTATAAGAGGGGAACCTCTCTTGCGTCGATGAAATCCCCTTGCTATTTTGTCAAAGAAAAGTAAACAAATGAAGAAATAGATAACAAAAAATTGATATAAAAAACAAAAACAATACAAAAACAATTTCTAGTTATGGTCGCCTAAGAGTGAAATGAGGTTAATGCAGATATGGAAAAATTACCTATACCAAACATTTTCGTTGCATTCCAAAGCTCATTTAGAAATTTATTTATTCAAATTGTTACTATACGCTAGACCTTTTTTCAAGGTGTGCAATAAAATCAGTTGTGTTTTTCTTTTTCTCAGTACAAATGTCTCTTTCCTGTTGTTAAGTCCATTATGATAGAGATCGTGAGCACGCGAGGGACATAGATTTGCAAACCAAGTGCATCAACTTCAGAAGTTTGGTCCAAATGCAGGTGCTGAAAATGACTTCCACGCTTTGATCGTTGATAGGATGAGAATTTGGAGAACAAGGCGCCACACCTTCACAGAGAATTCTGCCTTTACCCGCTCTCCCCTCTCTCCTCCCCTCCAGGGGATCTATCCTTACATCTCTCCTCCCCTCCAGGGATCTATCCTTACCTCTCTCCTCCCCTCCAGGGGATCTATCCTTACATCTCTCCTCCCCTCCAGGGATCTATCCTTACCTCTCTCCTCCCCTCCAGGGGATCTATCGATCTATTGAAATTTTCCTACGATATCTCCTCATTGTGGTTTTTTCATTGTGGCGATCGAGTTCTTGATATTTTAGCAAATAAACTGCTCTCGGACATCATATTTTTTTTCTGCTATTAAAGTGAGGTTGAACAGAAGTGTCGCTACCATGAATATGAAGTTTTGTTGAGAGCGTCCCTCTCTTTACTTAATAAACTTCTTTGTGTTATTATTTCGCCAAAAGAATTCATGAAAATTATTTATTCTCACAAGTGGTATTTTCTTCGGTTGTTTTTAAAGGAGCTTTTGATGTCACGGCTATATTTAGAAGGTAAAACTCAGTGCATATGCATGGACATCGACAAGAAATGAGAGTTGGCTTTTATGACGCAACACTACACAGTTCACTTAGAAAATTATTTATACAAATAAACTTTTAAAATATTTTTGTCATCTGAGCAATGAACTTTCATGTTTTTATTGCAAAAAAAAGGATGCTGGTTGTTCATGTTTTAATTTTAAAGCTCTTGCATCATGATCTGAGAAATCGTTTGAAAACACCTGCCTCAGTGTTCAAACGAGCTGACATTGGAAGACAACTCGGAAAGTTATTTGATATGAGTTTTTTTTTTTGCGCTGTGCTAATTCCTTTATCGTAAATAAACCTAGCGACTTTGGTGTGGTAGGATCGAAGAATACCAAACTAGGAACGTAAAACCATAAACGGAATGGGAACGTTTAAAGATTTAGAAGCTTAACACGGATTTCAGATGACGAAAATAGATAACTTTGGGTAAATTTCAACGTATGCATACAGTTAAAGGAAAGAACGTGTCTTGCATAAGTTTTATTGCATCGTGTGTGGGAAAGTTAGACAGGAGAAAAACAAAGTTATTAAGTGTCCAGCCCCTCTTTCTGTCATCTATTGGATCATTAAAGTTATGAAGCGATCGCCTTTCGCTAACCTGAGACGATCGCTCTCCGAAAAAGAAATGTGCGGTTGGGGGATCTGATGTTTCCGGTCGTACCATTCGGCTCTGAAGTTTCTTTACGAGCACAGCGGCTACACGGACGTGCGGTGAATTACTGTAAATAAATTCGACTCAGTTTAAAAGTCAATTATGGAACCTTTGTCAACTTGAATGAACTTTTATTCGCCCACGTATGGTGTTTTGATAATCACTATTTTAGCGAAGTACAAAACTCAGTTGAATGACGATAGAATTAGCCCCCCAAACCAAAGAGCATCGGGAAGCCGGACATTGTTAAGCTAGTGCTAAAATGAGATTTTCAACGCACGCAAATTGTTTAAATGTTTTTAAGTAAATTATAAAACATCTTGGGTGTGCAATAAATACTATTTCTGAGTCAAAATTTTACCTTCAAAGTCGCGCTGAAAATGAGACACGGAAAAACGAAAACAAGGCGCAAACTGAAATAAGAAATAAACGTGTATGCAGAACGAAACTGAAGTATTATCATATTTGATACTATTTCATATAGCAACGCAACACAACACGGAATGAGGAAACTGCTGCCTTGTTTGGACTTTCCGGCGCGCGAGTTGACGTCATATGGCGCTCTCGGACTTCTTGACACGTTTCCCACCTTCTCGCGTCACGTTTTCAACGGTGAAACTGAGCGCGCCCTTGCGGCTTCACCGCTTCGGAAGCTACCTTGCACACCACTAAATTGAGTCATTTTTGCGCCGTCTTTACCAACTGGGCTAAGAATTGCGATACCTAAGGGTTTCTAGGTCACGTTTGTTAGCTGACAGGATTCGTCGGATAAAGCTAATCTGTTGTTCAACCCTTAGTACCTAAAGTGTAGGGGGAATCCTCTCTGCCGAGTCATTAAATCGTTCTCCTTGAAACTGTACTTAGAAATTCGTAAGCTATTTACTGACTTGTTCTAAGCATGCTCCAAACTTTCAACAAACTTCTCTCGCGCAGTGCGTGCTTAGTCGACGTAATCGTGTTTATATTCTTGCTTGCAATAAAAAGAGTCCGCTGCGTGCGCGTTGCGTGTTACCAATTTCTCTGCCATTCAGATTTGTGATTAGCAAATAGAAAGGCGCATTTTTTTTTAGTTAAAAATGGGTTCCTAGTAGTTTAGAGCGAGAGAATCATCGAGCTAGTTACAAACTCCTGCATCAAGCTTTTGTTTTCATATTTTGCATGGGTTGAAAAAACAAACCGGATAGAAAATTTCAAACATTTGATTTCCTGGGCTAAGTGCATGTATGATAAATTCCCATGAAAACCAGCTGATTTAGATAACCTCTCATTCAAACCACTTGCTAAACATTAGCCCCGTACGAAGTTAAGGAATGGAGTGATATCCTTTTGATCCTTTGCACCTGCAGAAACCCATTTCCTACAATTTTCTCTGATCCCGCTAGCCGGACTCACGGGTGTTCAACAAAACCGCGATCCGACCTTTGCTATCACGTGTGGCGACGCAAACCAGTGTTGCATGCTTTGGAGTTGAACTATGGTCGGCTTAGCTGACTTCATTTTGTTTCTGTCAAAGTATTGAGTTGGAGAAAACGATAAACACTTTATTATTTTACGATTCCGAGCGGCTGTGTGGGGTTGGATCAGTGAACAGATCTGCCCTGAAATCAATCTATCGCACGTTCTTCAAAGTTTGCCAAGAAAACAGTCCTTAACCCAAAACAATATTACCTAATTTCCGCTCTCGAATCGAGAAGGTATAATTATCTGAGATCATGATTGTAAAAATCGTCGCAAATGGCTCTTAATTGCTCCGCTGTGACCAGCTTTCTTTGTTTTTCTTCGAACCTTCAGATCCATTAACGTCAAGATAATGAAGATTTAGCCCGCACAAAAATAGTAACATCGTATGAATTAAATTTATTGTTTATGTAATTTCCAGGAACAATAGGTTAACGCCTAGAAAATTCCATGGCAGATCTCTTTTGCCCCGCAGTTACAACGCTTAGTCAAAGAATGTAACCTTCTCTTTTTTGTCCTCACTAACTTATCAAATTCTCATTTCCTTACACCTGGGTTGTAAACAGGAACAAATATCTTTATTTTGAGATGTTCAAAATACCACATCACATGCAGTATGATTGATCCAGACTGACCTTCAAACCTGGCAAATCCGGCGAAAACAATATTTAACAATTAATTTTGACATGTTTGCTCCCATTTGGTTAAATGTTTAAAGTCGACATCAAAAGACTTTGAGAGAAAAGCATACAAAGGCCATTACACTGCTTAAAAAGAATTAATATTTTTTTAGCAGTGAAAATGTGGTTATTTCATACTTCAAATTTTGCGGCGATTGCGGCAAAAACACTTCTATCAGATTTGACGTAGATACAGCGATATGTCCATCTAATCAAGCTGACAGTTGACACTAACATCATTCTCGATTGAAACAGGAAACTACTCTGTCATCTTTTTGTTTTCACATAGTCAACGAAACTTAAGCCTCACGTTGAGGCATTAGGTTACAACGGAGAACGCCGTCATTCCAAAGAGTTGACGCCTTCTTTCATAGTTACTCGAATTAGCCACAGTAACACTTGCAGCCGTGGGGTTCGCACAGTTATTTTGAGTTTTATCTTGGAGAAGTTTTTCTGTTCTTTATTGTTGGAAAATTTCAGATGTTGCGAGCGTTTGTTCTTCTGTTCGCCGGTATGGCGTCCTTTTGCGGTCTATCAAGTGAGTACGTTCATTGATAATTTTGAATACTGAGATATTGTCATGTTCTGTGGGCGCAATTATTAAACTCTACAGATATTTCTTCGAAGTTAGCCTAGTAGACTCTATTTAAATGTTTTTGGAGCTAAACGAGGGAAATTTGTTCAGCCACATAGGTACATGTCATAGGGCGACAGTTGTGATAAACGTTGCTTATTCGAATGGAGATCTCTTGTGTTGTTCTCAGGCATCTCGACGCGCGTGGCCTATTCATTTTTCACTTTTAGGGCTTCAATTTTTGCTGCGGTCATGCAGAGAAGAAACTTTAAGCAGAGACAGTACGGTTTATCCGTCGCTACCTCAAAATAGCCTTTGTGAACGCCCCATGTTCAGTTTCAAGCGGCGTGGCTTTTTTTGGAAGGAATAGATTCAGTGCTTTCACTTCCTCGTCTACTCTTCCTCCAGTCACCTACGATCTGTCGTTTAGTATTTTCTAATTTTAAAGAACTCTGAGCCAAGAAATTTAAAATTTTACTACCGAAGTAGAAATCTGGTCGATTGCAGTGTGATATACACGAAGAGTTCAAAATTGACTTCAAGTCACATTGTTGAAGAAACGTTGAAAGCTGAAAGCGAGAACGTGTTATGTCACAATGTAGTGTGGTCAGTCTAGAGTTGCGTTGTTCTTTCGTTTCAAATTTTCAATGTACTCTGTAGGATCCTTTTCTGTTTTCTGTCGGCTTTATCTTCATTAACCTTGTTTCGTCCTTGACCGATGCCGTACGAGAGATGTGTTGTCATGCTACAAGTATTTCTTACCAAACATCAACATTCCTTGTTAGAGCTTTTATTTATTTTCAGGAGTGTTCATAATACATTCAGAATAGAGGTCTCTGTTCATAAGTGGTTCTTCCTTCTTTTTGGTAGGCAAATGGAAGATTTTTGGGAGCGTAACGGGTATTCCTTTCGTCGTATTGTTAAGAGTAAACATAAATGTCTTCCATAACTGAATCACGCGCCCGATATGAACTACTGAGAGAAATCCATAAATAATCAAACTCGCGAAAAGGGTTTCCTTTGAGCTAAAAATTATTCTTAATATTCATAGGTGACAAATGTAGGAAGTCTATTTCCGAGTGACGTGTTACTCTTTTTATGTCACCTACTACGAAATACCCCTAATTAACCAACTCACCGAGCAAGACCTTACTTTAGCATCAAATTATTTCATGTTATTTTTACGATAAACCACAAGTTTACATTCTCAAAAGCTTCCATCTTCCAATTGAGTTCTTTTCGTCTCTGTATGTTTACGTTCTATTGAAAAGAAAGCATTTCGGTTAAATATTTACTCTGTGGGCTTTTAGCTTGAATCGAACGTGACTTGAGAGATTCGAAGTTGTTTTGTTTCACTCAAAATCTATTGTTACAAGCAGAGCTTGAATGCCGTCCTGCGCGCGAAAGATCTGCCGGTTTTTTTAAATTCTGAGATAGTTGGATAAAAAAAATTTTAACGTTTAGCTTAACTGACAGTGACTTATAAAGTCAGTACCTATAGGAATAATTACCAGTTTTCATATCTCTCTTAAAAAGGACAGTTCATAATTTCCCTCGATTTTCCCTCGTTGAATAATTTATGACAGGATTGAGCCAAATCAATCGGCTCTGGATTTGTAAATGTTTTAAGCTCCCTTGATACGTGTTCTGTTTTACGGCAGTGTACGTCAATTAAGCTGATATGACGAGACCTTTTGGAAAGCTCTGCGATTTTGCACGTTTCATCTCTGATAAGGATCACGTAACAAACATTTTGAAAAAGGCTTCTTGTTTGTAATGTTGTGATTCAGTCCACTCTGTTTAATAAAGACAGCTTGCCTACTGACGTTAGTTAGAGACTCCTTAGAGAGGCAATGCCTTGAAGAGACAGAGTGAATCTTTAATTGAGTTGTTGTTCGTTAAGTTAAAAAAAATTGTTTTAATTTAACTAAATTGTATGTTATTCGTGAAGCCATCAATCTTTTATGTCAGCTGTTTTTCATCACATGTGAAGTATGATAAACAAGCATAGAGGAAACTGTTTGCATGTTCTATTTTTCTCTAAGGTCAAAGCTTGTCATCCAGTGCATAGTGTAACTAGACATATCTTTACGTGGTTTAGTGCACGCGTTTTCAAATTTTTTATGTTCTTCATCCTAACTTTTAACTTTTGTCTGTGTGAAGTTGTTTTTAGCACTTGGATCATGGAGGAAATGGGTCACTTAATTTATATTTTTGAAACTGAGTTCCTAGTTTTAAATACCTCTTTCCTCTCTGTGCACCCTATTCACTTAGGGCCCCAAGATAATGGGAGTATTTCGCCCTACTGACTGTCACACATTTCCTTGCAAATTGGATTGGGGAATTTGGTGTTTGATCAATATAGTACCCTCTTACCGATGAGGTTGTCTATTCTCCTTACCTGTTTGCAAGATGTATTGGTAAATTAGACGTAGGCCCAGACTACCAAATTTGATATTTACATAGCAATGTTTGAAAGTCATATCAAGCGAAATGGATTGTTTTGAAGTACTTATTTACCTTTTCTTCCTTTTTTTTAACTTTTTTTTATAGTGGCTACTGTAACTCTATCAAAAACACTCATTACACCCTCACCTGGAAAGACAAACAGTGTTACTTGTACTGTGAGCGGTGGTGAGAGATTTATAGGATGGTTTGATCCAGCTGGTAAAAAAGTACCCACATCATCCAGTGAAAAAATTTTTGTGGAAACTACTGGAAATAAACACAAGCTCAAACTCACAGATGTCAAGGTCTCCTATGGGGGAACTTATACATGTAAAGGAACCACAAATTCAGAATCTTTGAAAGTGCATGTTGAATGTAAGTTACACATTACTTTGCTTATAACCAATGTTTCTGCCCAAGCAGCAAATATTTGCTGCCTATATTGTGGATTTTGGACGGAAACCTTCCAAGTTCAAACAGCAGTTTTAAACTGCTGCAGTAGTTTTTTATAAATTCTCTATAAGTCCTTTAATAAAACCCTCTTGAAGCCCTCATAACTCTTTTCAGGTACAGACCTTTGATAGTTTGTTTAAGGTCATGGCTAGAACTGATTCCTGTAAGCATTTTGACCTCTGAGAGTGACCAGCATCTAATTTCTCTGTACAATATTATACCCCTGAATCAAACATTCAGGTCACAGAATTAGAAGGAATGATTAAGTGCAGCTCTTGATTGTGAAACAAATTCTCCTTGTCAGCATCATAGGGAACGTATAGAGAATGGTATGGAGATATTTATACTGATGGTAATGTGTAGAGGATTATCTAACAAGTCAACAACTATAGGCAACCTAGAAAACAACTGGACTTGAAGAGACTCAATGAAACTGACTGCAACTAACAATGCTTCCTGTGTCTTCTCTTAAATAAAGAACAGCGCAAAATTGACCAAAAATTCCTCTGTTTATTTCAGTTGACACATCAGACGTTGACACTGTGCAGCACATCCAAATAGATAAAGAAGGCACCATAAGACTTGGCGTTACTGGCTTCCCCACACCAATCTTTACCTGGAAGAAAGGCTCAAAAAGAGTTGGTCCAAATGTAAACTCTCGCTACTCAATTGAAGATGATGGCTCATTAAAAATAAGTAAAGTGGAAAAATCAGACGGGGGGAATTATACCTGTGCTATTGAGCAAGACGGCACTGAGGATGACGTGAAAATTGAGGTGTATGCAGTAGGTATGTAACCTGACATATAACAACTTTTCATAGATGCCTTAGTGTTTAGGATGATGTTAAAAGTATGATGCATTTTGTTACAATGAGGGCAGTGTTGGAGAGCTCACTTCCTCATGGATAATGCAAGCAGAGCCACTTAATGAACAGTATTCGCTAAATTGAAAATCATTAATCTTCTTTTGCTCAACTTTTGTGATGTTCTTAGCTTCATGGAATACCATTCAACCAGTTGTATCTACATCAGTTATAGACCCATGTTTTCCTCAGCTTCTCCTTGTGAAAGGCAGGGGGAAGAGGTCTCACGTCTTTTTGTGTTCCATGAGTGGTTTGCTTGGGGGTAAAGTTGTCTAAGTTTAAAAATAAAGCAACTTATGTTCTTTTTTTGTCTTCCAGAACTTCCAAAGATCAAGCCATTTACTCAAACAAAGAGGTACTTAACAGAGGGATACCCTGTCACCTTCCTGTGCGAGGCCACAGGCTACCCTCTTCCCAAGTATAAGTGGTTCTCCCCCAAAGGTGTTGAGTTGAGTGAATTTGGAAACATCAAAATTCAAGATGGTAATCTGACCTTCACAAAAGTTGACAGTGCTTTTGAAAAAGGCAAATATAAGTGTGAGGCCTACATTGAGATAGAGGAAACTCAAGAGCAGGTTGGACGAGCAGAAGCTTTTGTTGAAGTGGTTAAAGTTTATGGTAAGGCTTAGTAAATTTACTGCAAATCATGATAATTAACCAGAGTGGCAAGTTCACAAGAAGAAAATTGGAATTTGAGCTAGTACCATGGATAAAGCACTTATGTCATGAAGTTGGGATCTTGAGTAATTTAGTTTATTGTTGGCGATGTTTTGGCATTCCTCATCCTTAACCAGCTCTCTATCTTTTTCGGATATATTACCACTTCTTTGCATGCCGAGTATGGCAGATACATATGCATTTTTTCCCTTTCTTACCTTAGATTTTACACAGTAGAATCTCCTTTGCTTGCATAAGATCTTGTTGAGTTTTGCCATACTCTGGAAAGACTGGCTCTTCAGTATTTTCCTATCTTCTTATGTTAATTTTTTCTTTCCTGTGGATCATTTAATAAATGAATCACTCATGCCCACTTTGGGACTAGTACATCAATTAAAGGCTACTGGTAAACTTCTCAAGAAAATACATTCATTAAGCAAATGGAGTTTTTGTTCGTGAATTGACTTCTTTTAGTTGGCTTTGTGTTTATGGCTCTGTCTAAATTGCCACCTGAAAGGTATTTTGGTTGTATGAGGAGACTTGTAAAAAACCAACAATTTAAACAATCACTTTTTTTAGGGTTGTTGTATCGTAAAACCCTGCTAACTCAAACATCTAAGGGAAACTTAAAATGGTTTGAGTTTTCATGGGTCTGAATTATTGAAATTGGTGCTGAATTTCACTTATATTGTTAGTGATTAATAAAGAAATCATGTTTGTACCATTCTTGCACAATCAATAGTCATTTTGTACATTTGTTTGTTATTCAAAAATTTTTTTCTAAGAATGTTTAGTCTGGAAATTTTGCCCAATGTACTACAATTTCATGATTGTTATCATGTTTGTTTCAGCGGTGATCAGCTGTGCTATGACACTTTGAAATTTATGTTCTAAATTAAATTACCAGAGTAAATTTGAGCCAAGGGAAAGTAAAATTAGTTAAAATCAAGAGGGAGTTCAAGCAACCCAAGTTTGAGGTAAAGGGGTAAGTTTCTTAAGAAACTGTGGTGCAGCATTGGTGGGAGAGTATAGCAGGTAATTTAGTGTTAACAACTGGGTTGAAGAGGTAAATTAGCCACCGTAAAGGGTAAAAAGCTGATGTTTCGAGTGTTAGCCCTTGGTCAGAGTGATTGGAAAATTGAAATCGAATCGCTCTGACAAAGGACTAATGCTTGAAACGTCAGCTTTTTTACCCTTTACGGTGACTCAGTTGTTAACACTAAAATACAAGTTTGAGGTAGCTGTTAGTATATGAAAAATGGGGGTCAAATCTGGGGGAGTTGGACTCTGTTCAATTAAGTTGATTGTTTAAGTTAACAGAGTTCAAGGTGGTGGACTTTGGTATATTTACATTAAATTATAATTGGATTTCCATTTTACAGATGTCAGTTAACTGACAAATTTTTGATTTTCCTGTTTTTAGCTGAACCCAACATTGATCCGACCCAAGGTGGTACAGTGGATGTAAAGATGAGTGGTGATTACAAATTAATTTGTAAAGCCACAGGAAGACCCACTCCAGATGTGAGATGGACCAGGAATGGAGAGAAAGACCCTCGTGAACAGGTGAGGATCTTATTGGTTACCAAACGAGTCATCTCCCGCTTACATTAGATCACCTTTGGTTAGGGTGATGGTACATTACATTAAGAAAAAGATTGTGTGATTATGGGTAGATTGCATTAGATCAGTGATAGATTTTATCCTTCAATTGAACCAAACCAGTTGAATGCTTGATGTATGCGACTGTCAAATTATTCACAAGTGACATGTATTGTGTGGAATGTTATGCTTTCAAGCATCCTTGATCAACAGATAACTGATTTGAGAACTGTGTTGTGATTTAGGGATCATTTATTTTTATACTCATGTTTTCTTTGTATTCAAATGAGGATTGGGTAACAGTGCAGGTGGCTACCTTAATCTGAACAGCCATTAGAATTTCATGAGTCACCAGCTTTTCTGAGAGCCCTGTTGGTTTGAGAGGCTTTTGTCTTGTTGGTAGTTTTGAGTATTTATATGAGATTGATTTTAGCAGTGGTTTTTTATCCCAAACCATACACAGAGCCTTTGGAATAGATAACAATTGTTCAGTTGTCTCAGTTAATGAAGAATCAGGAAAAATCCTCATCATACTTTTTGGTCAAAAAATTTTCAATGGTCTTGTTTGGCTAGAACTGTAATCATACTTCATGCAGTTGAAGTGGATGATGCAGCTGATAATTTTGTATGCAGAGTGCAGCAAAAGGCAAAAATCATTTGGTGTGCCTAGTGCAGGGATTGCAATTTTTACCAATTGTTGCTATTGGTGTACAAAATTGCAGATGTCTGACATGCCCGATATTGGCAATTTTGTGTGCCAATTGTAGCAATTTTATATGCCAATTGCCGTGATCAAATTTGTTGTGATCTGCAAATAAAATCACCAGGTGTATTGCTGGTTCATGTCTAGTAAACATGAAAGTGGGCAGCCTATTGCCAGTTGGGATTGATACTATTAATTTTAAACAATTGCCATACAAAAACATTAGTTTTTATATTCTTCGTACTCTTCCCAATATATTTCCTTTGGTATTGACAAGGAGAATTTGTTTAATAATCAAAACTTGTTAAGATGGTAATCATTTCCTTTATTTTCATGATCGTAATGAATGATTCAGCAATTTTACTGCTTGGAGAAAGTAGATGCTGGTCACTCCTAGGGTTTAAAGGGTTCAGAAAAGTTTCAAGAAGGTTGTGTATTTCTTGTTTGTGTAGCGAACTAGTGGTCAAAGTATGATTGAGTTCAGAAGAATTCAGGTGGAGGATGGTGGAGTCTACACATGTGAAGCATGGAACAATGCTGAAGACCAAGATGGAAAACTAATTGTTAAAAGACTGAACAAAACAATAAATGTTGAATGTGAGTTTCTACACTATACAAGACTTGCTTATGATAGTTAAATTCTAGTACACTCATTTGTGCAACTTCAAGGCTCGGCTACTGTTTGCAATGTAAATTTTTGATTGACACTCTTTTACATGGATTTTGTGTTTTGTTCTGTTTCAGCTAACTTTTCTGCACAAACTTAAAGCAGCATATACATTAAAATTTTGGCCAATTGGAGGGGTGGTTTATTAAAATAGAATGCCTAGTTAAAAGCTACTAATGAGTACTGATTCGACTGTTGCTGATTCTTAAAAAGTTTTGAATGATGCGGCAATAGAAACAGGTTTTCCTTGTGTTGCTGCCATTTAAGAAAGTGAAGGAGGAGGGGGGGTGCTTGTTCGACATTAGGACTTTAGGGGTGGGTGCATAATTGGGAGAGGGCACCCATCAGAGTACTCATGCTTATCACTTGGGTAATCACAAACTAATTTGGATTTCACTCAGGCTTGCTGTTACTGATGTATAATATATCCTTGTAGCTAAACCTATTTTTGATGAGAAGGCTTCAATCAACCCTGTGTTCTCTTACGTGGGGAACAGTGATCCAACATATGTACGCTGCAAATACGAGGGATATCCTACACCTTGGGTTGTCATGACTTTCGATGGAAAGCTGAAGTCCAATGCTACTGGAACAGCAGAGATCGAGGTTACAACAGATGCAATCAAGTACTTTGGTGACTACAAGTGTTATGCACATAATAAGTTTGGATGGACAAATAGAACTGTGACAATGGAAACAGCAAGTATGAAATTTTGTTTAATGTCACTGAGGAGATTTGCTAGTGTAGTATGCAATGTGTGGCTTTATGACTTATTTGTACCTTGTTGTAGAGGGATTTCTTGACAGTATACCTGAGTTGCTTCACTGAAATTTACAAAAGTAGCTTGCACACCCTGAAGGTTATTTTGGAAAGTCTTTTTGAAATAAGCTAGTTTGTTAATTTGTTATGAATAAGCCACTTTTTTGATGAAATTCTGTAGCAGCATGAAGGGTGAATCGCTTATTAGATCTTGACCCTACATATTCTAATATCAGTATACAATTTCCTCTTACTGTTCTTTCTACTTTCTTGTTTTGTGTCAAGGGGAATTTGTTTAACAATCTTAAGGCTCTGTATTTGTTGGTCATTTCTTTCATACTTGTGACTTGAATGTTCAATGCAGTGCTAGTGGTGATACTGTTAACCCTTAAACCCCTAAGAGTGACTAGCATCCAATTTCTCCTAACAACATTACTGCTGAATCAAACATTAAGGTCATGAGAATTAAGGAGACAATCACCAACTTAAAAAGCTCTTGATTTTTGAACAAATTCTCCTTGTCAGAACCTTAGGAAATGTCCAGGGAGTAGTATGGAGAATTTGCATACTGATGTTAGGGTGTAAAGAGTAAATAGAAATCGGATGCTAGTCACTAGACAAAAGGAGGCGGTGTTTGGTAAAAATAACTTTATCAGAACTTTTTGTCTTGCTTTTCAGAAAAGCCAAGTCAGGTTCAAGGTCTGAAACCAGTTCCCACCTGCAATAGTATCAAACTTACTTGGAAAGCGCCCAGTGAAAATGGTGGCATGCCTATCAACAAATATGTTTTGAATTACGAAACCACGACGCGTAACGTTGATGGTGATTCGACAACATACACGATTAAAAACCTGGAACGGAACACTCGTTACAGTATCAAAGTGAGGGCTACCAACAAGGCAGAATGGGGAGACATGAGTGTCGTGGAAACAAAGACTACCCAGTTCTGTAAGTAAAATTCAATCATTGTTACCTCTACAAACCTACAACCTACAAAATTTTGCTGCTTCTGGTCACTCCTTTACACCCCAACATCAATATGCATGTTCTCCATAATGTTCTGTAGACATTTAGTCACACTTATGGTTAAAAATTGAAATTAGCTTGCATGCATGATTAATAAGAATATGACATTAATATATTTCCCTTTACATCAAGTTCTCATATGCATGATTACACGCTAGGGTTTCATCCACACTTTTGTAAACTTAAAAGTTGGCATCATATACATTTTACATGAACGATGATAAACAGTTTCATCCATGGACCGGAAGTCAGCAACACCTTGTGTGACATAACAAACAGAAGTACCAATGATAAAAAGGATTTGCTCTGTAGCTCTTTGACCTCTCGCAAAAAGGTTTTGTCTGCTCATCAAAGCTGTGAAGTAAGAATCTGTCACATCATGTAACAATGAACTAAAACAAAGAGTTCCCCTCATAGGAAAAGGAGTTAGAGCCACCTAACCCCAGGAGCACCAGCTTCAAGTACAACATAATAGACAATATGAATCACAAGCAAGACCTTAGCTGGGTCACCCTTTTTTGACGGTAGTGTCGCCGTCCAAGCGGGGTCAACTTTTCTTTTAATAAAAACTTTGGCTAGCCCACGTGCCCAGCTGGGTCAACTCGGTCAAGGTCAATAAGAGCATGCGCGAGTGCTGTTGTAGTTAACACATAGTGTCAAGATCTAAGTCCAGCTCATCAGGCTTGGTAAATAAGTGGTCTTGGAGTCCTGCTTTTGTAAAGTCAATTATTGACTTTGTTAGCTGGGTTCCCTGTTTTTGTTTTCCCGCCTTTCTTGGTCACATGACCTTTGTCGCTCAAAAAATGTTCTGTTTACCGAAATCGTTTTGATCAACTGCTTGGTGCTTGCGTTTGTCTTTTATGTATTTCCTATGGTTTTGGGCATTCACTCGAGTAACGAGGTTAGAGAAGCACTTGAGAAAACCATTAAAGATGAATTTGGTCATTACAGACTTCTTGACGGAATATAAAAATGTCTGTGAGGTTAATGTCATCGACGTCAACGTCGACATAGTGAAATTTTATTCTGATGATCAAAACTGACTCGATCAGCTCTTGGCTTGGGCAAAGGGGTAATTTTTCATTTTCTCGTTTAAACACTCGTTTAAGGCTAACAATGACAGTCACATCGCCTAGAAATTAATAACATTAAAAAAAAATACCCTTACCTTACGAGAAGAGATCTCCTCTCTTCCCTGTAGTGCGACCGCAGTTTTAAAACGCCGCCATTTTGTCTCTATTCTTTAGGTGCCCCGGGTCGACCAATCATCTACTCGCCCAAGGGCGGTCTTCTGGAGGAGGACGAATTCACATTAAAATGGCTGCGGCCTGAGGACGACGGAGGCGACAGTAACATTAAATATAAACTAGAGTACCGTGTTGAGAGGAAAGGAAGCGATGGACCTTGGAAAACGATAGAAACCGAGAAACAAGAGGCGAAAATCAGTCAAATGGATAACCAAGAGACTTACAAATTTGTCCTGGTTGCCATCAATAAAGGGGGCGAAAGCGAGAAGGTGATAAAGTATTACAACACAAACTATCCTGAAGGTAAGATGTAACTCAGTTAACTGTGTTAATTTGTATGATAAGCTGTTTTGCGCGCCATTACGCGCGTTTTGATTGGTTCTTACCGTCAACCTTTTAATAATTATTCCACAAGCGCACGTTGGATATGAGATGGTAGATAGCCAAGTACCACCAAGGAAGTAAGGATTGAATGTGTAAGTTTTTTGACTTTCCCCTACTGTTGTCTTTTTTAGAGACATCTTCACAATCAAGCCTCGTGCCCAAAGCGTTTCTTACAATCTGTCTAGGAGGGATGTATCTTCTGCTCTGATATTTATAGTGCCGACGAGTGATAGTTCAACGCAAGAAACATTCCTCAAGAAGACAATATAAATTTTGTAGTACGTTTGTTAATAATCGATTGTAGTGATTTATACATCACCCATCGTAATGGCACCCGGTTTTCTCGGTTCACAAGATAAGAGTGCGATTCCGAGCTTGGACTTATCTTTCTCTGGTCCTTGAGTTGCCAGGCAACCCAGTCATTGAATGGAGGGGGCAAGTTTCTAAAGAAACTGCGGAGGTGCGTCGGTGGGGGTGTCACAAGACTGATTAGGTTAATCAACTGAGTATATAATTTAAATTGGCCGCTCTATGTTGTGACATATTTACATTATCAACCTACTCATTGGCTTGCTAGGGAGCTTAGCGTGTGAACGTGGGAAGGACAGTTGTTGTTTACTGACTGGATGATAGCTGTCTAATTCTGCTTGGGATTCAGTTGTGTTACAATACTTGGGCCTTTGCAGTAACGTAATTTTTTTGGAGTGAAAGTGTAATCGCGGCTCATGTCGTATGGTTTTTTCGTGATAATGCGTGTTCTTAATTTTTAGCCAAGTTTCTTACCCTGGAGTGTTAATAGAGGTTTTTGAAACGTTTGCGTGGTTGTGATGATTAAGTACATCGTAATTTTTAAGCCGAACACAGTTAACGAAGCGTGAGTCACGCAACGCGTTTGTCTATTGACCGCCTGCATTATGCTCCAAATCGCGCTCAAAGGGTTTTTCCTCCTTGAACACGAGGCATTTTCTTTGTCTCACGAGCTCTAATATCTTTTATATTTACATAAGGTATGAAGGGAAAAAGCAGTTAAATTCACGTGAAAGTTTGGTGATGATACTGTATGTTTTTGATCGATGATGAAATGGTTTGTAAAGAAGAATTAGATTTGTTTTAACAGAGGGCTTTGCATTTCAGTATTAAGCTCCCCAGGTTTTCAGCAAATACTTAAATTAGATGAAATTTATGGATTCTATTTGGTAAATTTAGGTATTATTGATGAAAATATAGTTATATTAATTTGTTGATGTTTACGGAGTAAAAGTAGTGGTAATAGATTGGTTAGGGTTTGTAGTTTTATTTGCTTGTTTTTGTAATCTTTTTTTTAATTCTTATAGTTTTCTGATTTCTACAAGAAAAAGTTGTGAACCCTCTCTTTTTTCCTCTCTATTTGGACAATTTTTACTCGATACGTGCTTCAGTAGGCGTCTTTGTAATATTTGTCACGCAACACATTAATGTTACGCTAAGACGCGCGACAAACCAAGAAACGCTTTAAAACTGCCGCCTACAAACTCTCTTTTTATCCAACAGGAGTAAAACTGACAAATGTCATGTATAAAATACAATGCAGTTCGTAATTAAACTCCATGTTAGAGGAAGAATATAATAAAATAAAAAATTTCGCTTTATGAACTTTGGTTATCATGCGTTGCCTTAGCATCTGATGGATCTGGTGGCTTGATTTCATTACCTGGTTGAATAAGAATTTTTGAGGATACTGTGAGTAGCTTCGTAAGGCGGGGGCGAAAGTATATCCTTTCCAGAAGTTTTTAGTATCTCTCTAAGCTCCCTGGGATTTGGCGTTTTGGTTTCATGTTTCTCTCTCCTCTGCGAGGTTCAATATGCTCTCCAACCGCCTTCCACAGCCATATCGTTTCCAGAATCTCTCTTATTTCCTAGAGAATACCTAGGAACTAGATTGTTCGCACAGAAATAGTGTACCTCTTCCCTATAATCAGGAAAGTAGAGGTTGGCGAAGTTTCACAAGAAAAGTTATTCTCGAGGAGAAATAAGAGAAAGTTCCATTTATTGAAATTTGCACAATAGTTTTCTAACGAAAAACTTAGTTTACTGGATAGAAACGTACGGAAATTGAACTAGCATGTATTCAAATGTTCTGTTAACCAGGCTTAATTTGCTCGCCTAACATGACCATCCTACGAACGAAAGCAGAATATACAAGCACGCAAAAGCGCATACAGAGCTGCAGAGATACCTTATAATATTTAACGAACACAACCCTTCACTTCTGTTTTAGACAGGTTTTCTTCTTGATTTATGCCATTTGGTCTTCAGGTGGGGACCGAGTCCAGAAGCCCTTTGAAAGGACCCCTCTCTCGAGTCTGTTGTTTACCTGAGGTGTACCTCGATCTCCTTTTCTTGGATTGCGGTGCGCATTGTAACATGGCCTTTATTTTTGCAATCTAGTTATCACAGACTGTGCCCCACGCCTTTCCGAGGAAACGTAACTGCGCCTTCCCAGGAGGTAGTATACAAAGCAGGTCAATGAAGTTTTCATCAAACCCGAGTTACTTTACTATTTTCTCTACTTTCGCACTCTTGTAGTTTCCTGAAATTCCTTTTTACCCTAAATCTTCCTACCCCTCTATGCCTATATTATAATAAAAAAATTGAGACAGAAGACAACCTAAACATTTTCGGAGCAGAAAAGTTCTATCTCTTCTGAATGACTCTCTCCGATAGCGGCTGCCCCATTTTGAGATTTTGCTGCCACAAAGCAGTAGAGCTGTACACTGCCGATGAGTACCAAACCAACTCCGACCACTGTCCCACAAATAACAAGAATTATTACCCATAAAGGGAGGCTGTGAACGTTAGTTGATTGACGTACAGGATCTGCAGACCAGATAAAGAAAGTGTTACTGGACGAACGCTTTAAAGAGAGGATTGTGGAGTAAATGAATCTACGCTCGAATCTTAGACCGCTTTCACAAACTGATTACTCCGAGCATTTTGCACCACAACCATGTCAGTGCAGTAGGCTTAGCCTGTTCCAGGCGTTCAGTCGGCAAAACCTAAACGAGGGAAGTCTGGGCCGGGTCGGGTCGCGTGGAGAACGCAAACCAACCCAAGCCTCCCTTTTTCACTCCTGCACCGTATACTATCGCGCTTCGTTTTACTAACTGAATACCTGGGACAGGCTGGATAAGCTGAGAGAGGACCACACACTCCGGCAGCCTAATGCTCCACTCTTTTCGTAAATGGGTGGATCTCCACAAGCCTCAGTAAACATATCCCTTTCAACAATTTCGTGAATCTCGTAATCAATGTTTTACCAGTAGTAAGTTAGGGGCAAACAATGCGGAAATAAAAACAAGTATTATCCATTTTACCCCAAACGGAGGCTGACTGCTACTTTCTTCTTAAAGTATCACCCTTGAATCAAATGCAAAGATCACGAGGATAATGGAAATGATCACCAATTTAAAATGCTCGCGACTGTCAGACAAATTCTCCTTGTCGGTACCTTTGGAAACGCAAAGAGAACAGTGTGGAGAATTTGAGTGCAAAATTACCTTCAAACGTCCTATAGGATTGTGATTGAAGAGGTTTGCGGAGCATGACAGGACCGAGGGTGATGCGGTGTTCCTCTTCGTCCCCAGTGCTCCTCTTGCGCCGAAGGTCTGATGACTGACATCCTTTGCTGCAGCGTGAATTTCCTTCCTTGTGACAGACGATGACATTACAATGAAGATAAACCACAGTGTAATTTGCGATCCAACGAAACGGCACGAGCTGAAAGCGCTGCGTGTCTGTCAAAGTGTGGGTGTAATCCGTCCCGTTATCAATAGGGCAACTGGAAAGGACAAAAACAATAGTGTGGATTAAAAGCATGGTCCTGGAACGGTTTGATTTTTTTATTTATTTATTTTTCTTTAATAGCCCTACTCTGTCGAGTGAGAGAAAAAAAAGATAATTACGCAGCCTGATAATTTTCGCGGAAAAAAGTGTCTTGCTAACAATTCGGAGAATTAATTAGGGGGGACGGAAGCCCCCACTAACAATCACCTTTCTTACTTACTTCCAATGTTTGAAGACGTAGTTAATGTACTGATGTCCGCATAGTCCTTCTGTATACACACTGTATATCATAATAGACAACTTTACCGCAAGCCTAGCTTTAAAAATGAGGACCAGATGATTTTGAACTACTGCATCACCTCTTAGTTCAAAGGAATACTCTTATGTAAACAAGAAAAAAGTGGCTGATGACAGAGGACAATGATGCTTAAACGAGACGTGTAGTAAAATTTCAAACGATATTTCACTTGCGTCTATGCTATTTAACAAAATACTCGCCCGTTGTCGATAAACTTGTACTGTACGCTGTGTGATGGGTCCATACTGGGTGTGGCCACGCACATGTCAGCACGGAGGATGAGGTCTGGGTCCGAGGTGTCCAATTTTGCTTGGCAGTACAACTGACCGAATGGGTCGATGTTCACCGGGTATTCTGATACATCATACGGTTTCAAGTACTCGGCACTTCGGTACAGACCCATCTCAAATGAGAAGTTACCATACCCCTCTAAAAAAAGATAGAGGAAATAACCTCTTAAATTCTATATTGGCCTCTTTTGTTTTGCTGACATTCTGCTTCCAAAAAGGGCTTACGTTCAACTCCAAAATTGATGATTAAGTGAGAGTGCGTGATACACAGGCGTGATCAAAAGAGTGTGGTAGTGATATGTGGGTGAGCGCGAACGAACAAATTATGATCATGACGATAAAGCACTACGCCTGAAACATTTGTACTCTTATTTTAGGAGAAATTTCGTTCTTTTGTTCACAGAATTTAAGTGTTACAGTAGCTTTCGCCAAGGGATGTTTATCTCTAAATAACATTTCCTATTTCCGTCATGATCACACTTTGGCTCAAAAATACAAAGAAATTTAGGATCCATGTCAGTATATGAGAAACTGCGCACCAACCCCTCCTCTAACCCAACATTAACCCTACCTTGATATCAGTTGAATGTGTTTTGTTTTAAGGGATGGCTCAGATACTCACACCGATCCCGAATTTATAACAAAATTTACCTTCAAAAAAGGTGATCTTTTTTCTTGGTTGAAAACTTGGAGTTCCGATTGTATCTTGTCTGTTGTATGTACAAGAGAACGGAAATTCAACGACGTACACAGTTTTCTGATCTTTGGTTTGTGCTACGACTTTGTTGAAATAAGTTATGGATTCCTCGCTCTGCCGACTTGAGGTCCCGCAGGCGTCCAGCGGTGTTCTCAAGGAAACACGCGTAGAGCTGACGGTGAGAGGACCGCAGGATTTGTTTTCAAAGCGGAAAGTCTCGACATCAAGATAAGTAGATTTCAGGGCAAAGTCGACTTGCATGTAAGATGACGTGCAGTTGACTGAGATGTCGTATACTAGGACTGGCTGAGTGGGCAGTATTCCTGTTCCTGTTCCTGTACCTTTGAGGAGGGAAAGCGATATATAATTAACATCTATGTACGGAAGTGGAGGTGGCTAGCCGTTAATATTTACTAAGCCGCTAACCAGCGAGGTAAATATCCACTACTAGCCGCCGACACTGAGGTGAAAAGTTGTTTTAGAATATGCTAAAACAGTTAGATAATATAGCACAAAAAGATGATTTTAACTTATTCAATTCTGCAACGATTACAATATTTTTGGGCGCAAATCCCGCACGAGTTGCTCGTAGCAAAGGATATTCGGAATTAGAATAGCCAATCGGAGCGCGCCTTCGACGCTATCCACTGTTTTAGTCTAAACTAAAGGTAGCTATTAGTTCCAGTATTGGTAATAATAGTTAAACTTAATTTTTACACGGTGTTTCCATTCAGGTAAAAACGAACAATTATTTGAAAGGATAAAACAAACTAACTACGCAAAGCTAACAACTTGTTTTACAAGTTAACATGCCTTACAGGGATGCCGTGTATGAATATTTTATTAAAGAGTCAGACGGTATCAGTTTGGGAGATGTGTTTCCTTAATATTTTTATGTTTATAATTCACTTAGGGAGTTTAATTGTGTAATTTCTATCTGTATGTGATGTCCTAGAAAAGCCCCGCTATGGCTAAAACTTCGTTCAAAATAATTAACGCGCGGTTGTAGCATAGATAACTCGTATTCAGCATTTCTTAGACAAAAAAGAGTTGATTGTGGGTGAGAGTTTTATTGCGCTGGAAAAACCTGGTGTTGCTAGGTACGTCAGGATTAAGTCTGAAAGTCTTGCTTTGTAAACATACTAATACAACATCTATGAGCAGGGACTGGAAAAAGACACGATTATGACAGATGCATATTAACTGCGAGTAGCCCCCAGGAAAATTTCTTAGCCTGATGTTCCAAAATTTTTACCAAACGTAGAAAAAAAGAAACACAAGAGATTATGTAGAACAAAATTGTTTGTGTTGAAACTTAAAACAGGAAAGGTCACACAACTTGAAAACTTTATCCCCCCACCCATCATAATTTTTTCAAGCCTTCCTTCCTATCTGTAAACCGTTGATAGCTGGTGTCCGCCAGAGGGCTATTCAGAGCCACCTTAATTTTCGTAATGGCATCGCCAAGGAAAGCCCTTTGCGCAATACAGTCGGCTTGTAAATGAATGGCTTATAACTGCACTTACTATGATCAAACCTTATGTGTTTTTACCTGGGGAGGGTCCTCCTCCTACACCGCTGTATACATTAAATTCCTTCCTCGCGGGCTCTCTTTTCCTTCCAGCGATGTTAGACACGAATACCCTAAACTCGTACCTAGACCCTCCCTGTAATCCTGTCACGTTGTACTCTTGCGCACCAATACCCTTCCGTGAATTCCAGTGGACAAACTTTCCATCGGCGTCAGCCTTGCTATACTCAATGTCGTAAATCAGAATAGGATCACCCCCGTCCAGGGGTGGGCGAGTCCATTTCAGTATGAAACTTGTGGAGTTTAACCACGTCTCTGTGTTCGTGATGTTAAAGGAACCGCTCGGAGGGCCTGGTGGTGACAGAAGAGAAAAATGGTCAATGCGCTTAGTGTTTCAGCGTGGTCTCGCTTAAAGTAAGGGACTTCTGACAACTCAACTCTTTCGTTTTCTCAGTCGTTCCTTATCTCTAGTTGATTTTCATATTCTTTTTCGAGAAGACCTTTCTCAGAACCCTCTCAAAAAATGGCGCCTGTTCTACAGGCTCGTTTCGAAAGGACTACTACTTCTCTACATGTTGATCAATATTTTATGAGAGGTACTAAAAAACCATCATCTCGAATGAGACTTCAAAAAATTATTTATTATTTTTAGAGAGAATACCACCAAACTGAGAGGTAATAATAAACTCAAAAGAGGGCCTCCATGGATTGATGGCTCTCTCGGCTATCGTTCAAAATTTTGGCTATTTTACGGCTAACAGTTAATTTTTTTCTGCTGCGATTAAACAAAACTGTTTACGGTTAATACTTTTTACGACTAACTGTAAGCATTTTTCAATTTTTACGGTTAAAGGCTAAACTTTTTTGCCATTTTGCGGCTATCGGTTAACCCCATTGAAATCCTCTATGAGTGGTCGAGAACTATTAACGAATAGCGAAGATAAAAACGGATTTTAGGAACGAAATTTGCAAAATTTAGGCTTAACATCAAAATACAAGCGTAGCTCCATGTTTTGATTTAAAAGAAGATGTCACCATATCACTCACAGTAAGCAGACACGACATCCTTCTCTCCTTTATTTCCGTCATTAAGTTGGTTAAAAGCCTGTAATGCGACGTTGTATAGTGTCCTCGGTTTCACGCCCTCGCGGTTTGTGAAGGTAAACCTTGTAGTTTGTACACCGATATACACGACATCTAGCGAGTTCCCGGCATCCTTTAGCTCTATGGTGTAATGCGTCAGTGGCAAACCTCCATCAGACTCCGGCTCTCTCCAGGCCACTGTTAAGTGATCACATGTGGTAACGAACGTGATGTTTGTCGGAGGACTGGGTTTTCCTAGCATAAATTTAAAATTGAGTTAAAACAAACAAACAAACGAGGGAAAAGAAAACAAACAAAACAAAATAAACAGAAAAGCACTTCACTGCATACTGGGTATGAGACTTTCAAACTCTCACACAGTTATCGTGAAGGGAACTTAAATTGACAAACCAACCTGACCCTCCCATCCCTTTGGACAACACCACTTACCGGCTTTATTGATGGCGACGTCATAAGACGCTGAGTCATACACATTGGTCGCGTGACATGTGTAGGTTGTAAAATCCTCATCATTTTTCACAGTTACAGTAGCCTCCAATCGTGGTGGATTAGATTGTACCTCTTCACTCGGTAACTCTTTATTACCCTTTGTTATGCGGATATCAGGAACTGGATATCCCCACCATAGGCACTTTATTGTCACTGGGGAAGGGTTACCAATGAACGAATACAGATTAGAGGGCGAGGACTTGTCGAGATTGATGCGTGGCGGACCTGTAGGAGAAAAGAAATTATTTTAAGTGAGATGTTTAAGTGCAAAGCAGTCATCAGTGGTGAAAACCCTAAAGTGAAAGTAAGAGATTTCCAACTAATAAAAAAGCATCATGAAGGCACTACAACAAAGGATAACCAAATTGCCTTCAGTAATGAACTGGAAACTGGGGAATCAGAGAAGTAACGGGCATACTATTTCAATTACTGGCAACAAATTAAAGGGTCTGTTAATTAGAATAATTTTCAATTGCATGGCGAAAGTAATCTGGGACTGCTTTCTTTTAGCTTTACTTTGGTCTATGATTGGTCAAGAAAACACACACCATACTCTAAACAAATTAAACGCATGACTCGGTCGCCCGGGTTTTCCCGCTTTTCGTAGTGCGCCTCTTTTTCTTTTGAGTCCTCATTGGCTACTGATAACGCTAACCTTAGTTACGATTGGCTGTTGTGATCTCTTCTTTTTTTTTTCGGTTTTACGACAGTCACTTGAAAACTACTCCATTAATTAATCCATATTTCTATTTCACAGTTTTTTTTTTCTTTTAATTCCTGGCCTTTTACTGAAGTTTACGCAAAGAAGCTAATCCTGACATTTCACAATAGACAAGCAAGTCAGCTTCTCTTTTCTAGACGAAACGTACCATTGACAGTGACCGTGATGACTTTCTGCTCCTCTCGTAGATTTGTTTCTTGGTCTGTACCTGCCCCCAGCTGTTCAATGCGGCAGATGTACTCATCTGCGTCCAGTTCGTGAACTGGATCAATCAGAAGAGAGCCGTTGGACAGACGAGTGAAGCGAGGATCGGATAAGTTAATCACCCTTCTGTTTTTGTACCATTTGAAAGTTGGTTTAGGATAGCCGTTGGCGGAACATTGAATGATTCCTGCCTTTCCAACGAAGAGACTTTGATCCGAGGGAAACTGTGTGACGAAAACTGAACAGAGAAGGGAAACGAAAGAAAAAAGTGGATTAGGGTAAGAATAGATGACATCAAGAAAGTTGAAAAGGGAGTTATACTGGAACAAATTACAAATTAACTTTTTCCCATCCAATACATGTCAATGTTACCGTCGAATACAGTGTATGTCATTGTACCATAGAGTAGGTTTGAATCAGATGCAGAAGCTGTCGTGAGAATGGAATGTTAGTCAGTAAGAATCAAATCGATCTTGAGCTAATAAAGGGAAGAGTAAATCAATCGTTTACTTGGCTCTCAAAATCCCACTCTCCATTTCAGAGATCATAAAGACTGTCCTTTATCTCGTATCCAGATCTTACTCTGTTTGGAAGGTCTGTGTATTCGATAAAGGTGTCTCTTAACAATTGAAATTAAGGTTAGACTAGGCAAAGTTCAAGCAATTTTCTGTTAAGTATCGAATTTAAACTGGGTTTGATTTGATTTTGTCTTATTTCGCTCTGTGATTGGTCCAGAAAACGCGCGCCACTCTTTCAACCAATCAGATGCAAAACTAAAACCAATCACGACCTGGTCGCCTGCATTTTCCCGCGCTGGTAAGCTGTTTTAACTTCATGTTCTCATCGGCAATTTAAAGTTTTTTCCTTTTTTCTAATTGGTTGTTGTGATGACTTTGGTTTGGTTTTACGACACTCCATCGAAAAACGCTCTAAAAAATTTACGTAACGAGTAAGGAATGTACTTCTGTAAAAACTGAGCATCAAAAACACCTACATTCGACGTATAGAGTAAACTCCTTGACAGTTTTGTCTCCACGACAGGTGTAGTTCCCTCCGTCCGCTACAGCAACGTTTTGGATCACAAGTGTGTGACTGTTTCCTCTAATTAGCCTGTAGTATTTCTCCTCAGGTAGTTCGTCCGGTTCTGGAACTTTAGTGACCCGCTGACCATTAACATCTTCCCACCCAACAAAATTCTCCCCAATAACTGTGCACACCACTCGAAATGTTTTACCAACTGTGGTGATGCCATTTGGCAACATGTCGATTGCAGCATCTGAGAAGTAAATAATGCACATTAGACAGTCTTTTCAACCAACATCAGTATGCATATTATCCATACTGTTCTCTACGTTTCCTCAGGTGCTGACGACGAGAATTTTTTTAATAATCAAAAGCTTCTTAAGTTGGTGATCATTTTCTCCCTTCTCGTGACCTTGATGCGTGATTCAGGGGTGATATTGTAAGGAGAAATTAGACGCTGATCAGTCTTAAAGATAATGGATTAAAGGAAGGCTTTTGCGATTTCAGTTCAGGCAATCAGTTGAATTTTTTCACATAATTATGATGAATTTTACGCAGCAGAGGTTGAAGTTACCCTTTTTGGTGAGGTAACATTGGAAACTAAAGGAAAAATCAAGTTACATGACTCGACTATTATAATTATGTTCTTCTTATCTACTTGTCGACAAAAAAACGGCAAGCAGGCTGAATTCAATCATGAAAGTTCAAAGGAATCATCATGAAACTGAATATTCTAATGTTCTTCAGGCGTTAAGCTTCACTGGATTAACGAAAAGGGTAATTAAATGAGAATTAACTTTTGTGGAAAGAACCCAAATTAGCATTTGGTTAAAACATGCGCAAATTTGTACCGGCGATCTTCACCTAAAAATGTTTCATAAACTTGCACGATGTTATCGGAACTTAGAAGGAAAGTTTTTTCGGTTTAAGCAGTACGGTCGAAAAACAATCATTTCTATTTTATTGAAAAAAAAAAAAAAAAAAAAAAAAAAACGATCAAAGGCAAAGATGCAAATAGAAGTAATGGACCCTGTCCTAGTTTCGTTAAACGACCAACGCTAAGTTAATCAACCTTCTGTATATAGTTCTTTTGTACAACGTTTATTGTTCAAAAGTTGCTCGAGGAAAACCAGCAAAGTCAGTCTTCACTATGTCCTGTTGACTGCGACAAGTTGCGTTAACGACAACCCAGGACGGTAAGACTAAATATTCAGTTACGAATATGCAAAATAGTATTAATAACATCTGGTCTAATATGTCTGGGAAAAACAAACTTGTGCTTGAGGAGTCAAAAGCCTAGACATCAGCGTATGTTCTAAAGAAGTCTTTTGGTTGTTTTTTTAAATGCTGCATTTATCTTGGGGTAAAAGTGGTCAACCAATTCGCTACCATATCATTTTAAGGCGATATTCCAGTTTACAAAACATGCCAAATTTATGTACAGCGAGCATAATCTTTTGTCAATGACCGAGAATACTGACGGTGGTATCGCAGCGGTAAACTTTGTAATTAAACAACAGTTCTCTGCAAAGTAGCAAAATAGTCCTAAATAAAGCTATTAAAGTACTTTTTCCCAGATTTGTTGGACGTTTCTGAGTCTAAGTAAGGTGAAATGCGGATAGTGTTATTAAATTTTCTCACACTGTAAACCACAACATGTGTGCTGAAACTTTCTTGGTTTCAGCACTTCTCTGCCACACAACGAAAGCTTCTGTATTGCAATCGACTTGGGAGCATTGTATTATTTTGTAAATTCCCGTTTTATCAGTATTTGATGAAATAAGTCTACAAAGTTAGCGTGACTTCGTGTCGTCAAATTTGCAATCGCCCACAACTTACCCGTGACAGGCGGTTTCTGAAGGAGTAAAAATGCCATCACACCGAGAAAAATGAAAGGGTGAAACCTTCCTTGTCGAGAACCTCCCATTGCTAGGCGCAAAAGCTTTCCAAAATGCTTCTGTCATTGAAGAAAATCAGACCCACACAAAATCCAATCTGTCCGCGCCCGTGTAGTCATCTTGCCGTCCACGCCATGTTAATCATACTCAAGATTTGATCTGAATATTCAAATCAGCAGACTCGATGTTTCAATCAAAGACAACCTTTGTATTCGCTGGATTCCGCCTTGTCACTCAAGGGACTCAAGAGTGCATTCAATTGGCTTGAATTTCAATAGCAAGGGAATCAACTTGCTTTTTTACAGAAAATGGTTTACCCACAAAGAATAGACCGAACAATCGAGATTAAATATAGAAAACGCCGTGCTAAGTGACTAATATATCAAATAATGAATGCACGTCTGGTACGGATGATAGATTTTTGATAAAATTCGACTCTAGCCATCGCGTCTAATTGAGAATTTAAAATAAGTCGGGTGAGACAGATATCATAATAATGCATGAGAATCAACAATTCCGAGAAACCCAAACCCTACCTTCTTCACACCCGTGCAGTTACGTTCCACAAGCGTTCTATTACACTTAATTTTAAGTTGCTATAATTCATTCCATTCCATACGCACACCAATCAGGCTAACTTCCCTTCAGTTTGACCCATCATCCATGCACAGAAAAACCGCGTTTCGTCGACCAACAGCTGTTTCTGAAGCAAAAGAGAAACATGATCTCCAAATGGTCTCCTGGTCTTCGTTTACATCTCTACAAATATGCCTAACTATTCAGGAAGTGTTTCGCTCTCACAATTATTTACCTGAAAAAGCGTAGAAAACGAAACCATTTTATGCAACGTAGCTTTCGCTCGTAATTTTGTCTTTCCGGGTTCTTCTAAATCATTTTAAAAGTATATATAAGTAAAAGTATATATAAAGTCAAATGCCTTACTAAAGGCCATCAATAAATGTAAAAATGCCACCATCTTTATATTTATTTCTGTTTGTGTATCTGTATACACTTGTGTTTGTGTGTTTTTTTAACTTTCATTCCCTTAGGTGGGCACCTCACATGGGTCGCGCCTTCCCCTTTTGGGAGTTTATTTGCCTCTAATCATTCTTCTTATTCGTTCTTATCCGGTAAATACTATTTATTCATTTCATTCATCCGCTCATTTATTTATGTTTTCATCTAAAGTGTATGCTCGATATGTGCATTGCCACATTTGCGGTCAATTTTTTCCTGGGGTAGAATTGAGAATTGACTTGACGGGACAAATTTACGCTACCCACTCTCCCAAAGCGGCTAAATCAGCGGTCAATTTTCCCCTAGGGTACTCCGGTGACAATTTACCTGTCGAATGCAAATATAAGTTACCCACTCTCCTAATGTAGCTAAATTGTCATGCCAAAAATTTATTTCCGACTAGTCACGAACTTTTTCGCGTCGCTTCGGCCAGAGTCCCTCAGCGCTACAAAGAGCAAAAGGACTATTGTTTAATACTTAATGTAAGAAGTTGAACCGGAACAATAGACCATTTCTTGATACGAAAAGGATCAAGGACAAGTAGTTGACAGTGCTGACGAGAAACAATACACAGGCAAAAGGGATTGCGACAATCAAACCACTATTTTGTACTTTCTTCGTGAAAGTGTCCGGCGTAGATTGGTTAGTGGCTTGGAGGTAATTAGATTAACATTACTTGTAAGAAGCATACCCTTCAAGTTGCTTTGCTAGAGGTTTGTGTTATGTTTTAGGAAAAGTGTTTAGTTTTAAAATCGTTTTCAGTTCGCTGCTGAATTTTTGTTCAACTTAAGCGGCCCAGTTCTGTCGATAGCACAGGTTGAACTCCAGACTGACCCCAAAGCAGTAGTTTAAGCAGCCAATGGCTTAAAGCGGAGCTAGTAGCGCGCAGCAAAGCCCCATACTTATGACAAATGATAGAAACCCATGCTGCCGAGAAAAAGTTGGTAGTGAATGATTGTACCTACAAGGTACTACTTCTAGCTTGCGCGGCCAACTGCATTTCTACACCAAGCATTGCTCTTGCTCGGTGGACGTTTCAGGACAATGCCTGTGCAACACGTAGTAACCTATCCATTCTAGGAAATTAGGTCTATCACATGACCGCACGTTTGTACGTGCAAGTTGCTACGTTAGGTGTACGCCAAAAACTGTATTTCAGGCACAAATCTTGGCATTTCAGAAGTTAATAGAGAAGGTTATACGCATGCGCCCATGCGTGTGTTACTAGGAAACCCTTTGCACTTTGCACCAGTAACCGCATAGTTGTAACCTGGTGAAATGCGTATACTTAAGTGCAGTATCCCAACACAGTGTACCGTAGGCACATAGGATTTAATGATTGTAATGTGTATCTTTAAGCTTTAAACTTTCAACTTTTTATTGTAATTGTCTACCATATTTTTTTTTCTTTGTACTTTACCACCATCAGAGTTAGTGAAACTGCACACTGTTTCATAGCAGGCAAGTCTCTAGCCAGACTTCCTATGTTCAGAATTGAGAGAATATGGAATTTTGGTTTAGTTACCATGTAGCGTCATGTGGTGATATTTCGATGGTATTAACTACTCAGGCTCAAGCTTTCAGTTGTGGTGTTCTTACAAAGGCTGAAACCCATTTCAAAAAGGGAACACTTTGATACAAGCAATTGGTCATAAGGTATGTCAGTTGTAAGAGGTGAAAATCAAGAAAAGCAACGATTCTCCTAAAAATGAGGCCTGAAATTATTGTAGGGACTCCTCTTTTGATTCTTGATTTTATAGATTTAGAGTAGCTCTTTAGTATTTTGAAGCAAGAAATTATATCAACTGGTATCTACATGAGTGCCTTGGTTTAATAGCTTTCAAAATCAAAATAAGAGAGCTGTGCAGACTATGCCCTCTGCTGGATATTTGCACAAATAACCTCGTCATTATCACGGTCACATTCACCCTTATTGTCCACTGAGCCTACATACACATGAAGACCTTCTCCATTGTTAACTTAAGAAAGGAAAGCTTACTCTTTTTACTACTGAAAAGCCCTTGGCTTCATTCCCTCATCTCTAGTAATGACTCGAGTCTCTAAATTTCCATGAACTCTTCAACAGCCAGTGAGGAGCCGTAATAGAGTGAAAGGCTGTAAAATGAACCGACAGGACCTCCGCTTTTAGGCTTGGCTGAATAAATGTAATTTTGACGCAGACGGAAGCGCTAAGCGTCTAATCATTGTACAAATTACTAAAGCTTTTTTAACACGGACTGCATGTTTCGCTATATCAACTTTCTACTTATATACGAATCGTAGAGAAACGAATTGGTCAAGCTAATTCCATTATCGTTGCGTCATCTCCCGCTGAAGATGAACAAATTGCGGAATTTGCT